CCTAAATAACAAAGCTTGCGTGTCTTCCTGTGTTACAATACAATCTGTTTATACGTTAAAAAAAAACGTATTGGTAAAGTATTTTGGAACAACTTATTTTATTTATTTGCAAATCGCACAGTACCTTTGGTCAAAAAACAGGTAATATATATGTTGAATAATATTTTGGGGACTTAGGAAGTCCCGAAGACGCCGATCGACTTCGCTTTGATATTTGTTTAGGCAGATATCCTCTATCTTAAGCGACACATAAATTTCTCGCCCCACGGCTCACGTTTTCGGCGAAATATTTTCCATTTATCGCGTATAAATATTAATGATTCTATTTGCTCACACGAGATCTGTCTTTCTTTATGTGCTCGCGACTTGGCGAGCCTTAATGCTGTCGTCAGAAAGTTTTGTGCGAATTGAAAGCTTCACGTAAGTCATTTATCTCTCTGATAGCACATGAGTAGGTATTAAACTATTGATTTTGTAATTTATCGTGGACGATTACGGACCGACCGTCGAGCTGTAACATAATAAAAATATAGTACAGAATAGTTAATAACTTTTTATATTCTACATTAATCTTCAAACTTACGTTCTCACAAACCATTTTCGTTCGTAATAGAATAGAATTGTCTGACAGAATTTGTAATATCTTTAGGGCTGTTTATCCCCTTGCCGACATCATTACATTTGCATGTTACACTGTTTTCCCTAGAATTTTAGTTACGGGATAACAAATTGGCATTGACTTGTTTTTACAGTTAAACAACAGCTGGAAGTTAAAATGTAATCCGGTGCTCCAGAACTTGAAGAGGTGTCCGCTGTTAACCCGTCTTAAGGTCAGAGATTGGAATTCCTTGAAAATTGCATAAAATAGAAAAGTTGAGTAATGATCTATAGAAACCGACAAATAGAGAAATGATTTGTTTGGAGATCGTACAGCGGTGAACCCGTTGGTAACATATCTTGTAACACCATCAGTCGCGTTTAACCGTTAAAGTGAGCTTTAATTCGTTAATTATCTCTGAAGCAAATTTTGAACTGATCCTTTAAGCCCCGTACAAAGCACGAGTTGCTTTACTGTTTTCAATAAAACATAGACAAATGGCCCCAAATTAAAGGATAAGCAATAGACGCTGGAAGATGTCGAGTCAATGCACTTGCTAAACTTTAATCTCGCCTGAACTTCGCTGAACTCTGATGAAGCGCGCTCTTTCTCTAATGACTCCAATGAAATCTCAACTGCTAACGTGTTTCACTCGCTCCTTAGCTCTTAACGGCGATCCCTTAATATTAAATGGAGATACAACCTTATTGCTTTAATTAAAGTATTTTATTATTACGTTGAAATAATTTTACGCCCTCAAGATTAACACAAACGAAAACAAAGTTATTTAGAAGTAAAGGGTGTTATAGTAGGTATATAGGTATGATAATTATTTGCGATCGTGTCAAACGGTCTTTCGTAACATCAAACAAAATTAATTTTCATTCTTTATATATAATCTCTCGTTTATTATTTAAGTAATTTATTTACCAAAATAAATCTAAATGCAAATTATCGCGGCTTTATTTTTGCGACAATTAACGGACACGCTATTTATAAAGTTAGTAGTTAATAGCTATGTTAATAGTCACTTCTATCCCCCGGGGGGTAGGACCGCTGAAAACCACTACTTTTAGGTGGTGAGTGCTTTCTCCCATTTCACAAGCACTCGTCTTTCTTAACTATTATTAAAATAAAATAAAAAACAAACAATGTATGTGTGCATGTGTGAAAGATGTTATGATTTAAGAAAAAAAATAAACGAATTTCTAAATGTATTGCGCTACAGCAACGTTCTTTAAAAAAAGAAAAATACGTGAAGTCGAGAATTGACAAAGGCACAATGTCGCGTGGTCATACGTGATAAGGTAATCTTTAATTGAAGGAAAAAGCTTCCAATATAGAAGGTTTTCCTGTACATCGTTGCTCGTTTGCATCACGCTCAGTGCTAACGCGACGGTGGACGCGGCCACACGCGAACTCTTCGCTTCACTTCCGTCGCGTGACTTCTTACGAAAGATACGAATATTCTGCCGTTTAGTACTCTCAGTACTACCGTGTCAACTGTCGCAGTGAAATTTAAAAGTGCTAGTGATCTAGATTGATAGAAGAATCCTTTTCGGCCGTTCGAAGGTCAGCTAATTTGTTTTCCCTTAAACACTGAGTAGGAGATAGTCTAGTGATAAATACATACTTACTGTACATAGTTAGCTAGTTGTTTATCTGTTTTAAAAATCGTGTGATAAAATGGACCACTTTTAACTTCTTGAACTATTAGAATAAAATGCAGCGGGGAATCCCAGATATGCAATATGTAAGTAGCATGATATTTAAGGATGAATGTGCTTAGTGTTAATATTACTTGTTTTGTATTGAAAATACAATCTTAGACGCCATATAAAATACCGCGAAAAAAATTACGGTAAATTTACTCATTATTTTATGAATCGCAATTTGCTGAACGTTCACGAAAACTAACAATAACGTATTAAAACGTGAAAAGGTTTTGGTTTAATTAATAATAATTAAATATTATTGAAAAAACTATCGCGATAATGTAACATGAATAAATAAAAAAAAACACGTATTAACGTAGGTAGGAAAGGTGCTACGCCGAGCGTAGCCATTCTACGCCCGGTAAAAGCTGATACTTAAGAGTAGTGTTCAAGGGACCATACACGCTGTCGGGTTCATAGTTATTACTTGCCCGGACTTCCTTGTATTAATTGTGATATTCGTATCGCACAGACTTTAAGACTCAACTAATTATCAGGAGTAAGACTGTAAGAGAGTGTGAGATGTACTCTACATACATTACTTTTACTCTTAGTTATTAAACGTTAATTTATTTATATACGTTAGAATAATTGAAATAAACACTGGCACTATGTAATTAATAATTTATACTCTACATGGTTTAATATGAATCACCGAGTAACGGAGCACAAAATTTAATAACGCCTTTATCGTTTGTCATAATATGAAGACAAGTAGCAGAAATAATTTACTTTATAACTTATTAAAACTGATTGAAAACATATTATGAGAGCAGAAATAACACAGACAAGACATCAATGTATGCCTCTAACAATTTTGATCACAATTATTAAGATAACAAAATATTTAAATAAAACGCTTTAACGGTTTAAAACATGTATTAGTTAAACTTATTTGAAAATTAGGATTAATTTAAATAAAACATTTTAACGGTTTAAAACGCGATATATTAGTTAAACTTATTTGAAAATGATTTTTAACTTCGGCCCGTCGTTTCGGATGCTTTGCAGCAGCCGAGGACACTGAAGATGGAGGATGTCTCTGACGTCAAAGTAAAAAAATTCTAGCGCCATCTGTTCCGTCAAGTTGTATTTGGCGAAACTGGATGGGTACTTGCAGAATTTACTAACGGTGTCTTCGCGTTTGCCGGTGTGCTGTTTATTGGGATCCAGAGTTTTTAATATGGGATCCCAGGTGTTCGATAATTTGAGGCCGTCCTCCCTATTGACATTTCGGTGTTTTTTCATTTCAATTGCTTCGCGTACCAATCTTGGAAAAAATCGACTCTCCTGTAAAAGTTGTAAGTTTATCGTGTTTTAAACCATTATAGTGTTATATTTAAATGTGTACTACTCGCGTAAACTACAGACAGTATTTAATGACATAATATTTTAAATTCGTGTGATGTTTGAATCAAGAAAAATAATCTAACAATCTCCCAATTAGAAAAGCACTTTAATGAAAGTATAAACTTAATTAGTCGTGAAATGAATTAATTAAGGAGGAGAATTAATGTTTGTCCCCGTTTATTGTTTCAGACAGCGATGGATTCAAACGAACTGGATTTGTTAACATAGGGTAAGTTTGTTAGGGCTGTTCAACAATTCATTCTGTTTCTGAGTGTACTAAGCGATTTACTACCAATGTTGTTATAACTTGAATTCAATAGACTTTTACAGCTTTATGTTAAACTAGCTGTGTCAGCGACTTCATCCGCGTAGAATAGTGTGTATCATTTATAGAGGAATCATACTTTGATACATATTTTTTGGATATATTGAATCGTTTTCGCAGCGTGTGCAACTGATTCACGTTTCCCACTGTTTCTTAGATCCTATTGGTCTGAAACCCTTCTCCGTAAATGCTCTAATCAACACAAATAATAACTAGTAATACTTGAGATTAGCGCGTTCAAACAAACAAACTCCTCAGCTTTATTATTGGTGTTAGTGACTCCCTTTTGTAATCATCTCTGTATAATTATAGTATATCAAACACAGACATTATAAGAAGAAAAAAGTATAGGTAAGGAGGCAAACGAAACAGACTCTGCAGGAGTCCAGTTTCGATGATTAACACGACGGGACGTCATGAGGCGGCCTTAATTAGTTTATTTGTTGTATTACTGAACACAATTACAACTTTTTCCGAATGTAACTTCTTATTTGACTCATCCACGTGGTCTAGACTTTTTGGCGGTGTCCCGTATATTGCTCAACCTCCGACGCTCTTGCCCAGCATCGGGTGAAGAGATTCTGACTTTGAGTCCCAAAAAAGTATGAAACGGCCACACATTTAAGTCCCGAATTTAAATCTGAGTTAAACTAACTTTCTTTTTGGTTTGGTACACTTAAAATCTTGGATTATAAAATATAACTCAATGGAAAAACCAGAGCATAAATTAAAATAAGGTATTCATGTGTATAACTAACATTTAAAGAGGATTCGGATGGGGATCAAAGCGACCCAAAGACCCATTTAGAAATATACGGAAATTGTTCTTGCGGAAAATTTCATCTGTTCAACAAAATGTGTTTTAAAACTTTACAACTGGGATCTTTAAAAAAAATTGATGATCTGCTCTCTCGATAACTTGTAAATGTGTAAAAAGTGTAAGTAATGTAAACATGTCATATTACCGAATGATATTTTTGTCTTTATTTCAGATAGTAAAGAAGGTGGCAAGATGCCAGCAAACCATAAAGAAGGTGAGTACCTGTTCCCCGCGTCGCGAGTTTAGCTCAACGAAGGCTTTATCCTTATCGGAAAACTCGCAGATTCGAACTGTATGTAAATAATACAATTGAATTATTATACGACAGATATCAAAATAATACGATTATTTGATAACCTTTATACAAAAAAACTACTAGCTTATTGTGTTATCTTTTGTTGTATGGAATCATAATTACAAAATTAGGTAGAGTAGGTAATCAAAAGTCTAATAAGATCTTAATCAAACAAGATTTTTAAAGAAAAAGGGCAATATGTAAAAAAAAAACAAATGATTATTTTACCATAATATCGATGTTTTCGGTGTAGCCCGGTCACATTTATTGCCAGTTGGCCATATTATGTTCTTAATCACAGCATGATAGATATGTCTTGAAACTAAATACGCTGTCAAGAGAACTATTCCTAAAAGCTTTTCATCTAATTTAAATTGCTTGCCTCCAGTTTGTGAGTTCTAAATAAGCGAAGCCGGCTTAACAATTCGTAGACGTATGTTAGGGATTGTAATGTATGTGTAATCAAGCAAGACGTGTTGACATTCCCGCAGGGAGCCCACTGATAGGAATTCTATCAGATTTAGACGATCGAACTATTTTTATCGACGTTTCTGCGCCTCCACTGTCGTTAGCATATTCATGATTTGTTATAAGTTTGGCATCTGAAAATCGCAAACTAGAGACGCATTTTACTAGATGTGCCCACGTCTTTATCCGCGTGGAATAGTTATTTTGGGTATCGAGTTAAGTTTTTGCGAACCTCCTCCCCATCTTTGTAAATTATAGCTGTTAAGTGTTAACCCATGACATCGCCCGCGTCTTAAGCTTTCATAATAATTACAAGATAAAAATCAATATGATACTTACTTATTCAATTTGCCCTTTTGTTTTATGTTAATAAATAAATATGATCCTATTTTATTTGAACGAATTTTGTCAAAGAGCGTGCTCACAAGAGTGTCAGGGTTTTATGTCCACGACGAATAATGTCATAACTTTGAATTGCCCTTTCCGTCGCTAATTGACGAATTATACTACCACTAACTCGTGCAGGTTTGTTTTCTAACTTGACTTGACAGAACTAAAAATCTTCTAAATTATTTTCTTGCGTCCAAATTTGTTTTTGCATACCTTTTAATTTAAGCTGTTTCTCATCCACGACGTCGGTTAAAAGATATATGATAGATATAGATAGTGTCACCGACACGTTTTTAGATCATTTAAAGAGAAATCATTGTTTTATGCATATTTTTTCAGTATGTTGAACCGTCCGTTTGTTTGAACTCATCGAAAACCCATCAATCGAACCAGTAGTTCCTGTGATTAGCGCATTCAAACAAACAAACAAATTCTTCCGCTTTTTATATTAGTGTAGTAGATGCATAGAGATCGAAAGATAAGTATAGTAAATTAAAAAGTAAGGGTCACGTTAAAATTTGCAGGAGGATGTAAATAAGCCTAAGGCATATAGAGCTAAATTTATACGAATAATAATTACAAATAGGCAGGTATTTACGTTCGACAGCGTAGATGTTTTATAGGCGGTCGTGAATTCACTGAAACTCTGCCAAAAATAACATTATCAGTCGATTGATTTGTTTCAAAGAAAAAACCTACTTAACATCAAACTTATGCACCAGCATCGACAACATATAAATGCAATCTTTGAGTTTCGGCGAAACTGTGAATAACATTAGATTAAAGGTTGTCGATTTCTAGTAAAGTACAACATAGTGTTGAAAATGAAATCGCTCGTAATCCCTGGGAGTTTTCTAATAAATTACTTTCCTTTCCAGTCTCGGACTCGATTTATAGCCTATTAAACTTTGGTCTATAAAATGGGTCAAGAAAGTTAATCGAAGGTGAACGGGGGCTATCAATTTATAAAACCTGACCTCACATCCTAGGAAAGACTTTCTTGTCATTATAATCGTAAGCCACCGTTTGTTTACTTGCAATTTCATTTTATCGCATATTGTCCCGCAAACACCTTTTTCAAGTAAAAATAACCCTATGACGCAGGACAACGGCGCGGCATTAATAATAATTGCGTTCGCAACTATCGGAAGAAACTTCCTTTTCGGCGTGATTGATGTAGGATTTCACAGAAATGAACAATACGTTGGATTAATGGATTGAATTAGACAAAAACATTTTCTTTTTTAGCTGTAAATCTTGAGAGTGATACTCATGTTTTGAAAATCTTTATAAAAAAATTGTTATTTGCCTCGGATTTTGGAAGTAGGTGTTATCGCCCGTACTTAACGACGCAGCACGTTAAGCCATCAGTGGCGTTAATAATTTAATGAAGATTATATCCCACCAACCCAAACTGGAACAGCGTGATGGGTTTGGGCTCTGAAACCCGACGACATTAATGGATTGAAACGACAAAAAGAACAACAGCATGAAAAGTCCCCATCGTTCACATCGGAGACAGATGTCATGCCATGTGTTTCGGCCAATGCGATGTCAATTTGAATGTTTGTTGGACTGACACATGTAATTTCCTCGTTTCACTTTGTGCTGACCAAATTAACCTAGGACTTATAGGTTAGTGTTCTACTTCAACTGCGTTGGACCGACCCGAAAACGGTAGCCAACTGTATATATATATGTATACAGAATAACTTGTAAGTTAGAAAACTTTATTTTACATACGTCGGTATTGATTGATGGTTGTGGATAAGTTTAAAAGTATTTAAATAAAGAAAAGAGCCACGGGCGCGACTTGAATCGGCATCTACAGGCCGTGTTGCTCTCACGGAATGAGCTACCGTGTCGTATACGTCATTGTTGAAGAGCTGCGTGTGTGCGCATATAGCGAGAGGATTATGTACGAGCGCTATGGATACCGGTTCAAGTCCCGCCCCTGCTTTTTTAAAAATATAATTAGATTTTTAATATGTTTGGAAGTTCATAGTATCTAGCAATATTCTTCTAGTGAGTGCTTAGATGGCCATAGATGAATTTGAGTATGCGTAGTGGTGGCGAAGTGGGCTTGAGGCATCTTAAAGGGATTATCGTTTTTAAGGATACATGGACGATAAATTAATTTTGTGCAAGCACTTAAATGTTCGAGGGGAACGAACTCTTCAGCGAAGTAGCGGAAACAATAGCCTCCGGAAGAGGCTAATTTTCTTTAAAGTGCAACTCGAAAACACGTCAGATGATTGAAAATAAATTACGGCACGGGCATCCGCAGCGATCCGTGCTGCTTTTTCATTTTATTATTGATCTAAACAATGTTTTCTTTTGAAAACTTAAATATATTTCGCATGCTTTTGCACATTGAAAAGAAAATTTTGTCTGACCCGTGTCTTAACTTTTTTCAATTAATAATAGATTTTTTATTTACATAATGTTAGATTTATTTTAATAGACTGACTCATGTAAGTTTTTGTTTTCAGGACGAAACCGTCTGTGTGCCATGGTGGAGCTTCCATCGGTCATCGGAGAGGAAACTGCTGCGGCTGAAAATGTAAGTAGTTCACCTCGTGATAGATAAGATTTCCGAAGAAGAATAAGAAATTCCGAGGCGAGGTATATATTTAAAACAAGTTACTATAAACCGCATTGCATTAACTGATTTGCATTTAAAAAGTCCTAATGTTGTCTCGGAAACAACTTTAACAGTGCGTGCACTGCGGAGCCCCCAAGTACACAAGAGCAATAAAGTGAGTTTATGTAATCCACGACCACAACCGCTTGTGACTGAAACGCGCTGACCTAATTTGTAAGCTTACGGAGAATCTATTACAAAAGTCGGAAATCTATTATCGAAGTCGGAAAATAAAGGTGGGTACATCTGAGTTTCTCCAGGGTCGGGAGGGCACTTAGCTTGGAGTGATTAGTTAGTCGAATCTATTGTTTAACAAGGCTCAGACTTTTCTAGAAGTTGATATACGATTGGGCGGAATCCACGACCCGTTAATCACCAATTCGATTCCCACCAGATCTAATTTCTTATAAATTTATATTTTTTTTAAAAAATGCGGACTTCGGCTGGGCAGCGTCTTGTCAGATCAAATCAAATCAGATCGACGGCGATTCTTGTTGCCATGTCATATGGCTGGGATGCTTCACCTTCCGTCCAAGTCCCAGTGAAGTCCATGCTGAACCTCTTTGTCGTAAAAGAATGAGCACAAGTTTTACGAGTTTGATTACCACACAATCACTACATGGGTTTTTTAGTAAGCCGGGGCGGGTCGCTAGTAATTCGATATTTGAAGTGTCTATATAGAGTCTTTCTCGTATTCAAACAAGGTACGAAAATAAGGAAGACTGCGCTATATGAGGTGTCCGGTACACGTCTCTTGCGTTAGTTCTAAAGGCAAATATAACAATCGTTCCCGGGAAAATACGTTTAAATTTCTTTAATGTTTCGGCGCGAACGGCTGTTTCCATTTGTAGGCAATTAACTTTTAAATGCCTCTCGTAATAAAGCCAGTTGTTATATCGTTCTTTTAGTATTTCGGTAATTGGTGCAGACATTTTTTAAATTAGGTATCCCATAGTGTTGCGATCCACATAAAACCTACACATATACATATAACTTGCAAAGAAATTCGACTTGGATGTTATAATGGATATTCAATTATATCGAAACAGTTACAGAATCGATCACATATTAGATTGTCGACACGGTAGTTTGTACGAAAACTTTCGCTAACAGCTCCCTTTGGTGAAATCTTTCTTTAAAATTTAAGCTTTAGAGTAATTTTATTTAACTACGTAATTCGTTATTTACGGCCTCTTTAATATTTTATGACGGAGGAAGACAGACAAACATGGCGTTTACTTTACGACAGGTAATACCCCTGCCATAAAACATTTCGACAATATGCACTGTTGACCTATTTTTGCTTTGGATATTCGGAAATACAGACTGAAATCGAAACGCGATTAGGTTTCATTTGTGCACGGTGGTTCGTGACCTGTGACCGTGAATGGTTTATTATCCAAACATCCAGACGAAGTCCAACTTGTTTCTGAAGAATTATATATCGTTTTGGAAACTTGTCGGATCCGGTTGGGATTAGACTACAAATTAGTTATTATCTAGCGGGGTTTTTATACTTCTCTGGGTTTGGATCTCAGGGACCCGAATAAAAAGTTTTTAGATATATAGAAGAATAAGGCTTACAAAGTACAAAAACGTGTTTAAACTCAATATCAACCAATCACTGCTATCATGTAAATAGAAGCCATCAGTGAATTACACATAGCAATGCATCTGTCAGACCAGACATAGGAACAAGATCTTTCACACAACGCGAAATATATTACTTGACTTTTTACTTTAATTTAATACGGCCGGACGTTTCGGCTGCTACGCTATAATCATTTTCTAAATTACATTAATATCATATTGAGAATGTGTTACTGCTCTATACTCAGCGACCACTATATCTAAAAATGGGAATAAAAGCCCGCGACTACTTGTAGCAAGTAATGATGTTGTCTCAGCTAAGGGCCGAGCGACTATCGACTGTTTACTTTTCCTTCCTGTTGTTTATGTTTTGCCGAAAATGTTTTTGATTTCTGTAGACAACATAATAGTGAAAATTCTCTCCTCCCTAGGTAATATCTTCGCAATCTCGAAGTGTATTATTATAATTGCATTGTCTTATTATAATTGCAATAGTCGGTTTAAACCGTCAACGCTTTTAGAAGTATGTATAACAGTTTTCAGGACTCATTTAAAGCTCGCGTCGTTTCAGATTCAAACGCCAACAGCAGACTTTATGCAGTCCGAGCTTTAATTGCGTTTGTTTACTTTTAACGTTTCATTTTATTGTAATGGAAGTCTTACTTTCGGCTTTCAAACACTATTATTGTTCCTGGAATATCGTAGCAAAAACGACTAAGTTTTATGGATAATAGAAGGGAAATTCCCCGAGAGAAATGCTGAAAGCTCAAGTCGAAGAAAAATTACTCAGACAACTTTTAAGAAGTTAAATATTATATCTTCGTTTGAAACTTCTTATTCAAGTATAAGTGAATTAAAGTCTTCATTCGTGATAAATTTTCTTTAGTTTTGCATTCGTCGGGATCTAGTTAGAAATAGTTTAATCAAATCTAATTCTATTATAGCGTTAGGATCGTAAAAAGTGTCGCAAAAAATAGTTGAACGACCACCATTAATCTCCTGTTGCAAGATGACGAGCAATAAACCGACGATGTATCCAACATGCGAAATGATTAATGACTCTTTTATACACGTATTTCGGGCGTTATCTCATGTTCGGTGCTTTATGTTTATGAAAAAATCCTAGCTTAGGAAGAAAAGGAAATGAAAGGAAGAAAATGGGGCCAAGCTATTTTCCAGCATCACCATAAATGGCTGTACACCCCCTTGCGCGCCCTTGCCTCCTCTAGTCCTAGTGCTTCCTGCTTCGTTTTAACGTTTGGTTACATAAACAGCTGTGCATTTCGACTGGGCAGGTGATTTGCCCACCGCAATCTAGACGCTCGGTAGGGCTACCACCTAAGGCCTGGCCCGATGTTTTTAGGTCTTGTTCCTTCTCTGTACGATTTGGTTTTATACCAGTGCCAGATAGTCGCCCTACTGCTTGAACAGGAGCGGTCCCACAGAGGCCCTGCAACAGCTTTAAATTAGCGAATTGTCAGTTTCGAACTTAGTTGAGCCAAAATATTTAGATATCGTATAAGTGAGCGCTGTACCGTTCCAAATGGTACGTAAAAGCCCGCGATATACAAAATAATGAAACCCGAAAGAGTGTTATCGACAAGTATGGGTATCTGATAGCGAGACAAGGTATTAATGCGTTTACACAGCGATAAGAAACACCCGGAGCAGATGTGTGGGCGGGCAGTCGAATGACACTGATTTCACATACAAGAATGCTACTCGAATACGTAATTACACGTCGATTTTTCTAATTACGAAAGACCCAACAGCTGTAAGTATGGACATTAAGTTGGCGGTAGGAATTCTAGGTCCTTAGTTTTAAGAAAATACATTACGTCCGCTAAAGGTTTAACGGTTTTGTAAAAGAAACGTTTGTATTGTTTCTCCAATGGCTGATAGGACAATAAGTAAATATTTTATGTGAATATTTAGGTTTAAATGGCTAGAAACGGTTATTGAATTGAGTGGGATGCAAGTCAATTATCTTATTGATTATAGTAGTTAATTGAAGCCAAACCCGGCTTAAAATTGACAAAATAAAATCAGACTTGTGCCCAATTCTTGCCGTGTGTTGTCTTTTTGTATTTTACAGATTGTACATGATATACTTATGGGCACGATTGAAGACTGACAATATTTGGGAATTCATTTGATCAGCGTAGCCTTTATAATATTTACGATAGAACATTAGGCGTCGCTATTTTCTTTCATAACTCCGTTTCAAATGAGCAAGTTCCTTTGACCAATATGTTTTATTGGATGTTCACAAAGAAGTTTTCAAGAGGACCGTTTGTTGCTAGAAAAGCAATTTAAAGGCATAAGGACGTACAAGAACCTTTTGTTTCATTTAGAATTTAAGATATAATTCTTTTTGTTTATTAAATTTTTTATAATTGTAGGGCAACTGTTGCGAAGAATCACACGGTGACACTGAAGGAGAAACGAAACTGGAAAGTAAGCGTAGTGCATCCACCACAGTCAGCAAACGACAGTCAGGTGATGTCCCAACCAGCACGTGTCCTGAAGAACAGGTATTTACCAAGTTCCAAGCAAGCAAATTAATGGAACATTTTATCATACAACTTTCCGATCTGACAACACCAGCTCAAATACAACATATCAAATAACTATAAACAGTGCGTACAGAACAAAGGAATTGTTACAGTTATCATAATAATATCGCTCACGATGACAGTGTCTATCGTAGCGAATACTTTTTGCTTGCGACTACTTTGATCTTGCATGACTAGTTCCTAGTTAAACAAATAAACATAGATTTATTCTAAAAATGCTTTACAAGTCTCTAGGTCTACAGTTTCCCAAAATTATTACCCAAAGTGTAGTAAGTAGATCAAACAGTACTCCACGCGTAACAACTTTTAACTGAAGCGAAGGTGAGGATTTACCAGTTTCCACGACGAAGTGGTCAAAATAAACTAAATCTTTATATACTAATATATAAAGCTGAAAAGTGTTTGTTTGTTTGAACGCTAATCTCAGTAACTACTGATATGAATTGAAAAAAATATTTCTGTGTTGGTTGGAGAATTTATCGAGGAAGGCTTATAAAACAACGCTGCAAAATGGGTTCAAGATACCCAAAAAATATGTATAAAAGAATCATTTATCTATAAATGCTCTAAAGTCAGCGACGCTATGTTTTTTTCCTCATTAATGTGTATTTTCTGTAGTGTGTTTTATCAATAAAGGAATAATAAATAAAAATAAATATGTCTGTCTCTTAAGACGAACTCGCAAGAACGACGCTAACCAAAAGACGGGTCGCGAGCGACGGGACGCGACCGATGCCCAAAATTCCTATTCTACGCGGACAAAGTCGCTGTCTCAGCTAGTTAATCGAGCTTCGGAATGAACAATGTACACTTTGAGTACGGTTGGCGGTCGCAGGTCCCCTTTGGCTTTTATGAAACCTGACATATTTTAGGTTTCTTCCAATCCCGACTTTGGCAAAGTATTCGTATGTACGTGTTCTTTAGTATAGGATCTTTCGTCTCTTACGAGCTTTTTTAGCTATGTTTTCGAAATTTTGAGTAGCTTATAAACGAATAAAATTGCGTATAAGTGCGAGGCAAGGGGACATTTCTTCAAAATTATTTACCAAAGCACGGAAAGATGTTTTCAAGACACTCGACAATGGGCGTGGAATCAAAAGTAGGCCAAATATTTTCGGAAAATGTCTTCGAAAAAAAGTTCAAAACGAAGTCATTCGCGAAAGAACGAAAGTGACGGATATTGCTAGCAAAATCGGCAGGATAAAATGGCAATGGGCTGGCCATATTATTGTTGTAGCCGTTACATACTAGATTGGAGACCGCGATTAGGCCAAGGCAGAGTAGGACGACGAGTATCGCGGTGGAACGGGGGCCTGAAGCAAATGGATATGTCGAACTAAAGAGAGGGACGATTGGCATGTTTTTGGAGATGGCTATATCCAGCAGTAGACCGACACCATAAACCGATAATCACCATGAATCTTCATCATCAGATGATTAACCTAATTATTACTTTAATTTTAATAGACATTGCCTTTTTTTCTAGCTGCGAGTAAGTGACGATGATGGATCCACGAATAGTACTCGGAACAGCATCGATCCTTTTCGCGCTGAAAGCGAACCAGGTAACTGGATCGAAATATATTTACACATACAGTAATAAATAAGCTAAGCGCTAGACTGTAAGTTGTAACTCTGTTGTACGTTATTTCTCATGACAGTGGCTACGGAAAGCATGCTGAGAACGGGTCTTTACTACAAAGGAATATTCTGGCCTTCGATAACAAATAGTTTTAAGGTAAGACGGTCGAAACTATTCCAACTTCTGATAAATTGTTCTTTGCAAACTTTTCTTTGGCCTCATTCTCATAAAATTTTATTGTAGGTTTGTAAAGTTGAATCGATTTTTATAAGAGTCATAAAACTGAATATAAACATTCGTACTTGCAGGATGAAACGGTGGAGCTTTCATACCAAAGGTATTCTAGAAGACAAAGGCAAAAGTCACTCATAATGGTCAACGTTGTGGATCTAGTGCTGAAGGTACTTACTTAATAATTACTAACTATTTTGACTTCAACATAAAATGCAAAAGCTTTCCAATTTATGAATAAAGTTAAATATGCATACTTTCGTTCCAGATATCCTTAGCTCTCATTTATACGTTATCGCATCGACACAGATGTAAGTATATTTTAAAATACATTTATGTTAAGTTTTCATTGTACCATTTCCTCAAGAGAAGGAAAAATGTACCCAACGATAAGGAATGTAACCTTTGAGATGGCTAGCGCGTATGCTTTTATTTTTACAGTAGAAGAAGCGACAGACGCCTACAAAATCGCTTGGACGGCCGCGTTCTCTCTGCTAAACGTGTCAATATGCCTTCTGGGCGCTTGGCGCTGCTTCGCCAACAATTACTTGCATTGGGCAGCCGCTGCAACTTGGATACTTCTTATTGCTCAAGGTAAGTAGACTAGTATGGAAGGCAAGGTAAGACACGTACAAAATTCGATTTCATATTATGTACCTATGTAAAAAACCTTTTGTTAGTCGGAAATTATCGGTTTCACTAGTACCTATATGAAGGTCAACATTTTGGATATGCCAATATCGAATTTCAATTCTACTTTATTTAAACTTGGAACTATTGGGAGCGCTAATAATTTGATTGACAGTTTTCTTCCTAATAGGTTTAAGTGGACAAGGCATCGGCTTCCAAGCGCCCGAGAATCAAGTCTGGTATATGCTCTTCATCATATTCGTGCCGTACGCGATGCTGCCGCTGTCTCTGGGTTGGTGCATCGTCATCGGGCTCTTATCGTCCGTGTCGCACGTGCTCGCCACGGCCGTCGATGTTAGGGATATTATGGATAACAATCCCAACGCTGCAAGTTGCCATTTTCTATTGCGTTTTCATGATAGTGTGAAAGTGTGGTGTCGTTCTCCTTCGACCTTCTCTTTTTTGTATCCACAGGCGAAATCGTGTGCCATGCGGTTGTTGATCGCGAACGCGCTTCTATACAGCGCAGTCAACTTCGCCGGAATGTACGCAAAGTATCTGGCGGATTGGGGACAGCGGAAGGCGTTCCTTGAAACCCACCGGTCCATGGTGACGCGGCAGCGGACGCAGAGGGAAAGCGATAGACAGTGGAAACTGTTTCAAAGTGGTACGTTTTTCGCTTTATGTATGCGGTACATTATTAACAAATAACCTTTGGGTTTGTACGTGTCCAAAATAAATACAAACTTAATTAAAGTTTTTTGTAATAATTTACGGGCTACTATTTTTTTTAAAGTATCGTCTGTCTGTGTGTTTAAGTTTTATATAATTAAGAATCGTCTTGCAGTGATACCAGATTTTTTAGCCAAAGAAATATCTAGTCATGTGTCGAAGGTCAAAGGGGAGTTTCAAGAACAACAGTTCAACAATTTATACATCCAGAGGCATGAGAACGTCTCTATTTTGTTCGCCGATATCAAGGGATTTACTGGTACGTCTTGTTTAATTAAAGTATTTAATGAAAATGCATACCTTTTTCTATAACGTACTTATTTTGTACAATTTCAGAATTATCCAGCAAATGCAGTGCTCAAGAACTAGTCAAATTGCTCAACGAATTATTTGCCAGATTCGATAGGTTAGCATCGGTGAGTGAACAATTTTCAAGTTAATTTTTACGTATTACAAAGAAAAGAAAGATAAAGAAAGGTAACGTTTTCAATAAGTTTTTCCTAATGAAATTTATTGAAAAACTATTTTAGATGTTTATATGAATGAAACGTATTTTCGAGTCGTATGCGACGAAGATAAATATTTATCCATCTATCGTCATCGTCTCTAAGCTTTATTTCCCATAATCCAAACTAGTTAGTTTTAGCTGATGATAAATTGAATGCGTTTATATTTATTCTTCGATTTTCTATTTGAGCACTTTGAAGGTCTCGATAAACTATCATGAAATTTATTAAAATCGTACTGCCGGCAGGAGAACCACTGTCTCCGCATCAAGCTGCTGGGCGACTGCTACTTCTGCGTGAGCGGTTTGCCGGAGACGCGCTCCAACCACGCCTACTGCTGCGTCAACATGGGTCTCCACATGATCCGGGCCATTCGCGACGTGCGCTATAACGCCCAGGTGAGGCCCTTTGACGCGATAAAAACGAAACTCACTTCGTCACTCCCGAACTGCCATGTTAGAGTTCGCCGTAAAAGTGTACCAGGAAAAGCGATTTTTTTTTATGACAGGCGTGGTGTTCACTCGATGCAAGGTGAACGCCCAGCCTTATAACGTCTCAAAAAGTATTTTTGGCTTTGGATAGTCGAAAATTCATAGACTAAACTAGTCTGTGGATGATGGTTCGTAAATCGAGCAAAATTTGCGATACACCTACCACCCCGTTTGACAACAGTTTAAATAATATCGGATATATTATAAATTGATTAGAAACATGTGGGACTCAGTGGAGATTTCACTTCAGGTTGATTTGGACATGCGGATAGGGATCCACAGCGGGACTGTTCTCTGCGGCGTACTCGGGCTGCTCAAGTGGCAGTTCGACTTGTGGTCACATGACGTCACACTCGCCAACCACATGGAGAGCGGTGGACTGCCGGGGTAATTTAACAAAAACCTCTAATTACTACCACTACCACTAATAGTGTTAGCTTTATTTATATTATCAAATGTATGTTGTGTTTGTAATTCATTTTTGGATGTCTAGAAGAACTAATGAGAAGTTGTCATAAGGGGTAGATTTTAATGTTGTTTTACTAAAGTTAAATAAATTGACTACTGTTTGGGTTGCGGCTCTCAAATGAACCGTATAAGAGTCAAAAAGCGCACCCACTAGAACGGGGCCGTTGGCTAACGACAGCCGCTTGCCAACAACGTTGTCCAACGTTAAAGGACAAGTGTATAAATATATGCCTAAGAGTGTTTAACAATAGTAATTAACTAATCATAATTATTGTGACAGCCGAGTCCATATCTCTGCGACCACCCTGGAGTGTCTGAACGGAGCTTTTGAAGTGGAGTACGGCGATGGACAATCTCGGAATCCTTACCTCCGCGAACTAAACATCGACTCGTTTTTAATTAAAAGCACAGAACGACCCAGACCCACCAGAAATAGATCGAGGGTACTGTAAGTATAACCGGCTCGTGGCGAAATATTATATTTCTTGGAAAGTACTCGGAAAGAAGTATTGCTTAGGTACAGTGTTATCATTTAGAGGATAGTTGGAAGACCTTGCGTCTTTCTCTGCGACTTTCATTGGACTTCTTATTAAAAATATAAATAAAGTGCTGATATTCTGGTTTATGTAATTTGAATAATGCTCAATAACCAGTATTCGGAATGAAAATAATTTTACGAAATTGTTAATTAACTTTGGGGGTAGTTGAGTTTTCTCGGTACAATCACTGAATCGGGGCGAACTGGCTCTTCGCGGCCGTATTACATGTTGAGCTTATTGATATTTTAGATCAAATCCACCACAAGTCTCCAACGGCCATGCCCCGAGACGAACGAGCGGCAGCATCGACGAGGAGTTGACGACCGACTGGACTCCAGAGATGCCGTTTCAGAGTGTACGTTTCAATCCTAAGTTTCTGGTTATATTTCGTCATTGGAATTAATACATATGCTTTAATACTCTCAAGATTTTGTCATTTTTATAGTATTTCAGTAGCGGCACAGGAATGCTGCGGCGATGTCAAATCAGGAAGGGCGATGCCGACCAAGAAATGGAGATGGTTTCTATGTCCGAGGTAAAAAGGTTAAATTATTATAATTTAGAGGACTAAAATATTCCTACCTCGGAGTCGGGACTGTACTAAATTCTGGTCAAATGTCTTCGATTCAGGAGGACGACATAATTAACCATTCCATCGAAGTGAGTAGCAACCGTAAGATGCGATTGGAGCACATGCGTCCCTGGTCGCTCTACTTCCGCGAGGCTTCGCTGGACGCGCAGTTCGGCCAACTCGACGAAAGAACATTTAAATCCAACGTGATGTGCTGTCTGGTGCTATGGCTTTTTATACTCTTCGTGCAGTTTATTATGCACTACAAGTAAGTTAAAGGACTATTTGTACGGTTTGAGTTAGTGCTTCTGTATCACAAAACCGTACATATGTTTTATATTAAATATTTTCTCTTTCAAGCTGTTTGCTGCTCGTGATAGTTTTACTCGTGATGACTATTCCCTTGGCACTCTCGTTCGTTCTGGTGATGGCCGAGGAGTTTCCAGATGCTTTACCGCGTCTCGCCAAGATGTCGGCCGCGCTGAGTGGCAGTCGGATGCGGAGAAACGCGCACATTTGTTGCTTCGTGACGATTATGTCAATATCAAGGTAAACTCATTAAATACGCCGAAATATGCTGTTATTTTTTTAAGTCTTAATTGAAAAAGTAAGTTCTAGCACGTGTTGCGGACAGCGCCATCTTCATATATTCGTTAAAAACTATTATCGATAGGCGATGGGGGTCTCAAAAAATAAATCACTCATTCACTCACTCTGCAAACATTGTACGTTACAGTATTGTATTAACGTCTTTAATAAGAGAAAAGGATCCACATGTTTAACAGCATGTTTGAGTAGCAATTTAATTTGTTTTACTAATACACATAAACAACAATGTTCACAGCACGACAAAACTCTACATTTGTCCAGCTTCTTTTCCAAATGTGGATGGTCTTAATGTTACCAACGGCAACGTGACGGACGAGGCCAAAGTCGGCGAATGCTATAGACCCGAGTACGTCGTGTTTACGTGGATCCTGTGCCTCGTCGCCCTCACCTCTATCCTGAAACTGTACTATCTGATTAAGACCTGTCTGGCCATCGTCAACGTCGCCATGTACTCTGTGCTGTTGTTCGTGTACTACAATGTTTACTACTTCGACACCGTCAACTCCACTGCGTAAGTATGCCTATTTTCTTATTTGCCTTCTGAAGAAATTGTCAAACTTCTCCTAACATTGTATTAAAAAGCTCCTGTCGTCTCAGACAGCTGCCGTTCTACGTCCAAATGATGATCCTGATGGTGATGTTCTTGATAATTGTGGTGTATCACGCGCGACTCGTGGAAGTGACGTCACGATTAGATTTTCTCTGGAAGCTGCAGGCGGAGCACGACCTCAAGGAGATGAAAGAGACGCAGCGAATGAATAGGAATCTTCTCAAACACATTCTGCCCGATCACGTCGTGAACCATTTCCTCAGCAAGGATCGTTGTCCGGATGTAAGATATTAATCGATTATAAGTGTAAATAAACGAAAAATTATTTGATATATTTATTAAGGTATTTTTTTGATTAAAGGAACTCTACTCCCAATGGCGAGACGAAGTGGGCGTCATGTTTGCCGGCATTCCCAACTTTCACGAATTCTACTCGGAGCAGAAGGCCGTGGACTGCATGAGGCTTCTGAATGAAATCATTTGTAATGTACCCATGATGATAAGCAATTTTCTTTTAACGATAAAATGTTTGTTATACGTGTTCTCATCGTTCATTGAAATATTTTTGCAGTTGACTTTGACAAGTTGTTGATGCAGCCCCGATTCAAAAGCATCGAGAAAATAAAGACGATCGGTGCAACGTATATGGCTGCTTCAGGGTTGAATCCGGATCACAAGGTCTGACCATCTATCGATTTCTTAAATCTAGGCAGCGTTACTTGGGTTAGTAACAATTTGACTTAATACAGATGAACTTTTAAGTGAATGTTGTTATATTTTTTTTAGACTGGAGATGATGACTGTGAGCACTTATGCGCCTTAGTTGACTACGCTTTCGCTCTTCGCGACGCTCTGGAAGAGATCAACAAGCACAGCTTCAACAAATTTCGACTTCGAGTAGGTAAGTGCTTTCGCCTGAAGCTTTATTTATTCTTTCTTACCATCTATATATGTAATTTAAAATACACTAAAAGATAGAAAAAAACGTACGTCCTTTCTATTATCAAGGTTATTTTTCACACAGGTATAAGCTGCGGTCCGCTCGTGGGTGGAGTGATTGGCGCTCGGAAGCCTGTCTACGATATCTGGGGAAACACTGTGAATGAGGCTTCGCGGATGGAGTCCACGGGCACCATGGACAGAATCCAAGTCACCAAGTACACTAAACAGGTGAATCTCTTTTGTAAAGTCTTCAAGTCTAGTTTTTGTAAAAAAAACCTTTTCTCGTCTGATTTAAAGTGGCCCAACCTAAATGCCTTCTTTCAATTGTTCAGATGCTAGAGCGCCACGGTTACGGCCTGGAACTTCGCGGAGCTGTAGCGGTGAAGGGCAAGGGCCACATGGAGACGTGGTGGGTGACGTGCTGCCGACGACGCGGTACCGGTGCGCCGCCGCACCCTCCTGCGCCGAGATCCCTCGCTGCGCTCGTGTACACCATGCTGCAAGCGCGTCGACGAATCTATACGCATCCACTCGAAGTTCCAAGTGAGTAGAGTTCCGCCGAATGTAGGTTATTAACGTTAAATTGGATTTATCATGGATTTTATTGGTGTCAAACTATTTAATGTCTTCAGTTTCCACCAATTTGTCGCGAAATCGTACGAAAGTTGAATTCACTAGTGTTGCAAAAATGTTAAAGTAAAAATACATACTGTTCAATGTTAAATTGTTAATGTACACTGAAATTATTGTACAATTGTACGTTACATGTTAGTTACTTACACATCGGGTTGAGTTAATTTTTTAGTTGTGACTACTCAAACATTGATATAAAATATTGTTTAAACATCTCAACGGTTTACAATTATTTTAACTACGGCCCGACGTTCCAAAAAGCATACCGACCCTTGCGACCACCGACACGTTAGTAAATTCAGCAGGGATCAATGGCCAATTCGCTAAATACCAACTTCGATGGAACAGATGCTGCTAGCGTAGCAGTTTTTACCTTGACATTAAACACCCTCCATCGTTGGTCTCCCCGTGACTCCTGCTGTAAAGCATATTAAACGTCGAGCCGTAGTTAAAATATTTTTTAATAAGTTTAACTAATATAAACCGTTAGTGATTTTTTTAAATCTGAACGACACGCGTAAACTACAGACAGTATAAAATATTGTGCTGGAGTGGTCGATAGTCAGTGCTCCGAACAGAAGGTTTGCGTCGCATTCTTAGCGAAATATTTCTAAATTAAAAATCTAGAAGCAAATAAGTGTAATTTTTGGTTATCAATGAAACTACCCTCGTCTTACAGCGAGCAGCGAGAGCACAATAAGGCGTCGCACTGCGCGCCACAATCGACCGACGAATTTAAGAAGAGCCCATACGAGGCACGAGCAGAGCACAAGGCGAGTGACACGTTAATAATTACGAAACCTAATACAAAGTTACTACTTTGACGTGTTCGTTTGTCCAATGGTATCAATGTGTGGCTAAAAATTAACGGGTCGTGGGTTTAATCGCCACCGGGTCCATCGTGTTTGATTTGTAATTTTGGAATTCGTCTGAAAATGTTTGGATATTAAATGGAAATCACTGTCCACAGATAAAAAGTCGTGAAGTTAAAATCACGCGGGTATTTCGCCTTTCATCAATGCTTCTGCCTTCCTCTGTCACAACAAAGGCCGAGATACCCATTCCGCCTTAGCCTCATCCTCTTACAAAATCCTAGTTAAGCCTGATATTCAATATATATGTTGCATGTACACCAAAGAATCCTTTATTTTCAGTAATGGCCTAGACGTAGAACTGGGGATCCGACCACATTCCAGCAGCATGGTGGCGCGTCGTCCCCACATGGCACCGCCGGTGGTCGGCAGCATCTCCGCACCACACACCCCGACGACCCCTCACGATTCCACTACTACCAAAGAAGCGATACCCACGACTACCAAACTAGGATTGGGTGCTCGCTTAAAAGCCGCCAGTTTCTCGTACAAGACCCGACCGAGCCTTCGTTCCTCCAAGGTCGTTAAGGACAAAGAGGGTTCCGGTAATTCCATATCCAACGGTACGCTGGGTTCCTTCAGATTTCGGTCGGTCACGACCGCCTCCTTCTTTCGAAGTCGCAACAAAGAGAGAAGAAAAGAAGTGGGAGAAGATAACGGAGAAGTCGTCAGCACTCGCATGTGAAGAAGTAATTGTACCTGTTACTATGTTTTGTCTGACATTTGACATAACCAGTCAGTTTGGAACGAGGCAAACCTAGCGGCGTCAAAGACTTATCATAAACTGCTTTAAAGCTGTCTTGTAATTGGCTATTAGACTTAAGTATGCAGTTTCTATTATGAGGTATATTTATTGGCGCAGGCGCCGTTTTAAGCATAACAGAGACTTCGGTAGTGTTAAGCGTTTACCCTATAAGTGATTATTGTGCCATTATTTTTAAAGTAACGATAGATTACTTGTTTAGCCAAAGGCCAGAATTTATTTATAATGAAGCTTACTAAGTAACGCGCAAATGCATAAATTTTAATGTATACAATTTGCACAACCCTTAGTATAAGGTTTTATGTTAAAGAGACGCATTGAAGTTAAGGTTGAAAAATAATGAAAGCATGCCAAAAGAAAGAAATAGAAAAACCGGTAACTAGGTACTAAAACGCAGATTTTTCATGTACATATTGTATCTATTTTTTCTGAAATCGAGAGGACAAGAAAACATCTCTTAGTAGGTTTTTTCGACTTAATTTGTTGTAGGAAGTTATGGTGAACAATGTGTGGTAAGTATAGCCTATTAAAATATACCAATCCTTTAGATATAAGAACCGTTTAAAATTCTGTATTTCTAGACGCTCTATCGACTTCCATAAAACCAAATACAGTGATCTCTCTATATTAATATGTAAATAATTGTCAAAGATCTGATATACGTAACGATGTAGTCAATATTTTTAGATTTGTGTAACTGTGTTAGTCCAAAACTTAATTTAATCAAGTGTCAACTTCACGAAGCCAAATATTTAACGCCATATTGAAAATATTGGCAATTGTATCTTTTAAAGAAATTAACCCTTATGTCGTGTTCACTAACGTTATGAGATGATTTTAGCACGAAATTATTCAATGTAATTTTAACTCATATTGACCTAATAAAATGAAAGGTAATCCTAAAAAAAAACAACCCTAAGCTCCACCTATGTCATGTGCTCCCTGTAGTGATTTTCTATTTTTTATTTAATTTCACATAAATTAAAAAAAACTGGACTCAAATTTATTACAAACCCAACAGATACTTCTCTCCAAATTCCAATAAAATGCGATGTAGTTTACACCGCATTTTAGGCGCAGGCAACTCGGCGAATCCCCGCGTAGCGGCGACACACAGGCGACCTTTGAGATGGGCACAAAAATGGCTTAGGTCTTTGAAACTAAGAAATTAATATTGAAAGCAAAAATCCCGACAGCAATTCGAAACTTACCGAGTTAAAAGTATTCTAATCGAGCTTAAAAAGGATTTACGAAAGTATTTTGTCGTCTTCAAAAAATACTTAAAACATTCCTTCCGTTTTCTTTATTACTACGCTACTAATAGCGTTAATAATCGACGTCCATTCCGTCCAGTCCGTCGCTCGGCTCGGTCTCCTGGTTCGAGTCTCTCTGCCTTGGTCGCTGGCGACTGGTCGACGGTGCGTAATGGCTCCAAGGGGGTGTGTGTCGGTGGTATGATATTATGATGAAGAAAATACGTCTGAAAGTACAATTTATGGCGAGGGCTCATCCGCGTAAAGCTGTCCGTGTGCGGCTAGCCTAAACAAACAACTTGCTATATTATAATATGATTTATTTCATTACCGTCCATACAACGCGTTTGTGATGTTAATATAGGGTCCTTATTCTACACAGCCAATGCCAAAGTTCGCGATCACGTTAGATCAATCATTAGATACAATGAATACACAACAAGGTACTATTTTTCGTGTACACACAGTTGTACATTTTCAAATATTGCAACGGTATCAAATACAAATTATACAATTAAACGATTTCGGCATAAATTAGTATTACTTAAAATATAGTTTTCACATTATGCAATACGAATTAATAAGATACTCTAATACTTCACAAGGGTTATAATTCTGCCTAGGCAATAACAGCATTCCACTTTCGAGGGGTTTTTGTATTTTAGGCCATATTAGTAAAATGGAATGTTACTAAACACTTTGTACTATCTTTCTATGCGTTTTCATACAATATTTGTAATGCCGTTCATTGAAATGCTGTACAGGTTAGACATTATACACACGATAAAGGCAAGATATGTATTTACTAACGTAACTATTATCTTTGTTAGACAAAAATCATTTAATATGGCACCTTCTATTATACGAAGAAAACAGATGTACAATACAAAATTGATTTTAGTTACAAAACCCTCGGTCTATTTTAATACTTAATTCAAAATTTTGGTTCAAACATTTCGTTGGACTATACTAAAACAATTAAAATTAATAGGAATTATTCTGATCAATTGTGACGAGATTGCAACATTGGCGTTTGCAGAATTTCAACCCACCTGGAAAGAGAAAGAATACGTAATTTAATTTATAACATATATAATAAAGAATAATATAATAATGTAACTTAATTCAATAAAAATGTGTAACAAAAACTTGCATATAATTTTTTTATTGAGTAATGACAAAGTTTAATTGGCCTATAAAAGAAAAATAACTTTAATTAAAAACAAAAATAAAACATTTTTTAATCTTTGGAGTCGAGTTGCAATATGTACCTATTATAAGTAAAGAGACTGTCAGCTCTGAAGAAGTAGACGTGGCTCCTGTATTGCAGTTTGAAGACGAAATCCTTCTCGATGCCGTCGCTGGGAGAGGGCGCGCTGACACTGTAACTGTTATCAAAACATTTGTAGAGACCACGTTAAGCCCCCTTGCATTAAAACTTGAAAATTGTCAATCGTTACCCCAAAAGCGGCAGCGAAGCGAGCGGCGTGTCGTCTTGCCAACTTTTGTAGAAGAAGAGCGTATACAGCGCGAAGACAACCCACAACTTCTGCCAGCCGTGTGAGTTTTTAAACTTGCGCAGCAGATACCCCGAAAGCTGGCTCTGAAAAACGATCAAATAAACACAATTTCACTATTTAAGTCGTCAATACTGATATCACTTGTTATGTCCGAGCCCTAAACTGTGCCAATACCGTACGCCGTACGCATTTAGCGTAAGAAGTTCATTAGAATTAATGTAAAAATCAAACTGATGCATCGTGCACAGCGAGACACCTGGTGGTAAATAGTTGTAGTCATTTATATTAAAGTAATTAATAAGTTATTAACTCTTTTGCTACCACCAGTAGTAGCCAACAAACTTGCTTAATACAAAAAACATTATTCACATCTTTGTATTAAAACGCTAGTGTGCTTTTCCAGGGCATTAGCTAGGCGATGAATAAGAAGAATTACACATAATATACAATATAAAATGTAAACTCACCCTTAACGCCAGATGCAGGTGGTCGCGGGTTAGCGAAGTGGCTCGGTGCCAGCAGACGTAGCTGAGGGCGTTCGACGTTGAGGCATTTGTGCTGACGTCCGTGTTATCTATAGGGTGTTTATCAGTTAGTTGCACTTTTAGGATTTTAGTTAAAAAACCATTTGTAGGTCTGTAGGGTCGAATAAAATAAATAAATGAAAAAGGAAACAAACAAATAATTTCTAAATCATACCCCATTAAGCAACCTACCTAATACCAACTTAATATTTACCAACCAATTTAAGAACATACTGTCTATAGTTTACGCGAGTAGTACACATTAGTAGACCGACGGTTTTTTAAGTATTACAAATGTACGTGTCAACAAACGACAACAACAAAGTTCTAGTACAAAGAAAAACATTACTACATAAAGGCCTTTGATATCTACGTTGTATTTGTATATTAAACGAGAATGTCGCTGTATAACTGTATTTAAAGCGAATAGTGGTTCATCGATTTTTCCATACGAGTGACCCTTTTAAGTTTTGCGAAATAAACAGACGCACACCGCAATACGATTTACTAATTGGAAAGCAATGTTACCTGCATCGTTGTCGATATGAGTGAGGTTCGTGTCGACCTGCGCGTGCGACTCTTGTGCCGCCTCTATGCTGTCCGACAGAGACTCCCACCACCCGGCGAACTCCACGTCGTTGCTCGTGCTTATCAACACGGAAGAATCGTCATCTGAAAATTACGACGACCCCTTTTAGATATTTATAAAATTTATGAAACATAACTGTAATGTAACAATTAAATGCCAACACAACTTGTTTTGCAAAGATGTTATATATTTTGCTCTACACTTTTTTAAATGATAAAGGAAGACAGACAAGCACGGGTTTCACTTTATGGGAGATGAAATACCTCAGCCACATACGACATCTCTCAAGATGCGCCATCGACCTATTTTGGCCTATATAAATTATACTCTCAAAAGGAATAAAAATATTGAATACTATATTAAAGGAATCTAAGCTAGGACATTGCGTAGGGTTTTTGGACGAAGTATTAAACAATATCAAAATATTCGCTAAACGACACTTACCTAGAATGGTTATGGAGTGAGGCAATTCGCTAGCATCGAGCCTCAATCGGTGCAACGGGAGCACGCTGTGCGCGCGAAATTGACCTCTCGACGACTTCGAAGTTATAAGCAGTAAGTCACTAAACTGCAAGGAAGAAAGAACCTTATTTGTATCTCATTTAGCAATCTTTTTTGCATAACATAATTGGTTATCATCGTCTCCTAACGATGCCATCACACGAGATGGAGAAACATCACGACCATTCTCAAATTAGGATGGCTAGGACTATATTATTAGTAGATACAGACAGTATAAACATCGTAGGTAAAGATTAACGTAGAAATTGACTGAATTTCTCACCAGGAACAGCATCCGTTGCTGGAGTCCTTTCGAAGAATGTTTGTAAACGCAACCCAAACGGACGAATTCGCGCTCCGCGACCAGCAATTTGTCGTAACCTAAAGCATACAGAATTATTAACATAACTAAGATTATCCCTGGGTTTTTCGAATATCTATACTAATATTATAAAACTGAAGTGTTTGTTTGTTTGTTCGAACGGCTTAATCTCGGGTCGAATTAAAAAAAACGAAGGCTTTAGGCTATAGAGACTGCGATCAATAGGAGCGAAGAAACCGTGAACATTTTTTTAAAGTATTCGTCTTTGAGGTCGTGAAAATTTCAATTTAATAAACAACCAAATATTTATAAAAATGATTCCTCTTTCAGTGAAATAAAAAAAAAAAGGCGCGACAATATTTGTCAATCATTCAAAATTAACTGGCAAGAACGATGGGACGCAGACGACGTCGTGGGAAACAGCATTAATTTATAATGGTGGTTCTTTGCAAAAACAAACATTGATGCCCAAGATAATTCGGGCGAAGTCGTGGGTACGGCTTGTTGCCTTATAATAGCCAATTCTCTCACCGACAATGTCCCTCTGCAGCTGGCAAAGCGCCGCGTGGTTCTCCACGTGGCGCAGCTGCGTGAGCGCGAGGCTCGCGGCCTTGCTCGCCAGCTCGTGCGCCGACAGCGCCTGCTGCCCGCACGTCGCCGACCACAGCTCTGTTGGACACAAATCGATTTTAATTAGATACACAACAAACAAATATTAATAATAATTAATTACTTGTTCATAAGGTATATAATATATTAGTTCAACCTATTCCCGTTTTAAACGGTTAAAGAGTTTTATTAATATGTGTGTTCCCGTAAACTAAAAACAGTCTTTAAATGGTAGTTTAACAGTGTAACGATTTAAAACGCGGAATATATTAACTATAACAATAATAACCTTATTTTAAAATTGATTTAACTACGGCCCATTCTCGAACGCTTAAATGGTTAGCAAATGGTGTGTACTGATCACCGGGCCTTTTATTGGTTGCAGCAGCCGTGGTCTCGACGTTACGTCGAGACCACGGTTGCTGCAATAAAACAGAAATGTATCTGCCTTACGACGTAATATATTACCGTGCGTCAGGGTACAGTAGTGTAGCAGTCGGTGCAACGGGCGCAACAGCAGACACGACAGCGGCAGCGGGGACGAGTGATCGAAGGCGCTCGCCTCCCTGGAGGCTGCGCCACCTCGCCTCCTCGCGCTCTCCACTAGCGCCACCAAAGTGCCCGCTTGCTCAGTGTACTCAGCGTACGCCTGCCAATTTTAAGTTACTAGCGTGAACGGATGAGCTCCGTGTCACAGCTAAAGAAATGCAGAAATCTACAGACTGAACCGCAACGCGGATTCACTTTGCAACTATTTTCATCTATTAACCGTGGTTCGTTACCCACTTAACCTCCGGATTTTCTAGGCGATTTAGACTTCGTTCGGAAGCGATCCCGTTAAACTATGTACGAAGAAAACTCAACACTTACGTCGTACGTATTCGATAAGTAGTCAAAGAGTAGGTCGGCTATCCTCCGGTACTCCGGTTCTTCGTTATCTGAAAATATTAAAATGCACACCACGTTAATTAAGTAATTCTAATGGCAAACGCGGGGTATCATTGAAAATCGTCGTTGTTGTTGGCGGCCTACTTTCAGGTACAACAAAAGCTGAGTAGTTATTTCATGATATTTTTGTATGTGGAATAAATGATTTCATTCAGGAAATTTTATAGAAATAAGAAGCCGGAATAGAACGTCTCTTGATACAATACTATTTAACAATAATACTAATATAAGTCTCAATACGAAACAGAATTATATACCATGTTGTCGAGAAGACGACGCTAAAGCCCTGTCGAGTCTCGCCAAAAGCGCTCCAGCGGGCAAAGCCAGGGGCTCCAAAGCGAGACAGGCCTTCGCTAGGGCTGCAGCTTCGGGACCCGACGAAGCGGTTCGGCCGATAGAACCGACACGCTTCGACCACGTCTGAAAGAAAAGCATCGTAATATACTAAAGCTATTTGGCTCTACCGTTAGTACCGTTATCACATTCAAGGTACACGTTTACATCTGCGGAGCAAAAGGTATATACTAAAGAGCGCAATTGTCAAACGCAAAAAACCCTAAGACACAAAATACATAACAGCTTTGATTACAGTTTAATGAAATATTAGAAACACAAGGGACACAAACGAAGAAAATATTGTTCCCGTTAGTTTCATTAGCACTTACCACGGTAAGAAGTTCCAAGTCCCGCTTGTAGGTCCTCTCGGTCATCAGCAGCTCCTTGGCCACGTAGTACGTCACGTCGCCCGCCTTGCGCTTACACGTCATGTCGCCCAAGGTCACGCGCGAGGACAGACTGGACGAAAATAAATAATCACTCACATAGAGATGAACAAGGCCAACCTTATCCATCTTACCTCACCACAGAGGCGATGGCCAAACTGGTTCAACTTTTGCTTCGTAATTGGAAATAAAGGTCACAAAACCAACAACGCGCGTTGATCTTGTTCGGAATAAGAAAACACTAAACTACCCCCGGATATTAATATTTTATTTGAAGATATGAGATACATAGTCTTTACGAATGCAGTAGTTGCTCTCCAAAACTTTTCTTACAACGCGTTTCGGTCCAAAGGAAGAACAGAGTAGTACTCGTACGTTGGCTTACCTATTATTGTTCCGCCTACTAATCGTGTCTCCGGCGTCGCTTTCGCCTCCGCTCAGAACGTCCATACTCGTAGATTCGGATACTATGTTCACTGTAACAACGAATTTATTAATTAGACATAGAATATAAAGGTTATACCAAATTAAGTCTGTTATGCACTAGCTCGTTGTCGATTCAGTCTCATGTTTCTTGTAAATCGTACCTCAGCATTTCTACTTTGCATAATTTCTTAATAACTTACATCTAGAGATGTCCATAGACGGAGTGTGGACAATCCTGAAATACCTGTATATATCACTTTACCCAGGCCTTACTCTTTTGAGTGTGTTTTCTTTAACTATGTCCCTGAAAGACTTCGATAGAGATATAGATAGCTCACCTTGCACGTTCCCATTGATGAAGTCGACATTGTGGTTGACGAGGTCGCTGTCGCGATCCCCGTTAGCGTTATGGTCCGTCCTGATCCTGTTCGCGTGGCCGTCGGTCAGGCGCCTCTCGAGCGGCGTGGACGCGTGGAGGGGGGGTCCAGAGGGGACGGCCTCCGCGCTAGGAGACATACACAAACTCGCCGATGACACCGTGTGATCTTCCGGCGACGTTACATCTGCATAAAAACATATCTTTTTGATAGCTGAAGCTAAAAGTTGTCGTGACAAATGCTGATAAAATAACATAACTTTGTACCGTGCACAAATAAAATAATGTAACAATAAGCATTACGTCCAACGAAATTAAAAGCGTCTAAAACTATAAATGTCAGTCATGCATTAGTAAAACCTGTAAGAGGAAACAAAACATATAAAACCTGGAAGGAAAACACAATAGAGAAAAAAAGTTTAAAAGGATCGACCTACATACAATATTTGAACTGATGGACTTACATATTATCCGAGCTGCATATTTATCGAGGGTTGACAGAAAAAGTAGAAAAAGGCGAATTCGTTAAGGTTTTATTTATTGGTAACTAGCCCCGACCCCGAGGGTAGTGTATCGCAGGGTGCCGTACGCTTACATATAAATTCAAAAAACGAAATATACAATAACATCCCGATCCCTCAAAACGATACAACTAAGTGTCACATTACGCTACGGGGATTGTCATTCTCCATCGAAAAGTCGAAATACTTAAAACTATTCGATTTGTTGATGTATTGCGCTAACTACCTTCGCGACTAACTAATTTCGATCGGCTTACGCTGCTTCGCAAATTAGGAAGGATTGACGACATCGTCAAGCGTATTCTAACGCTGCAAGTGCGAACACCGCTCATAGCTCGATTTCAAATGAAACGGTCGACGATCTATTCTTCGCTTTCGCAGCTCCGACAATTTTTAGCTTTAGAATAAAATTGACGACAATCCATTAAGTAAATCCGAACTACACGCTTAATCTTAAAATTGCTTCAGACACACGACTCAACAATTCATAATGGAACCTGCGGTCAATTAGTGGATCGAGAATAAACAATTTGACACGAGATCATTGAAAAACGAGGAGTAATGCGATATTGAAGTCCACAATTAACCGCCAGTTGCAGCACTATAATAACAAACCAATTTGACTACTGTGTCTAATAAATACCCAACCATATTATATTTGTAATTAGAGTTAAGGTTCGAAGGGAATTTTTGGGCGCGTCGAGGCACCGTCCTCGCAGCAGGCACCAAAAATGTCCTAAGAATACGCACATTATATCTAGTAATATCGATTACAGAATGCCCACTATGCCAACCTTAATACCGCTATATGCCACCAAAAAAGATAACCCTTTCTAAGGTAAAAATTAAGGTATTAAAAAAAAGGTTTAAACCGCGAAATGTATTCGCTACGCTACGCTAGCGCCATCTGTTCCGTCGTAGATGGTGTTTGGGTATGGATTTGGATGGTTTTAAGTAGCAGTTTTCACATTGACATTAGGGACGTCCACCATATACAGTACCCCGTGACGTCTGCTGTTGCAAAGCAGCCGAAAAACAAGCCATTGTTAAAATAATTTGAAAACAAGTTAAACATATACATTTGGCGGTTTTCACCTTTGAAGATCTTTTATTTAAGTGTGTACTACTGGCGTAAACTGCCGACAGTACAGTTTAGGGTATTCTAAATCAGTAGGTAATTGAGGACGTGGCATAGCGTGCCGAGATCTAAAAGAGAATTAATGTGAAACAATGTATTATTAAAAGTTTTCAATTCAAAAGACTTTTAACTAATTAAGACATTAATTAAAAGTCTTTCTCGTCAACAATAGAGCGTTTTGTAAACATCGCATACGATTCGAAAAAGAATTCTTTCGCCCTTCTTCTAAAGCGTCTGTTATCAGTTCCTTGCGTTATTACGAGTAGAGGATATTAATAGTGGGGAGCGCATCTTAAATACTGTACCAAAATAGAAGACAAACAATCAAAATGGCCGGAAACTTACAAAGTGCTGGCGAAATCATTTTTTCACGCTGTGAAACTATTTTAGCGCTCTTTCATTTTATATTAACGAATAAACATTACCTTGTTCATATGTTTTATGTGGCTTTTCGAGTAATTGAAATGAATCATAATGTTTCTTTCTAAATTACGTTTTTATCTATGGTGTCAATTTTGTAAACAATACGCGTCATAAAAATTATGAAAGCTTAGTCTAGGATTGGAAAAAGTCTTAATGACGAAGAAACACAAGAATGTGTGTCTTTTTTAATACAGTGATCCAAATGTTGATAGATTACATCCAAATCGAGTATTTTAACACATTCTTCAAAAACGAATTAGTCACATAACCAGAACCCTCGTCGAGTTTAAAGTCGTACGAACTAATGTAAGGAATATTTTGAGCACTTTTTGGCACGTTCCGTTAACATCTAAAAGTAAAGTACGCTACGTTTGAGCTATTATTGGTACAGAACAGAATCTCTTCGTCTTAACCAAAGTAAATCACAGCCATAATAGTTCTAAGACACACATATAATATAAATAGAAAATCAACCGATGGGAGTATAGAGGCGGAACGACACACGCAACATTTGGCACTGTCCTAGTCTTTTCTCGTGCGTTGGTTTCGAAGTATTTGCTAAAAATTACGATCGAACGATTGGCACAAAACAACGGAGATGACAGCGATTAATTCATTGTGTGAAACCACTCTCGTAGCCACGAGTGGTGAATCCTAACGAGCTAAGTGAAGTTTTAACGTTGGATTATAATCGTCGTTAGCCGGGAATTTATTCTAATTACTACGGTAAGATAAAATGTAGGTAAATATTTATGAATAACAAGTGTAATAGAGTTGAATTACTTAAAATTAAAAGTTTGTACAAGGCCCGAGTACCTAATAAGGGATTAACGCTCAATAGGGAGTTCGCGATGACGGGTCGCGTTTCTAGTCGCGTTCTTCGTCGGAACACAGCGGGGGAGGCAAAGTGGAAACGTCGAATTTCTGCTCGGGGCTATCGCTGGAAGCCTGCGAGTCCACGTAGTGGCTGGAATAGAAGCGCTCGACGTTGTTTAAGCTGAAGCGCTGGTCGAGGTCTCGAGCGAAACGGTCTTCGCCGACTTCGCCGCTTCCTACGTCGCGATCGAACTGAGGATAACACTCCTGCGTTTCGAACAGTTCCCCCTCCCCGTACCGCTCCGGATACGGACTACCTCTGTACGCCTCGTAGTCGTCCTTCTCGAGCGGCAGCTCCGTGTCCGAATAGGCGACCGATTCCCCGCGCTCGAATTGGTAACTGGACGATTTATTCATCTTAGGAGCTCTCTTTATCGTGTCGATAGGGTACGCGTAGTCGTCGGAGTCTTCCCTGTCGCTCTGGTCTTCGTAATAGGACCTAGGCTGACGCTGGCCGGACGATTCACCGATCGCTTTTTCGTCCGCTCGATAGCCGCCGCACGATTTGACTCTTTTCAGGGAAGACTGCCGACTGCTCTTGTTCGAGTACGACGTCCTCGGCGGACTGTCTTCCGGGACGAAAGGCGGTTCCTGGGAATCGAGGTACGGGTGACGCAGTCGTCCCAATCTGTCGAACCTGGGAAAGCCCATTTCGTCTTCGTCCGCGGAAGATCCGAAGCCTTGAAACTGCACCGGCGCAATGTTAACGGAGAAGTTTTGTTCGTAAGCGGAGGTCTTGTAATCGACGTACTCGTGCTGCGCTTCGTCGTCGGAGCAGCTAACCTCGTGCGCGTCGGCCTTGGACATTTCCGAGGAGCCGGATTCCACTTCGGGGACGTAGCTGTCCGAGCACTCCGAGCTATCCATCCTCCGGAATGTGTCGTCGACCGCCAGGAATGTTCCACTCTTAAACTTGTCGCTCTCCGAGGAGCATTGACTTTTCGTGGAATCTTCCTCTAACACGTCCTGTATTTTTTCTTGCCTTCTGCGAGCGGTCGTCACCTGTTTCTTCCGCCTGAACGTTTTCATTCTTTCCCGAGGATCTCTGATGACGTCCAGAGAACTGTCGGTGTCGTTTCCGCTCGGCGGACTTTTGAGCGAAATATTTCTGACGAGCAACGTCTTTTTAACTGGAGCTTTCAGCGGTTGTATCGGAGGAGATTCAGAACTAAGACTGCTGGAGTAATAAGGGGAACACCTGGAGAGAGGAGTTTTACCGGACCGTTCGGTGGATTTTTTTTCCTTGAAGTCTCTGTGGATGGGAGGCAAATCAGGTACGGCTATCACGGGGAGGTCGGCTGCGCTCAAATAGTGCTCGTGGAAAGACCAACTTTTAGGTTTGCTGCGATATTGCTGGGAAGTTTTATACTCTTTTATCTGGTTTTTCGATAGCGTCTTGTCGTCGTAACTGGCATGTTTGGCCAAGGGTTTATACTCGGATCTCGCGAACTGACCGCCCGATTCTTCATGAATAATGTTGGAAAATTCTTGGCTTTGATAGCGTTCAGTGTGCTTTTCTTCTTGACTGTACAATTGAGAAGGAATATCGATATCGATTTCGGGTTGTGAACTTCCATAATAAGGTTTAAAGCCGCCGTCCTCGCTTTGGCATCTCAGAGTTGGACGCGTCTGCCTTTGAGAATGTTCTTCGCAGCTGAGGCTTTTAGATGCGGTTTTGAGGTAACGATCTTGTGATAGGTCATAAGATGAAGGGTAGCCTTTGAGTCTTTGGTCGATTCTAAAAATTCCATTCGCGTGTCTTTGGAGACTACTCAAAGAGCTAGAACTTGATTTATCCGACCTGTCACTGCAACTAATTGATGAAGACTTTTCAGGTTTAGCAGAACTCGTTGATAAATATCTAGTAAAAGTTGGTTTTGTGCCTTCGTCTATATCTTGAATATCTCTAGTTGGAGATAGTTTATCATCATCTATCATATCCAGTTCAAGGTCTTCGTCGATGCTGGGCTCTCTGATGATAATTGTTTCAGGTTTAGTGCAGGCCAATGGTTCTACACCCGTCTGGTCTTCACGAGCCGTAGCGACAAGAGTGTGACTCGTACTCGCAGACCACTCTGATATAGATTGGGCCAGTGTCAAAGTACTGTCACTCTTTGTTCCAGAACTACTATCCATTCCCTTTTTAGATATGTTAGTATCAGAGCTGCAAAGCTTGTCATATTTTATATTATTCTCTGAACTTTTCTCGAGACTACTGCTTTTGGAACTTATTTCAGTTTGTGATCCAACTTTTTGTTCTAATTTCTTACTCGGGTGTGATGCGGTAAACGATTTAGGAGTTGTGTTGTCAGATTTTTCACTTTTTGGTATTGAAACTGCTGAAATACTTTCAGATGCAGATAAATTTGCATATTGGCGAACAGTATTAGTTCCAGTCGACCATTCAGAAATACTGAGGCATATAGAGGTATCTTCAGAATGAGAGCTGTGAGTACATTTTTTTTTAGGTACGCCTATTTTCACTGTGCCATCCAAATCCGTGCCAAAGGAACTAGTCTCTTCTTCAGAATGACTGCTGTGACTGCAACGTTTACAAGCTCCCGCACTACTAATACTTAATTTAGCAAGTGCACGAACTGTATCATCGGCGTTAGTCTGCGACAGAAGATCGTCTATAGAAGTATCGGAATTATTCGACCCGCAAGAAATTTTCGCGCCACTAAGTTGGGAGAATCCTTTGTCGAAATCTGGTGATAAGCTTTTGCTGTCAACACCAAATACATCATCCGTGTAAGCATGTTCGTCTTCGTATATGGGACTATGGTTCGTTGGAGATTTTTGTGGCTGGCTCATAATAACCTTATCTTCAATATTGCTTTTATTAGCAAATGACTTGTGATCTGTGCTGATGCAACAAGATCCGACGTCACCCATAAAACAAGTAGCTTTCGTTATTGTGCCGCTTAAACAGGACTTATCATAGTTCGGTATCGCCCCTTTGGTCGTCGGACATCCCTGTTCCGGATCATCTAACGGTTCAACCATGTACCCGGACTTATCATAAGGAATAATTTGAGTCTTATTTGGAACGTCCAATGTTGGCTCTGGAGATTTGTCAGACTTAGACTCTTGGACGTCCCTCTCTAATTCATCATCGTTATTCAAGGTATCACTGTCATCATCTGATCCCAGGTGTGCTTTAGAACTTTCCGACTGAAGAGTTACCTTAGTCGCTTGTTCTGGTTCATTGCTCATGTAATAAACTTGAACTTTTTCTACAATGGGACTTTTTAAGACTCCTTCACTAGAAGGGAGAGAAGGTACTTCATCCATGTCACTAGACCTTTGTCTCGTTACCTCGGGGAGTTCATTTTGCCTTTGTCCTGTTTGTGGTGGTAGATCAGGTAATGGCCAGTCCTCAGAATCTTGGCTTTCACTAGCAGAAGATTGTTTTGATGGTGGTATAGCACTTGACTTTTTTTTAATAGGGTGGTTCCCAGTTTTACCTTGAATTGAGGGGTCCTCATACTTTTTCGACTTCTCCTTTTCTTTCTTAGATTCGGTGTACATTTCGCTTATTTTGCTTTGATCAATAGGAATGTCTGGCATTTCTGCTGATGTTCTTCTATCGGTATCTGAAATATATGCGACGTTAGCGTTACTAGGAGGATCGGAACTGAGGCTAGCTTGGTGATCGCTTGAATTTAGCGATTCTTCATTAATGCTTTCTGATCTCGAGCAGGCCTTTGTTGAATCCTCATCAGCGCTTGTTTTTTCAGAAGCTGTGCTACGTTCAGATATTCTGGATAAAGTTCGTCCAAAATTTTGACCGTATCCAATCACGACATCAGAACTAGTAGAAGAAGTAGCTGGATATAGAAAATTAACAGGAAAATCGTTCAAATCATCTGTAAAATCGGCATCTGTAGAGTCTTTTGATGTATTTGCAGATAGAGGAGGGTTTTTAGCAAAAGTTTGAAAGTCATCTAGTATTCTTTGATTTCCATAATCAAACATGTCTTTGTTGAGATTTAAGCTTTCATAGCCCTCATGATCTTGAGGTATCCAAGCCTCTTCGATGCTTGTACTATTCTCACTTCCCGAAGCACCAAAGAAAGGCCGCCAAGTCGGTTTTAATTCTTCCCCTCTTCTATACGCTTCACCTAAAGAACCAGAAGTAGACTCGGTAGTTTCAAACGATCCTCTGGACTCGACGCTCAGAGAGCCCCGTGAATCCATACTTGATTTCGATGAACTTTTCTGTTCATCAAGGCGACATTTTCTACGGGATGAGGAATCGTCGACACTCAGCGAACCTTTGGAGGGTGTCGTGGTGGTCGTGTCAATACTAGATTTAGAAGAACTTTTTTGATCGGTATCTTTCAGAGCCCTCTTTTTCATTATCTCGCGCTCAAACGACGATGTTATTACATTTCCGTCATCATCAAAATCAATCGTAGTATTTTGATCCTCTTGAGAAATAGTAATAGCAATTTTAGTTTTCTTAACGGTTCTTTCTAATTCCTTCTTTATTTCAGAATCTTTAGATGCTGCAGACTGACTAGATTCTGATTCCTCAATAACACATTTACCAATCTTATCTAAGCCACTTTTTCTGATACTAGGTCTTGTCAGTTGTTCTACGGTTTTATCTAAGCTCTCTGAACTGGATTCAGAATCTGTGGGTGCTTTTTGAGAATCAACTGGCCCCTGCTTCTCTAATGTGGGTGTCGGCGATTTTCTCGTCCCAAACTTAGAAGGACTCCGCGGGCTTTCAATGCGACCCAGTTCCGGGACAGGAGAGGGAGATTTCGAGTTCGACTTGGAATGCTCACTGGAGAACGTATGTTGTGACAGCAGATGTTCTTCACCATATTCCATTGCTTGTTTGAGTTCCTCTAAGCACTCTCGATCTTTTTTATTGAGCTTCTCGATATCTTGAGATATACCTAAAGGCCTAGCGATCGAACAACTGACACTCGATTCATCATCAATTGAGCTGCCCTTAATATTTGCACTAGATGGACTTATATCTTTTTCTATACTAGTCCACGAAGTCGACTCGGAACTCCTAGATCGCTCGGCGCTTAACTTTAATAGTTCACTTCGTTTTGATCTCGCTGTCAATAAAGTTCTCTGTTCATTTCTCTGCTCAGTAGGTGAAATATCATTTGTACTTCCTGAACTACCCGTTTGGTCACCAGACTCAGATTTATGCACCGATTTCGATACGCTCGAATCGATAAATGGAATATTTTCAACAGTAGGGCTATTTTCTTGAGGTGGAGTGACGATAATTTTATTCTTATTTTTAAATTTAAGAGATAAATCGATTTTAGTCGAATTTTCCTTTAATTGGCTAGCATTATCCAAATCGTTATCAGGGATTTGTGACATATTTTCATGTTTTAGAAATTCAATTAAACTAGCTGAAGATTCGTCGAATGTGCTTTGCGGTTCTAAAGCTTTTCCGCTTTTACTTGCATCCGATAAGAGAATATCCGTTTCCGTGGTATATTCATCATAATCGACCGTCATCCAAGAACCTGTATCATCGCTCCTTCCACGACACAACTTCGCCTTTTTATCTTTGATCGTTTGATCTTGATCAGAAGAACTATCAGCATCTATATATGGCAACGACAAGCCTAACATATTACTTTCATCAGACATCTTCAACTCGCTGACTTCGGTCAATGATTCTTCTTCGCTTGTCAATCGTGTAACTTCCGGTTTCTTCCCTGTAAATAAGCTGTGAACATCTTTGTCACTTTTGCTTTCGCGGAGTTCATGTTGGCGTTGTTTGTTATAAATTTCGATTTTTCTTCGTTCCATTATAACAGTCTGAGTATCATTTTCGATGACAGTGTTTTGTGAATTTGTAAGCCAGGAATCATCCTCTGTTTTTTCCTTGTAGCTGTGAGAAGGCGATAAGTCTCTTTCACCGTCTTTGTTTACAACGAAGTCTTCTTCGTTGACTGCAGAGTGAACATCAACTTTAACGATCTCCTGTTTATAATGCTTATTCGCATTAACAACACTGGGCTCGGATTGAATGAGCGTGGAAGGTGTAACGTAGTTTCTATCCAAACTTTTTGATTTTATTTTGGCTTCGAGGTGGGTCTCAACCTTACGATCCAAACTTTTCGATTTAACACTAGGATGTACTTTCTGATAAACTACTTTACCCTCTATCTGTTGTTTTATTTCTTGTTTTTTGGATAAGGTTTTCGGAGACTTAGTCAACGCCGCAATTTCGTCAAACTTATCCTCTAGTGATTGACTGTTTTTGTCATCCATACTTTTATTTATTTTATTGCTAGTATTTGTCGCTTTCTGATCTTCGAAGCTCCTACTTATTTTTCCACCCAATTTGTTATCAAGTTTCTTCGGAGACTTCGCTATAAAGACATGGTCTTCGGCTTTACTGTTTATTTTTGTTTCTATAATAATCTTATCGCCTTCTGTTTTTACTAGTATTTTGTCTTCAGGAGTAGGAAAAGGAGGCAAAGTATCTTTAACGGGACTGATAAGCGTTTTTGTTTGCTTTAAAGCAGCTTCAAATAACATTTGTTGTTTTTCCTTTCTTTTAGCGATTTCAGTATCACTGTCCTCTTGAGACTTCGTTCGTTCTTTACTGGCAACTCTCTTGACCTCCATTTTTTCAAGCGACTTAGACTTTTCTTTCGTTGATTTTTTTAATCGTTTGCTCAAGTTCTTGGCTTTTAGCTCGAACCATATCTAACGGAGGAACTGTCAGGAAGTCTGGACGTTCTTTAAGAGAAGACGGCAGCGACTTTTGGGTTTGTAAAGCTTTTATCTTGGTAGCATTGGTGTCTAGAGAGCCAGCCTTATTAAGTTTGCTGCCTATCTTTTGCCTTTCTTCAGGTTTTGGTTTTAAAGTTAACTTTTTCTTGTCTTTACGTTTGATTCTTTCTATATCTGGTACAATTTGATCTTCACTTAAATCTGATAGTTTCCGTATACTACCTCTAGGAGAATTTAAAGATGACGTAGGTGACCTAGAAGGGGACTTTGATAACGGAGAACGCGATATCGGTGATGGGTTAATCGGAGACCGTGTGGGCGACTTGCCTTGATATTTGATTTTGTTCAAGTCATGTTGTCGTTTGAAGGACCTAGGCCTCCTTTGTTCCACTAAACTTTCTAAAAGCTGCATTTCTTCGTTATCTATTGAAACTGACTTCAATTTCGTCACTTGAGCACTCGCACATTCTTCCTCCTCTACATTCTCTATGGACTCCTCCTTAACGGGTGTGATTTTTGAAATTCTTTCTTCGATGAGAGGTTTTTCCTCCAAGATTTCGCCTTCTTCATTCACATCTTCAACTGTGTCATCTTTAGACGAAAACGCATTCATCGGAGGGAGTCGATGTAATTGAATGACTGGCGTATCTAAACTTTTAGCTCGTCTACTTGCCGTTGGAGAATCTTGGGTGGCTTTCTGACGCTGCAACGAAAAAACAGATCCCTCCGAAAGATTTAATCTGGCATGAGCAAAAAGAATTGGCGTTCCCCCACCTTTTCTTAACATCGGTGAAATTAATTCATCGCGAAGGCTCTTTTTAATATCCAGCTTGTTTAAGTCTTTTTTTACAGATTGAAAGGATTCTAACTTTTCTTCACTTGGAATAGGCACTCCAGTTACTTTTTGAATCTCCATGTCAGCTAAATGCTCGTCGTCCGATTTCAGAAACTCGGTACTTTCCAAAATGGGAGAAGGAATATTTTCATTGTATTCCCAAGTGGAACTTTCTTTACTGACTTGTTTTATTTCAGGAGTTTTCATTATAATGTCGTCTTCAGAGCTTGGAATTGAAATCGATCGTTCCGAAATGCGCCTTAACTCTGTAGCATTAGTAGAAGTGTTATCTAAAATTTGTGGGTTATACTTTGCTTCGAGTTCAGCTAATTTTCTACACTGAGGTGGGGAACCTTCGATTTCTGTGGAACTCATAGTCTGTCCCCTATGCCAAGCCCCCGATGTGATTTTATCGTATTCTAATTGCAAAATAGGTTCTAAATCCTTCCGCGATTGAGGTGGTGAGAATTCTAGTTTAGGCGCAGCTTCTGTTGTCCCAAAAACATCATCGGAATCCACACTTTCATCGTCCGATGAAAAAGAGGTAATTCTAATCTTGTTATTGGTTTTGTTTCTTATTTTACCACCAACCGCTTTTTTCCCGGAGCCTCTCGGCTTATTGGCCCTTTTGGAAGACAATTTCTCCGATTTAGATTTTATATCAGCTCTCAACTTTTCAGATGCCGATAAGGGTTTCGGGTCTTTGCATATTGGCGGTTGCGTGAGGTTTCTTCCGTTAATAGCGAATTTAATATCATGCGAATATTGCTGATCCTGCCTCATACTGTCTGTCTTAGAACTGGTAGCGGAGTCGCTTTCAATCTGACTTAGTTTCGAATTTAATGTTTCCAGCAAAGCAGAATCCAAACATTTAGAAATGTCTCTTTTTGGACTGGGTAAATGTTGCATTTTCGCAGTTTTATCAACTTCTAATGTTATCGGATCTATCTTGGATAAATCAATATTTTGAGTAAATAAGAAATCTCTATTTTCGACATCTAGGAATTTCATACTATGATCAGTTTGTATACTATTCCTTGGCGATTTGGGTGATTTAGGGGATTTGGGAGACTTTGGCGATTTAGGCGACTTGGGCGATTTTGGAGACTTCGGTGATTTAGGCGATTTTGGCGAACGTGGCGATTTCGGATGATCGTGATACCTGCAGCGTGGTATCGCATTCACAATGTGACGACTGTTTTGCGGAGGTAATGTAATAATATCTGGAGGCTGGATTGTATCGTTAATAGGGGACGGGGCAGTGCCATTCATGATGTGTCTTTTGTGCAAAACATACGGAATATCATAGCTGTCCTCAACTTTTTTCGTGTCATTAAATCCAGCTTTAAAATCATCGAACTCCTTAAAGTAGTTTTTGGGTAAATCAAAACACGGTCGCTGATCTGGGTACCTGGATGGCAATTCGAAATGAGATCGTTTCGTCGCAATTGGCGGAGCGCTAGGAATTTGACGGAAAATATAGTCTTCGTCGCTAGACTCGGCGGGAGTGAGATCGATAGACTTTTGATGCATCAATACGTGTCTACGCGAATTGACGCTGCTGAAACGAGGTCTATTTGCTAAACTATTGGGATCACTTTTAGTTCTTTCGACCGTAGGGTGAATGTATGGCGCAGCGTTGTCAGCGAGTCTACTGCTCGAGCTAGTGTCTAGAATAAGTTTGGGATTGTACTCATCGAAGTGCGTCTTAGCCATTAGTTCTTCTTTTAAATTCTCTTTACGAACAATATGCGTATGGACTTTTCCCCGCATAGTTTTATCGAACTCTGATTGCAATATCGGGGCTGTTTCAGCGTGCGCGGCCGCTTTCGCTCTGCTTTTAGCGTATTCGATGCTGTCCATTGCTGGTAAAATTCTAACATTTACTTCGGATTCGTTCGACGACTCTTTTACAAGATGGCAAGGTGGGTTCTCCTTGCTCGTGGAGCGCGTCAACGATTCAATCTTATCCTTATCGAAACTAAAGATGGTGTCAGACGATCGACGTCTCTGATAGTTTTGTATCTTAGCCGCTCTTTTATTGTCGATTTCCGTGTCCAAGCCGGCAATTTTTTCAGGCCAAATGTGAGTAGTTCGACCGTGTAGGTCCTCTTCTTCCGTCGACACGTCGTCCATTTTCTTCGGTGGACTTAAATCGGAATAACCTCCATACTGATCGAGTTCCACGTGTTGCAGACTGGCAGAATGCATGGGAGAGTGGTCTTTATGCTTATTATTACTAGGGAAAGTCGAGTACGGAGTAGGAATGTGGTAATAATTTGGCAGTGTACCTATATTGGCGATAAGATTTTCGTGAGATTTATCGACAAGCGTTCTTTCATTGTATTCGGGCTTTTCCATGCCAATAAAAGTAGATTGGGCGTCGTAGAATTCTTTACCGGAATCCGGACTCGACGAAGGCGAGACAGGTTCGAACGGGTCTATGTACGCGGCCTGTACGCTCGTTATACTGCGACGTCTAACGCTCACGTCTTCCGTGTCGTACAAATTCTTTTTGCAATCGTAATAGTCCGATTTGGAATCCTGACTAGACGTCCGCGATCCCGATCTATCTGAACTTTTACTCTTTATCGTGTCCCGGGACTTTTTGCTGTCCGTGTGGTACACGCTGTCGCGCGATTTCTTACTTGATTCGGCGCTGCTTTTAGATATTTTAGAGTCGTAAATATCACTGCGAGATTCTTGACTGGAAGTTCTAGAGCCGAGAACGCGTTTAATCTCTTTGTAGAAGTTACCATCGGATCGAACCGACAGTTTCTCACGAGGGAGAACGCGCGGGTCGTCCGCCAAAAATGGATCTATAGGCAAGTCATTATCGCTTTTATACTTAAGAGCGGCCGCCGTCAGATTGGGATCTTCGGCCATAGACAACGAACCGTCGTCGTCCGACGGCAGCTCGTTGCCGGAATCGAGTGAACACGAACGCGTGCGGCCCTCCGCGGAGCGCCGACGGATTCGTGCATACCGTCCTGAGCCTTCGTCGTCCGACCGCTCGATAACTTCATAGCTGTCGTGCGAGATATCGTCTTGCGAGCCCGCACGAAGGGCGGGCAAATCGAGGCGAGGGTCGCTTATGGCGCCAGGAAAACTCGAAGAATACGCGCGGCCGAGAGAACCGCGCGAATCGATAGACGTTTGGAACGAGAGGGCGAAGGCTCGGGCGTCGTACCTCGTGACGGGCGAGTCGACGCGTCGAGCGCAGTACGCGTCGAGGTCGGCGAGCATACTGCGCGTGTCGCGCTTGGAGCGACCGGCTTCGTCGAAGCTGAAGTCTCGCAGGTTGCGGCAACTGGCGCTGCGTCTCCAGACGAGGCGGGCGGGCGCAGCGTCGAGCTCGTCGCGTTCCTCGATGGGCAGCGAGCCACCCGAGCGGGAAGAGCGCACGGAAGGGCACGCCGAGTAGATGTTGGTTTGCGACAACTCGAACTCGAGCCGCTCGGATGACTCGCTGAAGCTAGAGCGGTGTTTGGCACGGACGAAGTCCGGGTAAAGGCTAGAGGGGGGGGAGCATTCGGCAGTCTGACCTGCGGTGGGATGCGCACGAGGCGGCGGAGTGGGAGCGCGCGCGCGGCCTTCGCGTGCATCCTTCCACGTGATCTCCGGGTACTCCTGAAAGTGCCGAGTGACGAGATTAGTTTCGAGATTAAATAAACAAGTTACATCACCGTTCCCGAGCCGTCGATGGCTTACCAATGGCGTCGTCGTCCGATGAGGCAGAGGTGAATCCTCCGTAGGATGATGATTGACCTCGGCACGAGTCACTAGTTCGGGACTCTCCTGGAAAATCACATTTTTCGTTTTCACTTATAGTGAGAGCTGATACAACGATCTCGACAACATACATAATAGCCAAATAAGGAAATGAATATCCTTCGACAAAGTGATTCCCATTAACCGTGTACAGTGAATCAGAAAATAAAATGAATGCTTTAGAAAGTAATAATTATAATAATGCCAATGAATGTTAACTCATTATTATGCGTGATGCGTGTGATGTTAATCGTTATTAATAATACTTTGCAATGAAAAATACAAGACAACATTCAAAAGGGTTAAAAGTTAAAAAGTAAGAGATAACAATTCTCGATGCCCTTACTATTCGCTTGCAGTACAGTTTTGTCAGCTGAAATAGAAAAACATCTCTATAGTACGATTTACCGACACGTCAACGACGCAAGGGCCACGCGGACTCATTTTCCAATGGAAATAATACTTATACTAAACTGATAGATGCTCAAAATCTAAAACAAAATATAAGTGCAAATCTAATCTAACTTCTAAAAAAGTATCTACGATCGTTGAATACTAATCCCCGGTCAATAAAAACGCTCTCGACCGCTATTTCGAAAGCTGCGTATAAAATATGTAGGTAAAGGCAAGGTTGTATTAGCGTTGCCTAAGACAAACACTATCAATAGTGCGAATGAAGTAGAGCTCACCTTGTCCCTCGTGGAAGCAAAGGCGGTAGCTGGAGGCGGCGGGCGAGCGAGAGGGGTGCGGGGTGTATGCGGAGTGTGCTGAGTGCGGGGAATGTGGGTTTCCATGGGCGTGGCTGTGTCCGTGCCCGTGACTGTGTCCGTGGCGGTGGGGGAGGGGGGACGCGCCGCCTCGCGCGCCGCCTCCGCAGAGTAGCCGCGCATCATCAGCGAGGCCTCCAGGTAATGAGGTTGCTTGTCCCACTCCAGGGAAATCGCTAAAAAAAGTAAGACGACACGGTGAGATATACGGCTTCAAGTCACTCACATTATTAATGCAACCTCAATATAACAAATCGGTAAGTAATAGATAGAAAATGTTTACGAATGAACTACGCGGGATATTCATTAAACAAACCTCAACAACAACGTGTACCTCAGGAACTGGTAAAAGGTAATCAAGTTCACTAATATTATTTTTTACCCGATTTTCGTAAAAATTCTGCCAAAACCTGCCGCGACTCGGTTAATATACATAGTTTAAATTGTTAAGTAATTTTAGCAACAATTTAAAGGAGGTAGAAACGAGAGATTCGTTATATTCAGGTCGCACAGTGAAACGTCAAGGGCGTAGCAGTCGGTACATACCGTCCGAGCCGGGCGGCAGAGGCAGCAGCGGGTGCGCCGAGACGCTAGAGTTGAGCGGCAGCGAGTGAGACACGTTAGCTCGCGAGCCGCCCGCCGAGCGCGACGCACGGAACGAGCCCGACCTGCGACAGTCGGCGAGAGGATGGTCAACGCTGGCTAGCTTTGCTCTCCGGGACTACGCAGCACGCTACCCGTCCGAGTCGTACGCGTCGAGAGGGGGGAGCGGGTCTTTATACTGATCACTTACATGACTCTGTAGTCTTGAACTTTACTTATATAGTGTACATATTGTTTCTAATAACTCCTCTGATAACAAAACTTATAGGCGTGTTACGAGTAAACGTAAAAGTAGAAGGAAGAAAACAACGAAAACCGCACTATAAATAAAAAAATGTGCAAGTGCATAATTGAATAAAAACATCGACGCTACCGGAACAACGAGACAAGGGACGAATCGGGAAAGAGGGGGGGTGACGACACGACAATTATGTGCAACCGTGTCGAACTACGCTAGAAGCGTCACGATACGATTAACGAGCGTGGCGCTGTATTCAGAGACAGAATTCATCCAATTCTCACGGAAAGCGTTCGATTCGAACCTTTGTAGCCTCGTGTGCCCTACGAACCATCCTCCGACCGAGTGTCAGTGTCGCGCGACTGCACGCGCGAGTTTTAGAAGCGAGTCTCAACGATACAGCGCATGCTCGACAATTCTTTCCCCAATCATCAATCTAACTGCCTAGTCACCAGTACCGTTTAGCACAGATCTCATAGTCAAAAAAATAACTGATTAAGTGTCGTATACTGCACGTACTGATGGCAAGGTAGGAAGCTCTCTGTTAGCCTACAGTCTCCGTCACATGCAATACGCATCACATCAATTAGAAGCTAGCTCAGCTAATGACCATCCACCACATTTTGCACCAGCCATAGGCTCGTCTACTAATTGTAAGTAATACTCCGTGCATCTATAATTACTTCTAAATTGGTAAAGTGATAGTGGTGAGGTAGAATATGTAATAATTATTGTAATTTTCAATTGGTTATATAATAATGGTTATGATCTGCAAAAACAGTTGATTTTTACATTTATTAGAACAAAAAAAATGTATACTAAGTACTCTTTATTAAATTTTTATTTATTTATAAACTCGCTAGTTTGTAAATGATAATCGACAAGTTTGGTCTTGGAGTTCTAACGCCAGACCAATTGTTGATTAACCACTACTCAGATAAAGGGATTGTGTTCTACAATACGTTTGTCCCAACATGCCATGGCTACTGTATACTGTATTTAAGGATCTTAAAATAAAGCCTATTCCCGTGTTATAGTATCAACTACCAGCGACTTGTGTTCATGAAAAGGTTTGTTACCTCTGGAATGTCTGCCTTTTGACATAGTTGTCTCGAACGAATTCAACTATTTGCCTCTGAGTTTTACCGCTATATCTGTAATGAGGATAACAGTGCGTTGCATATTTTAAAGATGTCTATTTATTGGAAATAACTGGGCCAAGTGGGAATCAGACTTCCGCACGAAGGGACCGTTCCATTGACGTACATAAATATCAAATTGTAACATTTTTGTTATTATTTTAAGAGTATGCTGTTATATATGATAGAAAACAAAATGGGCAAAGAATTATATTTTTTATTTGGTGCCCCATGAAAATTACTATATATTTTTTTTTTTTTCTTTGTCTCTTTTTGATAAAACTTGGTGACCGACATGCGGGTAACGAAGTATGCTTTTACTTTTTGGGTACAGTAATACAGAACTCTAAAGGTATTTAAAGGTAGCATTTTAAATCGTTATATCTGGCTAATTTCATTATAATTTCTATTTAAAAATAGAGCTCACCTAAAGGAAGAACCTCGAGAGAGGACCTTGGTCTTGTGCCGAGGAAGCCGCGGGACACTTGAGCATCTAAAGAATCCGTGGTTTTCTACGCACTTCTTCCAGAAGTTTTTGCATTCGTTACGGCTTTCCAAGAAAAACTCCACAACGTCGCGGTAGTGACCCTGAAAAATTAGATTGATCGAAATTCCATGAAACACATTCCATGTAGAAGGTTCGACACGAAGAAAAAAAAACAGTAGTTCACTTACATATCCTTCAGGGTGCAGTTTGATCAGGAACTTTTTCCGTTTGAACGATATCTTCCTGATCTTGGCCCAACTGAAAGTGTTGATCTTGGTGATGTGTTGGAACACGACGACGCCCATGTGCGCCACTGCGAGGTTCAAGGGCACCCCTTCGTGATCCTTCGCCGCGTGCATTTTGATTCCTGTACACATCAACGATTATAACGACATAGACCATTCATACGTTCGGCTTCGGTCGTTCGGAAATTGAGACTCTTATTTTAATATAGAGAACAGACAAGCATGGGCTCCACATACTCCAGCCATACCACATCTAATCAAGATGTGTTGTCGGCCTATTTTGGTTTTGAATATTCGGAAATCCACTGACTGAAAACGCGATTTAAATTTAAATTTTTACATGCGTGCACGGTGGTTCGTGACCCATACGGAATTTTGATATTTCTACCACCCGTTTAATATTCAGATTTTTAGACGAAATCCAACGTGTTCCAGATAAATTAAAAGATTTGAAAAATCTTCGACCCGGTGGGGATCGAACCCATGACCCGTCGATTATTAGCCATACCATATTGCTACCATTAGACCGACGAGATCGTCAAAGACAGAGACTAAACTGGGATCAAAGACGATTTTTCACGTGTGGACGGTTCCTGATCCGGACATAGTGAAATGGATTCATCTATGATTTCCCGTGCTCCTCGTAGTCGGCATTTCACCTGTCACGTAGAATATACTCTAAGCGCATATAAACAAGCCTGCGTACTCACCGTAAAGTTCGCATCTTCTCGCGGTCTCTAGCAAGTTTAAGTCTGCCTCCGCAGGACTCTGCCCGCTGCAATAGAACAACAATAACGTAATATTCGTAACCCTGGACCCGTTACATCAAAATATGACATCGCGTAGAGGAAGAAAAGTTATTCCAGTTATTATTATTAATTTTGTGGTATTCTGCCCATAGGCACTGGAAGAGCCTAGTCGGCCTAAACCCTCGCTCCTATGACCGCAGAGACCTGTGGCCAGCAGTGGGACACGAATAGCGGCGCCAATATGACGTCATCTTTTCAACTCACATGTGCTTTTTATGATTCTCGCAGATACGCCTCTCGGACTCGGCATCTTGGCCTGGGAAGAATTTATATCCGCTGAGGTACGTGTGATCTGGATAATCTTCAGGAACGAAGTCACCGCATTCCGCTGTCGAAATATGGAAATGGATTATTTCATCACTTGCTTCAAATAAAAGTCGATTGGTTATAATAGATTTTTAATTTTTAGCTTGACGAATCATATTGTAAGAACGAATGGAGGGTAGTCATTCGAAACGATACGATACGTTTAAAAGATAGTTCACTGTGCACGAGGAACACACTCCTCAGCAAATGTTTTCTTCTTTTATTTTCAGCCTCTAACGGCATACGTGATACACATTTCGAAATTAGAACGCCAGCCTAAAAGCTCTCGAGTAAAAAAAGCTTGCGATCCGTAAGCGCGAGTCTACGATTTAACTTGACACAGAAATCCCGTTCGATGAACGCTGCTCGTATATTTATCAGCTAAGCCCTAAGCATAATAACGCGTGCGACCTACAATTAGATGATGAACGCTCGCTGCGAACGCCTTGACGACCTTGAAGTCGAGTTCCATTTCGAACGTTAATATTTTAGTTCGCTTCACGACTCCGTCAACGAGGTAGTTCCGAGTTCATATTTTATGCGCGAGGAAGAAATTATGCTGCAACTTTAAGCTTTATTACGGCAATTGCATTAACATAGACATGTTTTGAATAATACGCGCCTCAAAAAAAAGGTGGATTGCGACAATACCGACAATTAAAGCATCAAGAAGTTCAATTTCATTCGAACAAGTTCGTCAAAATAATGCTGAAATTTCAAGTGCAACCGCGACTTATAGATGCAGCATTTTTTCGTTATTTGTACTTTGCCGGTTTGTAACCTATGGAGCAAAATAGACAAAAATATTTGTTAAAATAGAGGATCACTAGATACGTCACGTAGAATACGTTTCCACTTTTTAACAAATCTCTGTGAAATTGACATTGAAACAAAACTGCATATCAAGGTTAAAGTCGCTGAATGTCATTGTTGGAAGTGCGTCGCGGAGCTCGCAACGGGGCATTTTATCAAACGAATGAGTGAGCCACTAATACTTCGTTGTATACAAACGGTGTCCCCATAAGCTATGTATGAACGCAGCCAATTCAAAGTGTGTGTTTGTAAGATAAAAGTTAAACCTTTATGTGGCGAATTACCAGCTTTTTTTTACAACCGCACCTTTTTTCGTATGGTTTTGGGTATTTGAACAAAACATTACAGAGAGGGGTAAAAACATGTTATTTCTTTGGCAAATTGTTCCAAATAAATTTTACTAAAAGTGGTTACAAATATCTATCCATTAATTGTTACTTCCTCATTTACAATAGTGAGATTCTCTTATTAAATAAAATCCTTTTGACTCGTCATACGTAGTGGTGATTTTGGTTTTCAACTCGTTCAAAATCTCTATTTAACGTGTTGTACTCGCTACATTTAATATTATGATTATCTTACTGATTGTTAGTAGGAACAGAAAAAAAAAAACAATAGTATAGATATCGTTTAGATTTGTTATAAAACATTTTTGGACGCGAAATATGCTTATGAAAAATGCTTAAACAGATTTATTTTTTCTTTCTCACGGTCAAAAAGCATATGTTTTTAGATTCGATCGAAGCTCACCCTGCACGATGTAGCTGGCCATCAGAGCGGCGGTGTTCTCGTTGCACTGGATGCAGCCCTGCGCGAGGTCGCGCTTCACTTGCAGACAGAACAGGTACCGCGTGAACTCCTCCTCCAGCCGAGCCGGGTCCGGCGTGTAGAACTTGACGCAGAAGCGAAGCGTGGGCTCCAGCATCGACAGCCCCAGTTGACGGCACATCGGCTTCTCCACGTCCAGGAAATACTGTGGGTAAGAAAAGAGGCGTTAATACTGTAAACCGTTTATAGTCATTGTACCACAAAGGTACACACTTTTAATGAGCATACGACCAGCTAGGTTTAATACTCTAAATACATACCTCAGGTCTAATTAAGCCCACCCTTATGTACACTATTATTGTGGCGTGTCAGTCAGTATCGTAATTTGGAAAAAAGGGCATATAATTGTCTTAAGTCAAGGGTAGTACACAGATCTTACGAGATATAATCACATTTCCTTAAAACCGCAATAGACTCGCGGAAACAACTATAACAAGAAGTAGTAGTTTCGCCAACATGCGAACTGACTTGTCTCTGCGCACGAGTGGCACCCCAAAAATCGTGTGACAATGCTAACTTCGATCGATCGCGTCGTATCGAAGACTAAACTACCCCCGTTAATAATTATCCTATACCGAACAGTAATACTTGCCTTAGTTCCGTTGCCATCTTGATATTCTAGGCCGAAGTAATCGGCTTCCAATAGGTGCAGTTGCCGACAAACTTGGTCGAACAGAACTCGACCCAGCGCTTTGGACTGCAACAATTTAGTCACAGTTTATATTAACTGAATAGTACTCTAACTGTTCCTAGTTCTTCTAAATGCAATATAATTTTAATATAACATCAAACCCATGAAAGTACCAGTGACAGTGATTTTTTGAGTTCTGTATACTTTTCTTTTACTTATTGATTCGTTTTTCACTGCGACGCCACTAAAATAAATGACGTAATATTATAATTGTTTCCTGTTCGTTTCACAATATTACTACTTTAGCAGTATAAATTCTTATTGAATAGGAACAGACTGAAATTTAGCGGTTACCAAGCCACGCTTCCTAATCACAAGCTGAGTTTGACTGTTTTTTTAGAAATAACTACAACGTATATAGCTGATTTCAAACCGTAGAGAACTAGAAAGATTTATAGAGTGAAGTTGCTTCCACAGATGACACAGGGATAAAGAATCATTGATTATATATATAGAAGAACGATCTCAATACTCTAATATATAATAATTTTTAATTTTTATAACATCATTACCTCTAGAGATCATGCACGAGTGGGACATTATCCTTCTGTTGTCGTTAACTTTGTTAAATCCCGCCTCTATGTAAATGTCAAACTGAAGCAATGTTAATTTGTTAAATGGATTTTTATTAATTTAACATAAATTGTGTTAGTTAAGTAGAGTTAGTAGTAAAGTTAGTTTGAGGTAACTCCACCCGCTCAATACATAATCCGTACCAAAATGTTTTTAGAGTAAATCAATCACGTTATAAAAAATACGCCTATACGTTGATTTGGACTTAACATACGTCGTCACTTAGTGAGTACTATTTTTATAGGTTTTTTTTAAATCGTATTTTTCGTTACGAAATGCTGTCAAACAATTATTAAGCAGCGTAAAGATTTAAGGAATACAAAGATGAGTTTTTTTTCGTGAAAAGGTGGCTGATCCGCTATAAAAAACTGTCCAGCAAAATAAGTCGATAGCACATTAATGGTTGAACCACCGAGAAAAAATCGGATAGTGCCGATGCGACATTATAGTACGAGGAACTGGTCGTACGTATAAAACTCGGTAAGGTATAAAGCTCACGACTTAGAAAATTTTACCCTGCAAGCGGTTAAAGGAGACAAGTGATATTCAGAGAGGGGACCCGCAAGGTCTCATAACATCGCGGCTCTTTCAACACAAAGGATAATTCCCTCTGTTTATTGCATAACTTAAATTACTGTCTCCTATAGACTGGTTTAATTTGTATGTAGTATGTTTATAATTAAATAAATAAATAATAGTTAAATTTTATAAGTAAATTGGCACACTAGGTTTTATAGTGACACGAAACGGCTTATATTAACATGAAGATTTCTAAAGTTACATATTTCCAAACCTCGAGTGGTAGTTAAAAATCAATTAACTCATATTTCGCGTTTTAAACCGTTAACATGTTTTTCTATAGTTTGGGGCATCTGATGAATTCTTACGTTTCAAATGCAATTCAAGAGATTTTTTACTTGATTTTTCTGCGAGAACGACGTCAGACGATGGAAAATAGCTCGGAATAAGAAATGATAAAAAATATGAGCAATAATTTTTATAGTTCAATACGAGATTGATCAGATCAAACGGTTTTATTTTTAACTGTCTCCCCTATGTACGCTCGGGTACCTTTTCGCTCGGCCGACATTGCGCTGACGTCACAAAAAGTTATGGCTGACCCACTCTTTTAGTAAATATTCTTGTATATTTTTATTTTGGGGTATAACACGAAAAGGCGGGTTCACTCGCTGGAGGTGGAATACTCCAGTCGAATAACATTAATAAGATGCGGTACCTCTCAATACTTTAGATATTCGCAAATCCGAACCCGAACGCGGTTAAACTTCACGGTCTTATCGTCTGTGGTTCGTTTGCGGAAAAATAAATATTCCTATCAACCATTTTTTTTTTTTAGAAAAAGTATAAATTGATTACAAAGGTTTTGCTGTTGATTATTTAGCCACACGTTGATACCATTAGATCAACGTCATATTATAACATTCTAAGCACATTTTAAGCAGGAAAATGTTAACAATTACTTTATAACGAAAATTCCTAGAAATTAGTGATGACAAACCTTAAGACTTTGGAGCTTACAATTGTTTACAATTTTTATTTTAACTTTTGCTAAACAAATCCAAAGTTAGGCAAGAATATTAGGATTACAAGCAGTAATTACAGAAGACAATATCAAAAATAATGATCCACGGTATCCCCTTGCACGCTACGTTGCAGAATCTGTGTATTATTATTAAAGGAATAGGCAGGGGCCGTAGAAGCACTAATCGAGGCCATAAGTAGAGTAAGCAGCTCGCCGAGTGGCCGTGGCAAGTACTCCCGAGCTGGTCGAGAACCGTCGAGAGTCTTCGACGTGAAGGGGCCAGTCAGTTTTAACTTCGCAAAAATACTAAATAGGTATCTACTGCCACCCGTTATCGTAAATATTTAAAAATTCAACTTGTTAATTTCCTATATTTTTCGTCCAGTGTACATCTTTATGAAGATAATGCTCAAGCTTTGAGAGTTAAATATGACATTTTTTACTGTTTAAAAGGAGTAAACACCACCAGCCAGAGCTGCAAAGCATCCGAAACGTCGGGCCGTAGTTAAAATAATTTCAAACAAACAAGTTTAACTATTATATATCGCGTTTAAAACTGTTAAAGTGTTTTATTTACATTTCTTAACCCACTCTTAACTATTACCGCTACGGCCCGGGATCACGGTGTAATGTAGCTAAAACCCAACTTATATATTAGGCGTTTATAAAGAATAAAAGTGTTATGCATGAATCCCGAAAAGCTAATTCATCTTGTTGAATGACTGCAGCGTTGTTCAATCTCCCGACGAACAACGGGACTGCTACAAGGAAGAGTCAACGCCCCCTTACAATGACAGATGTGGTTGGAGTCCACGATTTACCGCCTGTGGGCTTTTACAACTTCGCTATGTATTTTTCCCTCTAAGAATTTAAAGATGTCAAAGGAAACGAAACTCAATTATGATGATAATCATAAATAGTGATGTTTGATGTGTCGAAATTACGACCCGACGTTTCGGATGCTTTGAAACGAGTGACACTTTATTAACTAATGTTTCATGTTATGAACCGTTACAAGAGGTTTATCATGTTTAAAAGGGTTTAATTTTTATATAAATGCAAAAGAAAAAACATTTCATTTACACGTATGAACGTCAATGCAGTTCAAAAAAAGACTAAATTTAAATTTACTACAAAGACGAAATGGCGACATGTTAAGCAAACGATGTGGTCGGTTCACCCGGCCTTCTATCATTCTACATTTTCTATTACTTAACAAATCAAGGGGGTAGACCGAACGAAAAGAACTGACACCCTACACATCGCCTAAACTATAGACAAAACTTATATATGCCATTTTTTATTATCTTGTTTAAACTCCTGTTATGTACACAGTGAGCTCTTGCATAACAGGGGCTCGTGGAATACCGCAGCACTCGAAACATCTGCAATTGAACCACCGGCTTTATTGGCTTTTCGACAATCGTTACTTGCTTTGCTTTCATTCAGGGTTCTATTCATTTGAATTATACTACGATTCTTGTTCGGTAGTAAAAAAAATTAGTCACACTTAATGCACTCGTAGATAACTATAATACTAAGAGGCATTTCCCACTTTACCGGCGGCCTGTGGACAATTGGCTGGCTAGTTCCCTGCGCCTAGTATTTTGGCAAGAAGCCACGCAAAGATAAAGGCTTATTCAGACGCACCCCATTGTCTTACGACTCCGCTCCGTGTAGATCAACGCAAAATCTTTTTGACCGGTTTGTTAGTACTGTGTGTATGTATGGTATGTACCAATATTTGGCTTATTAAATATTTTCTGTATGTCATCCGAGTAGGGGCCATTTAAATAAAATACTTTTGACGGTTTTAAACGCGAAATATATTAGTTTGCTTATTATTATTATAAGTGACCGCCCATGACCACGGCTGCTGCAAAACATCCAAAACGTCGGGTCTAGTTAAATAAAAATAAGTTTACCAATATGTTTCGCGTTTTAAACCGTTCGATGCTTTATTTAAATGCGTATGGCAAATAATCAACAGATCGTGGATTCCAATGTCACAGGAGCATTGGGTAATATAGTTAAAAATCTACAATAAATTGCAAAAAATTTCGACTCGGTCGGGACTTGAACCGGCATCCTCAGCGTTTCATGCTGTTGCTCTAATCAATTGAGCTACTGCGTCATACACGTCATCGTCAAATTGCACTACCTACATGCACCTCTCGTGCAATATAGTTGCTATAAAATATGAATATTTCTGTCCCTCCGAATAGCTTGACAACCAGAAGCAGTGACTCGTGAGTCATGCAGCGGAGTTACATATGATACGTGCGATTACATTATATTACAAAGAGGACGTCCGCAAAGCAGTGTCATTAGCACACTGGGGCATTAATTTATCGCTACACAAATTTTCAAAGCTTAGCTAAACGCTATGTTGATTATAAACATTTGCGACTACTGGTATAAAGCAACTGACGTCCAGACATAGTTAAATTTACATTTTCAAATATATTGCGCGTTTAAAACCGTTTTTTTGCAACAACTGAGTAGCAGTCGAGTAAGCTGCAGACAATGCGTCTCTCGATATTCACGGTAGCATATCAAACGCCGATTGATATGTCCCCTAAACGTCCACCGCTCTCATTGATTTGCTCGATGCATCTCTTGCCAAATATATTTATAAGCGAACGGACTAGCTATTCTCAATGTGTACAGTTATTATATTGTAACTCATTACAATGTTTATAGATATTTTAAAACACAATATTTTATTCACAAGTTTTGAATTAAAAAAATAAACTACACAAGCGATACTCGGATCCATGACCATAGAGATCCGCGATGCGGCTCTACCCATTAAGCAAACGTGTCCCACTCGGATTAATTTTTTATTCGTCAAATAATAAATACTAATTTTGCTTTGCGACTTTAAATTATAAAACACCAGTTGCGCGTTCAGAATAATATATATGTCTAGACCAAATCTTAGAAATGATAACCTTCGAACTACCTACAAATATTTTACGATGTTTATTGTTTAGCAAAATCATCTTAATATTTTGTAGCAAGTCTTAGGGGATAAATGCTCAGTATTTACCTCACAATTAGCTAATCATTATTGCGACCTACTGTAGTGTCACTACGTCTATTTTTATTGCGAATTAAGCTGAGTGAACCGTTACTATATACATTTTTGGGTTTCGCATGGAGGGTTCACGTCGTTTCCGTTTTGATAACGATCAAGTTTCGGCAGGTGTTGAGATACACTATCTTATATCTATCTATACTAATATACAGGGTGTCCAGAGAAGTAGTGTCAAGCGGTGGTCCAAAGATAGAACACCCCTTGGAGCATCCGAAACACACCCATGTATGTTCTGCGATTATTTATAGTTTTCGAGTTACGAATTTTTTTCTAAAATTTTGAGAATTGTTGACCTAAACAACTTAAACGCTGATTCACAAAAGGTGATAAGACTTTTTCTTGATCTTTTTTTTCACAGCTCAACAAGCATGAATTGTACATTAATAATTAAAACATTTGTCTTCGTAACCTTAACGGAAGGTAAAAATATGATGGTTCAAAGTGAAAAAGTTATGAACCGTGAATTGCGTCTTAAAATTTTAACTTTAAATTTAAAATATTAATAGGTAGCTTTGTAGCTCATATATAAGTTTAAAAACTGCGCCAGACTCTTAATCATTAATCATTAAAATAAGGACTACATAATACGCTACTTTTGATAATACCGGACCTCAAAGACGATAGGCGTAAAAATGTAATAAATGAATTGGAACCTTTTTAAACTGAAGAGTTTGATTGTTTGTATCTATGTTTAAACGTGGTTATCTTAGGAACTACTGGTTCAAATTGAAAAATCTTTATAGCTCTAGGCGTCGCATGTGACTAATAGGAGCGAAGAAACAGCGGGAAATGTAGAAGAAGACGGGGAAAAATATTCATCTTAGAGTTTTCAATCCGTACGCTGCGAAAACGGTTCAATATAGCCAAACAGTATTTAAAAAATAATTATTTCTCTTAAAGAATCAAAAAAAAAATATATATATATGTCTATTTTTTAAGATTAACTTGCAAAAAACGTCGTGAGTTACAGCTTATATTCATAATTATAAGGAGGAGGTACAAAAATAAATTTGGATGTCCAAAATAACTATTCTACGCGGACGAAGTCGCTGACACAGCTAGTCTTATATTCTTTAGAAATTATCTCAAGAAAAATGGACACCACATTTTCCGTTATATTTTTCCAGGTGACGTATTGTCACAAAGTAGACGCGTTGTGACCTGGATAGCGGAAACCCAGAAGCTTGAAGACGTACGTACTCCACTAATGTTTATACACTGCATTGCGGGAAACATAAGAAATGCAAGTTTGTATTTCTCTAACATACGTGTGTAAGGCTTTCATATCACCTTACGTCTCTTTCAACATAATTATAGAAAGACTTATCTTGAAGATTAGCGAAAGAGCGCATATTATATCGATAATCGTAGAATTGCTAAAGTGTGTGTTGGTTATTTTAATTCGTCGTACAAGAAAACCGTCAAATACTGTCTATAGTTTACGCGAGTAGTACACATTTAAATAAAACACTTTAGCCGTGGTCGCGGGGAGACCCGTGACCACGGCTGCTGCAACGCATCCGAAACGTCGGGCTGCAGTTAAAAATCATTTTCAAATAAGTTTAACTAATATCGCGTTTTAAACCGTTAAAATGTTTTATTAAAAAAAAACCGTTGTCATGTTAATAAAAGTTCATCTAATCTTTCAAGTAAAGTAAAACAACTGTTACTGTTAGAATAATGTATATAGATAAAATCTTTTTGAAATTTACGAAACATTCGATAATAATGTCGGACTACCCTCGCATTATTCAACGCCACGTCTCGTATGTGCTTAAGCTTGAGTAGAAATCCTATGCAAAAAAATTACATTACTTTTTTTCGACAGACAACCAAGCATGGCGTTTACTCAATAAAAGGTGAAATGGCCCAAAACAAAAAGAAAATAATGTTTTATGCATACTTTACCTTGAAATATTTATTAATGAAATAAGGGAGGAATAAATAATAAACCTGGAGAAGGGTTTTTCATATATTTCGTTTCATATATATACGTTCGAAAATCTGCCTGTTGTAAGGGTTGAATTCAGTACTAAAGGTAACAATAATGAAACTCTAATATACGTAATTTTTTTTCCCAAAAAATGTTCCAAATTATTTTTTATTAACACTAATACAACTGTTACAACTACACTTTGAAGACTCCCTCCCCCTCTCTCTTATCTGCCCTGTCCGACGCTTTGAACTAGGATAAAAGGTAATTAATGTAATGATAAACAAGTCTGCAACCCCAATTAGTGACTTGCGTAAAACTTTTGAGTAACATAACACGATTCATTGAACAAAAGCGAGAATGTTCGCGACTTTTCATTATTCATCAAAGTCTAAGGAGAAAATGTTTTATGAAAAAATTGCCGGGAGTTGCCAACATAGTTTCAAAGATTCTTCTTTCAATGGAAATCTCGAATGATTTATTAGTTATTAAGTATTATATTATTCTTTTTCGAAAACATGCACAGCACGCCATGCTTTAAATGATGGAATGAGCCACGACAGAGTCGACCTATTTTGGTTTTGGCCATTAGGCTGTTATAGGTATTGCCGAAACCGGTTAATCCTAACCAATCGATTTTCAAATATGTATGTAATAAAAAAATCTATTGCAGTAAATAAATATTTAAAATTCTATAAATTTTTTAAGGTTATTTATTGCCTACTTATTCCAAATATTGTTACGATGCGCCGTGAAATATTTTCAACTGACCTGTATCTGGAACATGGAAATGGAGTCGTCCAGCATCTGCACCCGCACTGCCAGCATCTTGCCGCCTTTCTTGGGCGTGGCGGGCGGCGTGCGAGAACCGCCGCCGTCGACACCCGCCGGCGTGCTCGCCGAGTGGTGCATGCGACCTGCACCAAACAACGCGTAAAGAATAAACAACTTAATGTTTTCAACATTTCCTGCCTGAAGTTTTTGCACGCTTTAAACCCCGGACATCAGCACTAATGATACTGTTACTGACTGTCTTATTAGACATCTAAATCAGTATTTTTCAATAAGATATCAGTAAATTTAATGTCAGTTTTGCTTTAAGCATACAAAAACAAGTGAATTACTTGCCTGGTATTTGCCATCCAATAGTGGAGAGATGTCCTGTCGAGTTACAGCTACCCGGCGGAAGCTCAGTCTCCATCATATTGTTTGTTCACAAGAGCACTCACAAACTAAGTTTTTCGCCATTGTGTCTAACTCTACACTACACTTAACACTAGTTGTCTATCACTGCTGCTCTGAAACAATACACACTTCAATTACTTAAATCTACATTTTTGCATCTAACATTTCCGTAGTATGATTTATTCATACCAAAACAATTGTCTTTGCAGGTGGCCAACAAAACTAGATTTAAATTCTTAGTATCAATAAAATTGTTATGGATCAACTACAGTATTGAGGTAACAAAGTGAGCTATCAAAGCCTACATAATAGGCGTAATACAACATGAATGAAAGAAAAGCGTGAATTATTCATTACTTGATAATTCATGAAGGTCAATTAAGTAGTAAAATGTAAAGTAAGTGTTACATAACAGTCAGGGCTGTATGCAATCATAATTAACTTTTTATTTACATGTTCTGCATGCCAAGAATTAAAATAATCCTTAAAGCCGAAACAACATGCTAAGAACTATGTATTTGAAAAAAATATATAATTCAGATAATTTGTTTCAATTTCAAACACAATAAACTTTTCTGTTTTTGAATATAAGTACCTACTTTAAAAACTTTATTATTTTTTACATGTTATTGCACATGATGGCACTATATACATTTTTTCCAATTTATTTTCAATTTTTAAATTACCTAGTTTTAACAGAAAAATTTTATATTCATAATGCATCTTGTGAGTTATTTGTATCCAATAAGATTTATAATATTTTATCCATAAAAAAACTGTATTAAAAACTATATATCAATTATAATTTTTATTTACTGAGATGTAGGAATTACTACAGGTCAAAGACCTTTTATAAATGAAATGTTTACACATGCTGGATAGTAACCATGACTAATTTGAAGAATTTAAATAAATGATTTGTGGTCTATAATTTAAAATGGTTTTCTAATAAACTTGGAATAGAATAACTAAACTTTTTACTACGAATGTCGTTATTCAAGTTTTTTATTAAAATTTTACACTTACTATTTTACGTTATCGTTTAGTACAAGTGCAAGACGACATCGCGGCTATATAAGTAGTAAAGGTTCCAATGCAATAACCAGAAAATAGGTCAAATAGAGGTGTGCCCGCCCTGACAGAGACGACACCATACAACCTCCGAAGCGCCACATTTGAATGTAATGATCACCCCTTTATATTTAATTACGCAGACGCCACTGCGATATAGTCCCTTTATAGTATTTAAGAAATCTGCTTACTGCAAAGCTGCGGTAAAAAATGTACATTTCTTGCTCTACAGGTTTAAAAGATGAAGGATGCCGCCTAGCAAGTAGTCTTCAGCAAGATACTAAGTTCCAGTCTGAATTGGAATCATCGATTTAGTTTGTCAGAAACTAGAGACTAGTTTGTGACCACTCACTGCACAGGCACTTAATCTATATCATACTTTTCATTTGGCGCTTCTAGTGAACTTAACGTAATATAAACATAATTTAAAATAAATATCTTACACACCCCGTCAACTCAGTCACGAAGACATCACGACTTACGCCATATTTGATATTTATTATTTTATTTACAATTTGGTGTTGCCATATCGCTTTTATGAATGAAAGTAAACATTTACTAAAAGTGTATATACGAAATAACTAATATTGACTATTTTCAACTTCCGACGATTATGTAAATTCTTAGTTATTTAAGGATTTACATACATTTTCACATCGTCATTACATATGCCTATTATAATTATGTTTATAATTTAAAAGCTACATTAGCTAAGCGAAGCTATTATTTAGACTTTAACTACTAACTTTTATTAACTATTTACTTCAATTTTTCTTATGACAAAACTTTGTGTACAACCTACTTTTATGGGAAAGAATTTCTAAAAGATTAAAGAAGAAACTAAAACATTTATATATCTATGGACATAGCGATCCTCTTACTATATCTATAATACTGTGGCCGAGACCGTGCGTCACTGTCAGACTTGGTTCTTTCAAATTGACAAAGATTTGTTTTGTTTTCAGAATTGTATAGTAGATTATTTACAAATACGTCTACACTCTACGACGTGTGATCAACGTTTTGAAAGAAATACCAATAGTCGCTAATAACATTAGTTGTAAATTGATACTTCAACCACACGATTGTTTCAACTATACATAAAATGTTTTACTTTTCTTATTAGCTACGTCGAGCAGCTATCATCATGGAAACAACGCCTTTAATTAGTCGACCTAAAAAGAAATCTTTACTGTCAAGGTAAGAAAAACTAGAATGGTGTTTATCAAATCGGCTCTCGCGAGTTTAATTGGTATTAATCGAATTTGTAGGTTATTCACTGGTTGGTTTAAACAAAAGGAGCTCTGTTCTAGAGTAATATATCTAGGTCAGCTACCAGATGAGGAGTATCCTGCCAATCATGTATGCAATCAGGTACGATTATATTAATTTCCAATTCATTTTCTCCAACACAAAGATTTAAAATTGAGATTTTCTTTTTCTTGTTAGAAAGTAATCATGGTGTTTCATGTCTATCTTGATGAAACTGTAAAAGTTTCTCTTTAATCAGGACTAACATAAGCTAGCTAGGTTTAAATTAACTAATATATTTTGTATTTTAAACCATAAAAGTTTTTTTTTATTATGTAAGAACTTTTAGTCAACATATAACATATAATTGTATATGTAAAATGACCTATTATTTTGTTGTACTAATAACCTACTTGCTTTGAATTATTGATAAGAAGAATGACTGATGTCATTGTCCCATTGTGTATGTGTTGACTTAGAGGAAATGATATGCAACGCTTCTGTCTTTTAATTAATGAAATCTTTTCAACTGTTTATTAATATTCACTATACATAGCCATTAAGGTTGTCATCTCTCCGCGTTAATGTAGTTTAGAAATAATCATCATATTTTTTTCAGAAATACAGTATTATTACATTCCTGCCTATCGTCTTATTCGAGCAGTTCAGGTTTTTCCTGAACCTGTACTTCTTAGTGATGGCCCTGAGTCAATTTATACCAAGTATCCGTATCGGTTACTTGTACACCTACTGGGGCCCATTATGCTTTGTGTTAGCTGTAACACTATTCCGAGAAGCTATAGATGATTACCGAAGATATAGGTATTGCTCATTTTGAAACATAAATCAATTCTGTTAGATTTTATATTTTATACTTTATATAATTTTTAGACGCGATAAAGAGGTCAATCGTCAAAAATACGAGCGGATAGTACTAGATACACCCAGTGATGGATACCGCCCCTTCGTCACACAACAGGTGCCGGCTTCGGCTTTACGTGTGGGTGACATCGTGATGCTACATAAGGGCCAAAGAGTCCCTGCAGATATGATTCTTTTGAGAACAAACGAGACTATGGGTACTGTGTTCATTCGGACTGATCAGTTGGATGGTGAAATAGATTGGAAGTTGAGGTGAGATAAATGAGAATTATATATTTTGTCTGTGTTCTTGTTTATACATTTATCAAATACTCTCTGCACGAGTAGTAACATTGAAATAAAACACCTTAATGGTTTAAAACGTCATATATATCTTTTTAACTTATTCGTTGTTTATAACGGCTGCTGCATCGGAAACGTTGGGACGTAGTTAAAATAATTTTTAAATAAGTTTAACTAATATATATCGCGTTGGAAACCGTTAAATTGGTTTATTTAAATACATTACATACTAAATATTTTTCCAAAGGATTCCCCTGCCATCCACACAAAAATTACCCACCGATGCGCATTTACTAGACATAAATGCTAAAATATTTATTGAGAAACCAGAGAAAGACATTCACTCTTTCATTGGGACATGTACAAGGCTGGATGAAGAGGAAAGTGACTCTTTGGATATTGAAAATACGCTGTGGAGCGGTTGTGTTGTTGCATCTGGACAGGCTACGGGGCTCGTAATTTATACAGGTTAATATCTAGGTTTATCAGTATGTTTTCATCAACATTAGATTAGATAGACTAGCTTAGTGGCATCAAGACGTGCTGTCGACCTAATTTAGCTTTGGATTTAAAACGCTATTAAACTTCGTTCGTTCGTGTCCTGGACCGAATTTCGTTATTCCCACCACCAATTTAATATCCAGATTTGCAGACAAATTTCAACATATTTCAGAAAAACCATAACTTGATTAGAAATATGTTGGATGCGGTGGGGAATGAACTTACTTTACTAGCCACATATGGCTACCATTACACCGACGAAAACATTTCTTATGTTTAAAAAAAATCTGTTCGCACTTTTGTAATGTGGCCAAAAATTTGAATGCGATTTCTTCTTCTCCTTTGCCAGGGAGTGAAACGCGAAGTGTCATGAACAATGCAGCGCCAAGATCCAAAGTGGGGAGACTTGAACTGCGGGTGAATGACTTTACGAAAGTGCTTTTTGTGGCGACATTTTTCACATCGTTCCTCCTAATCGCTTTGAAAGGTTTCGACGGGCCCTGGTACGGCTTCCTGTTCAGATTCGTGTTGCTTTTTTCCTATATCATTCCTATTAGGTGAGTTGTGCTTTAGAATTATTATTAATAAGTAGTTAAAAATACTCAGTTTGTTCGAATAGCTGAAATTTGAAATTTTGAATGTTGGAAATAAAAAAATATCTTTTCAAGTTTTACACTGATTTCAGTGCAGAGTTAGCTAGTCTGTTCGGCTATTTTATATCATTGACTTGTAATTGTTCAATAAAATTTAATTTTTTCCTTCTCCACTTCTTGTTGGCCTTTCTCATCAATAATAGTTTCTTCTCAGCTTAAGAGTCAATCTAGAAATGGGAAAAGTGTTTTACTCGTGGACAATACAGCGCGATAAGAAAATTTCTGGCACCGTGATGCGTTCAACCACAATCCCTGAGGAATTGGGCAGAATACAATATTTGCTAGCTGATAAAACCGGGACTCTCACCAAGAACGAGATGGTATTCCAGAAGTTGCATATCGGTAATGCCCTTTTTGACAAGGACAAATTTCATGAAGTAAGTTAACATTTGATTTTAAATTACTTTGTAACTAAAAAGCTTCTTAATCATTGAAGTCCTTTATTGTTAATCACTCAATTAGCAATTTAAAGTAAACAAAATCGTTTTCTAGGTAGAAGCACTCCTAACTCAGCATATAACGAAGGACAGTCTGTCGGTGCCCTCGACTCCGAACGGTGACGGATTGCCATTTTCGCCTACTCCGAAGCAAGTGTGGGAGAGTGTTTTGGCCCTCGCGCTGTGCCATAACGTAACTCCAGTTTACGAGGTGGACGACCAAGTGGATGAAGCTCAGTCTGGTGAGAACGTTCAGCATTACATTAGAATAGAATAGAAGACATTTATTCGGAAACAACACAAGACATTTAACAAACACAATAAAAAAAATCATTACAAATAAAATAAAAATTAACTAATTACATATGAAATAATAAAAAAATAAAATAGTTGCCTCCGAAAAGGAGTTCACTCAGCTACGTTGGAACTAATGTCCCAACACTGATATTCTGGGGCCCTTCATTACGAGTGTATGCTATGTAAACGAGGCGTTTACATTTAAATATAACACTAACGGTTTAAATCGCGGGACCGCCGCTTCACTGCGTGCTGTGGTCACGGGGCACCTGACCACAGCACGCAGTGAAGTGCACCGGGGGACCGTACAAAACTAACTCACGGTGTCCCCTCGTTTACCCGTATGCTTATTTTTTTAATTGAATCTAGTGATCAATAAATAAAATGGCATACCGTCAATGAATGCTAGAAGTTGGCGCCACAATAGCAAGATGTCCCTTATCAATACATACCATTTACCCATATAATATTTAAAGGAAATTCATAAAATAACAACAATTTTCCGGGTTGTAGACCAGCCTGCAAGCGTCACATAACTAGGACTTAACGCCTTTCAATTATTTAACTTCTCTTGCAGACATGGGAAGTTCTATAATGTCAGAGAGCTGTGGCGGAGCGGTGCCCCAGCAGCAACTATGCGATTACCAAGCGGCAAGTCCCGACGAGGTCGCATTAGTCAAGTGGACGGATATGGTAATACTTCGGAGAACATTACTTGATCATTGAAAACTGAGGAGTAAAAATATGCTTACTTTTTGTAGATGGGAGTGTCCTTGTATCGTCGTGACCTACACAACATCGCGCTCAAGCTACGGGCTGCCAACCAGATCTTGTCGTTCAGCATTCTGCAGATATTCCCGTTCACCAGCGAATCGAAGATGATGGGCATTATTGTGCAGGTAAGGTTTTTACACCCGTTGAAATTACTTTTGGTTAGGTTTCCAGAAAAAACACATAAGTTTTACCTGGGTTTATTTTTTGATCAACGCTTACCGTAATTTAATAAACCGTCCAAGTGCGAATCGAACTCTCGCACGCAGGATTCCTTCTTGGTTATTTGAAGTGCCTACTTGTTACCATATAAAGGGGATATAAATATATTATTTTCAACCTTCAAAGAATTATTAAAACATGAGTAACACTTTTTCCAGGAAGAAATCTCGGGCGAGATAACGTACTATGTAAAAGGTGCTGATGTAGCATTTTCCAAGCTAATACCCTCCTCGCTCGCGACTGAGTGCAGTAACCTCGCCGCAGAAGGGCTACGAACCTTGGTCGTTGCTAAGAAGACCCTTAGCAAAAACGAATATCTCGAATTTGAAGTAAGGATTATTTCTTCTTTATATAATCTATATTTAGTATTGATTTACGAAGTGAATTGACAAAGTTTATACTGTTGTTATGACAAAATTCGTAACTGGAAAAGGCGAAGAAAATCTCGATGATTGTGCAATGTTTTCTTCCTGTTCCAGAGCGAATACAAGGAAGCGCGACTGACCGTGACCAACCGCAGCGAGCGGACCGCAGCAGCCATGGCCCGCTTGCACCGTGGTCTTACATTGCTGGGCCTGACTGGAGTGGAAGACCGATTGGTCGACGACGTGCCACGCACTTTAGCTATGTTGAGAACCGCTGGGATTAAGGTTTGTTTATCACATACATATAATATAATGTATATGCATGTATTTAGAGAAATAAAACAATTCTCGTGGCTTTGTAGCGTTTTTTTATCTTTATAAGAAACTTTTACAACATATATACTGAAATTGTGTCGTCTAATAAGGCCGCAATACAAATACGTTGCCCCGAAACCTGTCTTACGGCACTCAAAAATCTCTCTAGATCTAGAAAGTTGGCTAATCCGTCTCTTTAAAACATAATGATAATTATTTCTAAAGTAGTACTTCAATAATAATTATACTTGTCGGTTATATACCATGAGCCAATTTTTCAAAATTCTATCCCATGAGATAAAAAAGCTAATTTATCTTCGTAATTTTTTCGTCTTTTAGATATTACCAGTATTGGTTTGGTTTGAGCAGAACACAAAAATTTAAGTGACTTACCTTTACGGAACACAAATGAGTCTGTGTCTATTCCTCACGTTTGTTTAAATGTTGTATACGTTGTTTAGATTTGGATGCTGACCGGAGACAAGTTAGAAACTGCACTGTGTATCGCACGGTCGCTGCACCTGGGCGGTGGGTCCCGTTGGATGACGGCGTCCGAGTGCCGTTCGCGGACAGACGCACATCGGCTTCTCACCGCACTGCGAAACGCACAAGATACCGACCTCATATTGGAGGGGGAGACTCTAGAGGTACACTTTTTCACTGGAAATAATATTGTCTATAGTTAAGGCGAGTAGGTAGTACGCGTTTTAAACCATTAAGTGTTTCATGTCATCATATTAATACTAGCAAACAAACCGTACGGGTTTGCTGAGCATCAGTGTTGTAGCATAACCGTGCTACATCTTATGCTGACGCAAGAACACTTTTCTTCAAATTAAATTTAGTATTTTCGTTTTAATTTTTTATTGTTATTACATTTATTATATTATGTATATATATTATTATTTATTCTTAATAACTATAAACCTTTTTTAGGTTTGCCTACGTTCGTACGAAGAGGAATTTGTGGAAGTGCTGCGTGAGTGCACCGGCGTGGTCGTGGCTCGGTGTTCCCCCACGCAGAAGGCGCAAGTCGTGCGCTTGTTGCGGGCCAGGGGGCTGATAGTGGCCGCCGTGGGGGACGGTGGCAACGACGTGGCCATGATACAAGAGGCGGATATGGGTAAACAAAGCTTGATTCTTTAAAGCTTAAACGAAACAATAACTAAAACTTTAGTCACTAGCCATGTTTCATGTATATGCATGATATGTCTATGTTATTTTCCTAATAGTGTACGTCTCTGACGAAACTAGAGCAAAAATAAGAACGAACAATATGTAGGGGATGGTGGGCACATAGTCCTGAAATAAAAAATAAATATCGACATCAATCTGGACTTTAAAAATGGCCGAGTCGTTACCGATATGAATGTTGCGGGACGCGGAGTTAGCCGTAGTAGCCCATTCGTAGTAGCGTTCTATTTTACCCCGTCACTCCCTTATATTTAAAAATCAACTGAAAACAGTAAGAGTGTACATATGGCTGACTAGAACGGAATCATAAATAGAATAGAAATAATCTTAATATTTTAAAGAATCGTCTCAACCAGTAGACTTTGTACAGGTGTGGGAATAGAAGGCGCGGAGGGTCGAGCGGCGTCCTTGGCCGGTGACGTCAGCATTCGCTGCTTCTCGTTCTTGGCTCGGCTGCTCCTGGTCCACGGGCGTCGCTCTGTGATGCGTTCGGCTGCGCTGTGCCTCTTCATCGTGCACAGGGGTCTGATCGTGTCGACTATGCAGGTACGCGATGCATCTGTGGAAATATCCATTACCGATTTTACTTTATGTATGACATGGAACGAAAAATCGGGTCAGAATACTTTTGTCTTCTCTAACTACCCCTTTTGGTGCCAAACCATATCTATTACATTATATACCGTCAACAAATACCAACTTCGACGGAACAGATGGCGCTAGCGTAGCAATTTTTATTTTGATGTCTTAGACATCCTCCATCTTTAGTTTCCCCGTGACCACGGTTGCTGCAAAGCGTCCGAAACGTCGGGCCGTAGTTAAAATAAATCTAACTAATATATATGGCCTTTTAAACCTTTAAAGTATTTCATTTAAATCTATTTAATTATGATTCAGAATCCGAATATCCAAGGCAAAAATAGGTAGCCAGCGATCATCCAGCTTAATGAACCTCGTGCTTGTTTGTCCTCCCGTTTTATAAAAAAACGGTTAATTTTATTTAAATTTTAATGTGAAGTTATGATATTTTTCAGGCTGTGTTCTCCGTCGTTTTCTATTTCTCGTCCGTATCACTGTATCCTGGATTTTTGATGGTCGGCTACGGCACCCTGTTTACTATGTTACCTGTGTTTTCACTCGTAAGTTATTTTTATATCCGTTGCAAGAGCTTCTTAACTTCGGCTTCATTACAAAAAATCAATACAAAGTATAGTTCCCTAACCGAAGCTGATGCTAATTAGGTTAATATAATTATCTATATAACGTCTTTTTATCTAAAAAAGATAATACTACTGTGGAACAAGTATATTCTGGAGGTAATGTTCCTGGTACGCAAAGAGTACCTAGACGTTTAAATAAAACATCCAACTGTTGAAATGCTGGCCTCGTCTTTAGGGATGCCCTCAATCTTGAGATCTTCCGCGACCTCGTCTGCTGTAAAAAATCCGAAATATATATTTCGCATTTCAAACGATCTTTTTCTTTTTTCCTTTTCACCAGGGCACTATTGAGTTCAACAATGTTTTGTAGTAAAAATACCACGTAATTCCTTTCCAGGTGCTCGACAAGGACATCTCTAGTGCGTCCGCGCTACGGTATCCGCAACTTTATAAACAATTGACAAAAGGACGGCAGCTCTCTTACAAGACCTTTTACATATGGATCGGAATATCGATTTACCAAGGTAAGGGACACTAGCACGTCTTAAGAAGTTGCTACAATCTCTGTACAAGAGCCATGGGCAACAAAGGTCTTTCAATACGGCGTTGCTATTTGAAACCTTTTTGGAAGTCCTGTCCGTTACAAGGCAGTACATCAAGGACATTGATAGCTAGAGAGTTGACCTTTTCATGTGTTTCTGATGCTGCTACAATAACAAAATAAATTATTGAAAATAATATAAATATTGTTTAAGAAGAGCTTTCATACTACAAACTGCACTGTTTCGTTACAATATGAATTAAATTGACTTAGTCAATGCTTCGTCCTCTTGGTATTTATAATAAACGCAATTCAATTACATTTATAAAATCTACAGTAATTTTTAATATAGTTCCTGTATTTTTAGGTGGAGTAATAATGTATGGTGCATTAGTGCTCTTCGAAGACCAACTCATACACATAGTGGAGATCAGCTACACGGCCCTAATCTTGACGGAGCTGATCATGATAGCATTGACTGTGACCACTTGGCACAAGCTGATGGTGGTGGCGGAATTGGCAAGCCTGCTCATGTATACAGCGACACTGCTTATATTTACAACATACTTTGGTAAGATATCTACATTTCATATATATATAAGATACATACATAGCGAAGGTAGTATTTAAATTTTTGATATCCATGCCTCAAAAAAGGTGTCCACTTAGCTACGTTGGGACTAATGTCCAAACTCTCATTCTGTAGGCATGTTTACCCGAGTCTATTTATTCTGCGCACAATTGCTATATTAAAATATGATTTTTCCCAGATGGCGACTTCATTCGACACTGGGATTTCTGGTGGAAGGTGACCACGATCACCCTACTGTCCTGTCTACCGCTCTACATTGTCAAATACACGCATAGAAAGTGGCGCATGCGTCAGTACAAAAACATCGTGAATTGAACCAGTTCGTTTCCTATCGCGAGATGATTATTATTTCTTTTATTGTATAAATGATTCAATTCATGTACTCTTAATTTTAGATAGTCACAATATTTCTTATAAACATGTGCATACTGAGTGTAGAGGTGCAGGGGAGGACAGTCGACTCCCTCTGTTTAAAGTACAGGTTAAATGGATTTTTATGCTAATTGTACGTCAAAAAACGGAACAGAGTCAGAAAAAATAGGATCCCTCTTAGGGCAGAAACTGAGTATGCGCATGCTTATAGACATCACTATGCTAGTATATCACATTTACTCTTTACTAGATACATCACTGCTTATAATAATTTTGTTTCTCCCCCCAGTTCGTTTATATGTAAAATTGACCAGTATTTAATACCGTCACATCTTTTTTCGATTTTCTTTAAAACCTAATCCTAGCACATAGTACCTAAGTTATCGAAGTGAGCCTTTAGGATTTTTCATTCCACATCCCAATATTCCAGTATTTACATATCGTCTTTGTTTTAATTGAGATTTTTTCTTTATATTATCTGTTTCAGAGATTTTTCTCAGTTTTATATTGAAATTTATTGCGACGTTACTAATAATTACTAGCGAACCTTAAAAGTGCCGCTTGTTCGAAATTCAATGCGCGACCGGCCTTCGCGCTGAAAAAGTTCTTCGAAGTAGTTTACGACGAGGCGAGTTAATTCGCGATTTACAAGGAGTTATTTGAACTGTGATTAATAGAATTAATTAATTAAGGAATAGTATACAAATGTATTCCGTGGAATTTGCGGGCCATGTGGGGACGATACCGAGTCGTCCGATGCGGTACAAATCGTTTGTGATACGTATTTATTTTTGTTATTCATTGTGTTAAAGTATTTATGAACTGCACGCAGTAATTATAAGTGATATTGTGTTTAATTTTAAGAAAGGATTTTAAGTAAATTTAATACTAAATCAAATATGGTCTTATTTTATCTTTGCTTTTTGAAAGAAAACAGAAAACAGTTGTAGAGTATAATGTTTTATAAATGCCAGCTTTATTAAAACATTTAACAATTCTTAAGTTGTCAACATACCTTATACAGTAAACTAACATTACAAAGACCATTTTGCTGACATCACTACCTTCGAGACGGAGGCGTAATGAAAGAGGTCCCATCCAATTCTGTGGCGGAGGTCGATTTCAGAGCATGTTTGGAGATGACTCTTCTCGCCCAGGCTAAGTCTCGGGAACTTCTCGATCTTCTACATCTTGACTTCGAACTGTCCGTCGTGACAGACTCCCCCGATGATGAGCTTTCAGACCCGGACCAAACGGACCCCGTTGCATTATCCCGACACGAAATCTCGGAGCGCGTGGTCGAGGAATACATCTGAGTGCGTCGCGCATTTCCTTTATATATCTTCATTTCGTCCACTGACGTCTCTATTTTCGGTGGACTCTTCGACCGGTTGACACAGCCCACGTCGATAACATTGTTATCGCTCTCTGCGTTCTTTATCCCCACGGACTCTTCGCTAGAATCACCGCTCTCGCTTAAAATGATATCCATTAGTTTCTCTTTGTTTTCGTTCAAATCGTACACTCTTTCGGTCTTTACAGATCCTACGGACGATGATTTTACTCTAGACGAGCCGCTGACACGCTTTGCGTGGTCAAGAGTGTAATAGACATTTTTTTGTGCGGGCAGCATCGCCGGGATATTGGACTCCACGTTAGCGTATTCGACGTCATTGGACGCGGAAGAGTTACGCGGGTGTCCTCTACAGTGACAACCGTCGTCATCTCCAAACAAGTAGCTGTATAAGATCTGTATGAGACAAATTGCTAGACCAATAAGAAGAATTATAAAAACACAGCAATATGGGGTCCAGTCTGCATTCACATAGACGTAGGAGTTCTTCAACGCCCCCCATGGATGCCACTTGGACACTCCGGCGTCTTGGTAAGTGAAGAGATTCCGCCTCGACAGGCCTTTGCCATAGGCTTGAGCGGCGGCTGCCACCCTCAGGATACCACCGTAGGCTGCGTACAATTTCTCATCTACCAGATGTGGAGCGACGTCCCTTTTCATCCAATGCCACATTTCATTGTTGAAATTAACAAAATCTGTATGACGGCATTTGTCGGGGGAGCGTTTCAGAAGACACCTCGATGCCGTAGTATAATACTTAAGTATAACATTTTTCGATTTTGGCGAGGTCAAACTAAGGAGACCGTTGGATTTAAACGGGAGCGCCAAAGCGGAAGGTTCTCGTGGATCGTCTATTTTTGGAGGAGGTAAATGAATACACGAGTTAGTATCTCGTTTGTTGATTACAAATGTACATGGGTCAAAAAGCTTGCCGGATCCTATCACAATTTTTTCCACTGTCATATTAGTCAATATCGGAACAGTGTGAGGTTTTCTCCAACCAAATCCCTGAGTGTTTAGATAGACTTTGATATTGTCGAAATAGTCATGCAAATCCTTTACATTTCTGTAGGGTAGAGAACCAGCGTAGTACGCGAATCGAGCGGCTGGCAAAATCTCACCTCTCATGTGTGCGCCTATTGTATCCGCTAATGCTTCTTTCAGTATTAAGCTTGTTTGTTTATTTGGCTCCTCGTGTCGATCCACTAAACGCAAAGCTCTTCGAAAGTATTTAAGAATATCCTTACTGTACTTAGTATCTATTTTTGATGGAATTACGTCGGAGGGAATTACCTGTTCAAATATTTGTCGAGCCCGCAACTTCGCTAAATCAAGTTCATTCCAACAATCATAACGCGAAGCTTTTGTCAGCCGATTGTGGAATAAGCAACTACCTATATGCGAACAGTCCCTTACTTTAATGAGTAAGAAAAATAGAGTAAGAAGTAAAAAATACAGCATTGAAAAAGAAAATATGCATTAACAATATTTTTGTATTTGAATTTTGAAAAGATCAATACGAACACAAAATATAATTTGTAACCAACAACATTGTATGGAGAATTGTACTTTGTGTCATTTTCATCTGTGGTAGAATAGTGACATCTGTAGATCACATGTAATATTTTGTTTGAATTTTCATTCGTAGTATTGTAGGAAACATGAATAGATATAGAATAAAAGCGGTTTCAAACTTGCAATTTACTTTACGTGTTAAATTATTCACAAATTAATTTGTGATTTACAAGTGTATCTACGTGTTGTCTAGGGATATAACCCCAGGTTTTTAAAACATACAAACGTAAAAAGCTGAACACTTAAAAATGTCTAAGGTACCCTACCTAACGCATGTTTTTGTTATGTACCGAGAGTTTTGTATAAGAACATTATTTTTTATGCTAAATAAAGAGTACACTAACGTTTAAATTTCCATATTCCGTTATACACATAAAAAAATATTTTTAATACTTTTTTTTAGAATATACGTTCCTATTTTACTGTTATGAAAAAACAAACATCTAATACAGCAGATAATGATAGTGATGTTATACCAGAATCTCCAGATGTTCAAATAAAGAACAAGGTAAGGATATCTTACATTATATTTTGAAACTCCAAGAAAGTGTCATGTTTTTGATGAAGTTTAGACAGTTTTCCTCTTTTATTATATTCTTCTTCTATTAACTACTTCTATTTATATACATATTAATATTTTAGGGTATAACTCTTATCCTCGAAATGACACTAGGGTGTTGCAAACAACATCTAATTGCAGCTCACATTTTCTTTACATTAAAATAACTTTGTATTTTTAGAAAAAACAATCACGAAAAAAAAGAGTAATAGAGGACTCGGATGAAGAAGTAGTTTCACCTAAAAAGGCAAAGTTAAGTTCTAAAAAACAACCAGACTCACAGCAAGTACAAAAAAGTCCTAAATTCAAGGAGGTCACACTGACTGATTTATTTGGTAATGGAAAAATAAAGAAAACAGATGCTTTAGTTGTTAAAGACAAAAAAAGAAAACATACTGAAACTGGTATACATTCTGATGATGACTTTGAAAAAAGTTTATTGGAATTAGATGCACCTGATTTATCAAACGAAGTGGTTACTGACAACACTCTTAAGATCAAAGAAGTCGCCAAGTCTAAAGAGATTCTATCGAAAAAAACTGAATCCATTAAACATGAGGTTGATGATGACATAAATTCTAAGCTTAAGTCTATTGACAGAAAAGAAAATCATGCTGAAATCACCATTCCTGATATAATAAAAATTGATGATGATTCTAACTGTAGAAAAGGCAAGTCAAAAAGAGATCACGGACAATTGCAAAATGCTAATAGTGAAAACAATAGCCAGAAGAGCGTAGACACTTCAGTACATAATGATAGTATCATGTTAAATAAAGAATCAAGAAAAACCAAGAGGGATTTGAGTGAATTTCTCGATGATGATGACCATTATGATAAGAACAGGAAAAAGACTAAACATGACGATAGTCTTAATGATTCTGGTATGTATGATCCTTGGCATTTTAGTATACCATTGTTTTGCTTGCTTGCTAAATTACTTATATTTTATTTAAGCACATTGTTGTTGTTATATACATACAATATAATAGTTCTTAATTGCAGCACTTAGTGATCAAGAGAGACATGAAAGAAAAATAATGTCCGCAGCATTGTATCAAAAATATTTAAATAGGACAGGACCTAAGAATCTAGGAGCTAAGGAAATTCCAGAGGTGACATTTTTGTTATATATATTTTTATTTACGCACATGGCGCAAAGTTTCAATCTTCGTGTTTAATAAAATTTTAGGGGACACCAGAGTGCTTGAAAGATTGCTCCTTTTTACTAACAGGAGTTTTGGACTCGTTTGAAAGAGAGGAAATAATTGCTGCAATCACAAAGTATGGTGGAACAGTTAAATCAGGAATTAGTAAGAAGGTGGATTACACTTTCATACCATACATTATTGTTGCATTGTTATGAAGTTTTAGAACCATTTCTTTATTTTTTTAAGGTCACTCACGTCCTTGCGGGTGAAGATGCAGGTCCTGCTAAGACGGCCAAAGCTGAAGCACTAGGCATAAAAATAATAGACGAAGACCAATTTATCAATATGATAACAGAATTGTCTAAAAAAACAAACAATCATAAAGATAAGTGCAAAGAAAGTAATATTAAAACTGAAAATATAAAAAAGGAAACAGAGAAATTCAATGATAAGAAAAAAACTCCCTACAAGGAAAAATCGAAGTCCAATGATAAGCTTGATGTCCTTGTAAAAAAAGAAAAATCACCCAAAGACACGACACCCAAGAATGACGAAAAATCCCCAAAACTAAGTATTAAAAAGGAAAAAAGTCCTCCATTACAAAAAGATGACAAAGATGTGCAAATGAGAAGTAAGGAATGTTTGCGTAGCTGTGTGTTATTATTGATATTCTTGTTATATTAAATAAAGTAACGTCATTTCTTAATTTGCTCTTCTTAAATTGTATAATGTGTTATGAACATGTGGTCTTGGGTGTAATTTTACTTATTATTATTTTCAGATAATGATAATGCATCACAAGCATCTAATGCTGCACCATTATCTTTGATGTGGGTTGACAAGTATAAGCCACAGAGTATTAAACACATTATTGGGCAGCAGGGAGAAGCGAGTAATGTTAAAAAGTAATGTATTTCTTAATGCTTGTGATCAGCTGAGCGACCTTAGGGCAAGCTCGGCACACAGATTATTTATTGCGTTTAACCGAGACCTCAAGCGAAACGACGTAGGTCTAGCAGAATGCCCAACGTCGCTATTTTTTATAGAAATACCATAAATCTTATTTAATGAAGAAAGAAATCATATTCTTTGTTTATGACTTTCTAGCTTTAAACCTTAAAAAAACTTGACCCAGTTTTATATTTAAATCTTGTCCACAGATTAATAAATTGGCTAACAAATTGGTATGTAAATAGAAAAAATATGCCCAAAGTCAAGCGAAATCCGTGGGCCAAGAATGACGATGGTGCTTCCTATAAAGCTGCTTTACTTTCTGGACCTCCTGGAGTCGGTAGGAACAACATGTTACATTTTAATAACTAATAATATTCAGCAGCTACTCTAACTTAACTATACATTCGCAGGTAAAACGACGACCGTTAGCTTAGTCTGCAAAGAATTAGGTTTTGACATGGTTGAGTTTAATGCGTCAGATACTCGAAGTAAAAATTTAATAAAGGAACAAATCTCTGAACTTTTATCTACCAATTCTCTATCTGGATATGCAAGAGGTATCTATTGTAGTGGTTTAAAGTGAAATTATTATACTATTACAAGGACTACATTTGTCACATCTTACAGGGCAAACAGGCAAGCTAGCTGTAACAAAGAAACATGTTCTAGTAATGGATGAAGTGGATGGTATGGCTGGTAACGAGGACAGAGGTACATATCACCTTGCATTGTTAAGTGCTCCTTGTATGAAAATATTGTATAATGTGTGTTCATGTAGCCGGTTTGCTTTAGGTGGTCTTCAAGAGTTAATTTCATTGATAAAGACAACATCTGTGCCGATAGTTTGCATGTGCAATGACAGGAACAGCGAAAAGATGCGCTCCTTGGTTAACTATTGTTATGATCTGCGATTCAGCCGCCCCAGAGTCGATCAAATAAAGGTATTTTGTTTGTAGTTCATTAAAAAGAACTTGTTGAAATTGGAAAACCGCGCTAGGCTGAATTTTCCTGACGACGTCTCACATGTTTCAGAAAAACTATTGTTTTTAAACCTTCTTTCGTCCATTTAAAGAGTGACATGACTAAATACCGCTCAACTTATTTCTTAACTTGATTACAGTCTGCAATGTTGTCCATGTGCTACAAAGAAAGTATTAAAATTCCTGGAGATGTTTTATCACAACTAATAAGTGCCGCAGGACAAGATATAAGACAGACCATACATTTATTATCGGTTTGGAGTGCTGATCCGGCTCTCGCTGATCACGATAGACTGCAGAAAGAAGCACACAGAGTGAAAAAAGACATTAAGATGGTAAAGTATTTTTTATGTTTTTGTACACTTTCCTTAACTTGACAATCTCACCATATGACACATAAGAGACTTTACTATGAATCTCTTGTGTAGAATGGCTTACTTATAAAAAACAAACATTTTTGCTATCATGATTATTACATTGAACAACACTTTTCATCACCAGGGTCCATGGGAGGCAATAAGAAAAGTTTTCTCTGCTGAGGACCATAAAACAATGAATATAAATGATCGGAGTGATCTCTTTTTCACGGACTACAGCCTCGCACCACTTTTTGTGCATGAAAACTACCCGCAAGTTGTACCTCACTGTCCCAAGTAAGCTGGTTGAATAAGAATTATTAGTACTATTAGAAGAAAAAAAGGTGTGTAAACCTTTCATATTTTTAGGCATGATATATTGAACAGAGTCAGTGCAGCTGCAGATAGTATCAGTCTTGGTGACTTGGTGGATTCGAGGATAAGAAGTAATCAAGCTTGGAGTCTATTACCATTGCAGGTTTGTAGAGTGTAGAGTGTAACAAACATCTTGATTTTAGTCTCTGAGTCTGAATAATGTTTCAAATGTACTTTTAGGCAATGTATAGCTCAGTTATTCCTGGACAAATGCTATCGGGGCATATAGGTGGGCAAATCCAATTTCCTGGATGGCTTGGTAAAAACTCCCGAGCAAATAAAATGGCCCGCCTAGCTCAATCCATTCATGCTCACACCAGGCTTAGGTAAATGTATTTTCATAATTAATAGTGTCAATAAATGCGTTAGTGTTGAAGAAATTTGCGGATGACGTGTGAGACAAGATAGCTCATTGGTTAGGACAGCAGCGCTGAATTTTTAAAAAATTAAAACTTAAATAGATTTTTCATTTATATAATGCTGTTATGTGGCAGGATATGAGAAATAATAAACTTTTCAAAGGTCTTTCTTCATAGATATGTTTTTCCAGTAATTGGCTGTGACTGTTGATGAATAGTTTACTTTATGTACTAACTAATGCTTACTAACATGAATAGTTATTTTTCTTGAAAATGTATAATACTTAAAATCATTGCCTAACCTCACAGTACAACTGGTTCTAAATCATCGATATTTTTGGATTATGCACCACAACTTCGAGACGCTATCTTGAATCCACTCATTAAAGACAAAAGTCAAGGCATCTCAAAATCACTGCAAGTGTTGGAAGACTACCATTTGTTAAAAGACGATTTAGAGTCTCTCACTGAACTTTCATTATGGCCAGGACAGAGGAATCCAAGTGTTCTTGTGGATGTTAAGGTTAGTGGTGTCAATAGTTCTCCAAGATAAATGTTCAGTTTGGGCCAAATATACTCAGTAATGTGATGATAATATCTGCTTTCTAAACATCTCTCACAATAAAAACTTGTGCTTTAAAAATATTTCTTAACTATTAATATTTTGTAGGTAAAGACTGCGTTAACTAAAACATATAACAAGCAAGCAAGTGCTTTGCCATATGCACCCATAGCTGTCAAAAAAGCAAAACATCATGATACTGATGAAAACGGTATGGAGTTAGAAGATGAAGTGGAGTATGACAGTGATCCAGAAAATGATGCTCTAATTAAGGTTATCTTTTGCATAGAAAACTTAACTTGACTAACAGTAGATTAAATTCAACGTGTAATATGTTGTTCTGTAATTGAAATGCAATTTATTTTTTTAGAAAAAGAAAACTAAAGCTAATGAGAATCCTTCCACTAGCAAGGAAAAGCCACAGAGAAGTAAGGGAAAGAAAAAGTGATCATGTTGAGGAATGTTAATTATGTCAGTGGTTTTTGTTATGTACTGACCTTATTAAATATTTGTGATATCACCTCTTTCATTTGTATCAAGTGATTGTTAATTCCAAATATCATTAGCATTAAAAAAAATAATTACATTGTCATCAATTCTTTGCCCTTGTCTTGTAAATAATCCAGCTTTTCAGTCTTAAATTGATTTTTGCTAGGATTCATGATAATAATTCCAGATAAATCAAACTAAGAATTGTGGCAGTTATTTTAGCTTACTATCATTAAATAAAACATTAAAAGATATATCACAACACTATATTTTATATTACATAATTGTATCTATTTCGCATGTGTACTTCAAACTAATCCTTTCGAATCTTTGCCGCTCTAGTATCATCGGGCCTCATAATAACATAGACTCCTTTGTACCTTCTGTTATCTCCATCCCTTTTTGAGTAATTGTATAAACCCACAGTTCCCAGACCAAGACCAAACAGACCTACAGCTGTACCTGCATACACTTCAGGAATTTCATCGTATCCTTGTCTGATTAATTGAGCTAGAGTCCTTCTTGATGCCTGCGCAGCCATGGTATACTATTTCCAGGCTGGATTGCCCCAATACCTAATAACAAACGGCAAGAAGTTATGGTATCACCTTCCTATATAGGAACACTGCTAGGACTTGGTTAAGCACATTCAAATTCGTAATGGTTTTACTTCATTTAATATATTCTAATAATTACTTACTACTTTCAAATTGGGTAGTAATCTAAGGATACTAATACCTAATATAATTATTCAATTCTGTTCCTTTCTCACAGATACTGAATTTCTAAATTTATTTTGACTAATTGCGACATGAATTGTGTAATGTCACTTTGACAGTAAGGCATGCTTTGCACATTAAAACGTCATAGAAAATTGAATCCATAGACCATAGCTAAATTGTGGCAAATCGCGCCACATCTTTGCTTAGTAGTTATTAATTCGCGCAGTAAAAACTATCGACGTATAAAATTTATACTATAAATTAATATTAAAAAACAATTTTGATTATTAATTGTTGAACCAAGGTAAGACAGGATAATGATTATTTTTTTTAATGCTTTTTGTTCGCAATGGGCTCGTTTTTTACTTAATTTTTTTATACTTATCTAATTTATTATTATTAGACCTTTTTCGGTTAAAGATTAACTATCATTGCTTGTCATAATTCTCTTAGTCCGCATTACTGAAACTGTTGTTTCGAACTGGTTTATACAGATAAATAAGAGAACTATTTTATAAATTACCTACATAATAATAATAAAGATTCAAGATGCCGATGCCCCCGACAATTGGACACACAGTAAACTTTGGAAAATCTTTGATAGGTTTAATTAAGCAAGGTTTTTGGGAAATCCCATCTGTGATGTGCTCTACTATGTGCGCATTTGTTGGACTTGGCTTTGGGATCGCCGGTCTGAATCGATATAACGATAAAAAGGGTGATAATAGGGAATACAAGAAGACTTATATGATAATGCGCCCGACCGATCCAAGGGTGCCTTTACTAAGAAACCCCGTGTATACCAAATATTAACGTTTTAGTATTGTTAACTTATTTAATAAAGGCAGGTTGCTTCTTAATTGTTATATATTTAATATAGGTATGATGTCAAAGAGGTTAGAATAATTCCATTAACGTGTTTGTAATGTGTTTCTTTCATATTCAATACTGTCTTTCTTTTCATTCTCAAGATAGTGGAGATCCTTGTCTTGATTGATTGATTTGCAATAATTTACCACAAAGATATATGACAAAAATTATAAGGTTGTAGGCACTTAGTAATGTAACGCTGTACTCTATATATAATCTCTTATAAATTCTATAATATAGTCTGGAACGGACAGCTTTGACAGATAGTTGTTGTCAACTAATGTCTAGTGATTAACACTATTGAGTTACAAAATCGCCCTGCAGTTCATAATTATTATGCTTACATTTGACAGTGTCATTTTGACAGTGACTTATGTGACATTGTTTTTGTCTAAGGTCATTATACATTATACCTACGTACATCAATATAAGTGATAAATAGATGATAAAAACTTATAAAGTTTGATAAAGCGCCAGGTTTTGTTAAGGTATAAGCTTCGATAAAAAGTGAGTTTATCGTTTTCTTTTGTTGCTAGTTGCCGCACGCATTTGTCTAAATTTATATAAACCAACATGAGTTCGAGATTCGCCGTTGTAGAACAGGGCCCACCGATTGAGGTTTTCCTGCTGAACAAGCTCTTTACAGACGATACTAATAAGAATAAAGTTAATTTAGGAGTTGGTGGTAAGTTGAAAAATATAAAATCATGTTTCAAAAAATAATATTTTTTGTACATAACGACTAAAACTGTTACATAACGGGAACAAACTGGAAGCCGGTTACGTTAGATATTTGTTACCAAATGCACAAAAAATGCTTTTAAATTAAACACAAAGTCATTATTTTTATTACACTCTGTTTTCATGTTGTTTAATAATTCATAGAAACAAACACGAAAACTGCCAACTAGCCAAAACTCAAAGTTTGAACTCTAGTAAAGGTTGAAGGTTACAAAAGGTCAGTAAGACAATATCGAGGAATACAGGGAATTAGCGAAACACAGCTTGTAACATAGATTTTTTAAATGTATTTGTATGTTCATTAAAGCACTTGTTGAACAAATTGAGCTTGTGGTATTTATGGAATAAAAAACATTTATTCTTAGCTTATAGGGATGAAAATGGAAAGCCCTGGGTTTTACCTGTTGTGCGCAAGATGGAAAAACAGATGGCTGCGGATGAGACCCTTTTGCACGAGTACCTTCCTGTACTTGGTAAGGTTAATCTATAATCATTCAAGATTCTTTTTCATACCCATTTAATGTCTCTTAAAAACAAAGAACTGTTTGGGTAACTATTTGAATAATATTGGCATAACTAAATATGTATAATGTTTCTATCTATTACATTATATTTGTCAAAGTTTATCTTCAATAAGCGATAAAGTTGCTAGTCATGCGTTTTTATTAAAAATAAGTGTCATTTTAAATATTAGTTCTATAGAGGTGTTTAAGATAGATGAGGCAGCATTTACAAGGAACCTGTGAAACTTAGTTTCCTATATTCTTGAAATATTATTATGTTTGCTATAATGCACAGGCCTGGAACAATTCAGCAATTCATCAGTTTCAATGCTGTTAGGAGAAGACAGTCCAGCAATCGCAGAAGGAAGGGTAAGAAATCTATATATTTATGTAATATTAATTTTCCTTGTACTTAAATATAGTTTTTAGCCAACTATAGATCTTAACACAGTTTTAGATAATATTTTTGTCTACAGGCTTTTGGAATTCAAGTGTTGTCAGGAACAGGTGGTCTCCGTGTGGGAGCTGAATTCCTGAATAAGCATCTCAAGTATACCACATTCTATTACTCAAATCCCACATGGGGTAAGTCGATTCACCAATAGCGACGGCAAGGAGCATTTTGTTTAGATATCATTTTTGCTGTTCAAGTGTTCTATTGCTGGGAGTAAAACTCAGCACTCGAGAGGAAAATGTATTGTTCTATAAAAAGAGAAATTCAAACATCATTTTATCTTAAGAAACCGACTTTTATCATCTTAGCAGCTATTTCCGTAAAATCGATAAATACATATTAATCGTAGATTAGCGTTAACTTTACACAAAGAAGAGAGAGATAAGAGATAAGAAATTGTCTATTACACTTGTACGTAATTTGTTATTCACATTTATGTAATAAAAACAACTTGTTTCATTAGCTAGAAGCATAATTTTTTGCTTTAATTACGAGAATTTCTTATCGCGCACTGAACATATTAACAGTACATTTTCACGAACAAATTTGAAAATATTATATTTAATTACTACAATTGACGCAAATAGTTAACTTAATACATCACTTTTAACGGTTTAAAACGCGAAAGAAATTAGTTAACCCGTGATCACGGCTGTCGCAAAACACCCGAAACGTCGGGCCGTAGTAAAGTACTACATTTCGCGTTTTAAATAGTTAAAAGGGTTTTATTTAAATAATATTATTTTTTTATAATTGTGAATGTATAGACACATATTTTTGTACGATTTGTAGAAAACCATCACCTGGTCTTTGTGAATTCTGGATTTACGAATCCCCGCGTCTACCGCTACTGGGACGACAAGACTTGCGCCATCAACTTCGACGGAATGATAGAGGACCTCAAAAATGCGCCTGAGAACTCCGTTATATTGCTGCACGCGTGTGCGCACAACCCCACTGGAATCGACCCCACCCAAGAGCAGTGGATCAAGATTGCCGACGTTATGGAGGTAGCAACTCTTATCTTTTTAACAATCCAATACTATTACTAATGCGATACAGACATTGGGAAATTAAGCATAATTTAATAAATATTGTATACATGGTGACATTTTATAAATAGATGCCAGAAGGACTTTAGCCATTGCGGTTGCGATCCGTATCCCACAAGTTATAATTAATGTTCTTCATCCCAGATACAATTACGTATAAAAAATTATGTCTATGGGTCATATCGGTCATTTTTCATGTACACGTAACACATAATATTTCTCGTAAACCACAGGAGCGCAAATTGTTCCCGTTCTTCGACAGCGCTTACCAGGGCTTTGCATCTGGTGATTTAGACCGAGACGCCTGGGCCGTGCGTTACTTTGTAAAGCGAGGTTTCGAGCTGGTCTGCGCCCAATCTTATGCGAAGAACTTTGGACTCTACAGTGAGTAGATGCTTTCATGAAAAATTGACACGTTTTACTAAATGTCTTTAGGTAAACATAATACTCAGTACAATGATTTTTATTCTTATATAATTTTATTTTATTTATATTAAATCCAGCTCTATCAAGTATAGTATTTAAACGACATTAAATATTCCTTTATCTTTAACTAGCTGTGCTCGCGATATCGTCCGCGTGACATAGTTATTTTGGGCATCGGGTTATTTATTTTTGGCAACAATCTCCTTTATAAATTATGGCTGGTACCATCCGTTACGACGTCGTCCGCGTTACGTCGATTTTGCGAGTTAATTCATAATAACTATCACTTGTTTCATATCTAGCATTCTTTTTTCTCAGATGAGCGTGTTGGTAATTTGAGCGTGGTAGTAAGCGATTCGAAGCTAATCCCAGCGATGAAGTCCCAACTGACCTGGGTGGTGCGTGGAATGTACTCGAACCCACCAGCACACGGCGCCAGGGTCGTCGCCAACGTCCTCTCCGATAAGAAACTATTTGATGAATGGTATGCGATTGACCTTCGTATTTCCTTTACTCCATAAAAAGAAGCTCACTCTTTCTTAAAGATTAATTTATGTATTAATAATGTTCTTGTATATACCGTTTTTTTTATAATTAAGATTTGGTCATTATGGTGCGTTACCGAGCCATAGAAAACAACGTTTATTTATGAGAGTATGAGAACTATTATTGTTTGTGTCATGGCATTTATTTTAACCTCCAGGAGGGATCACATCAAGGTCATGTCAGCCCGTGTCATGCAAATGAGAGAAGCGCTGAGAGCCGAACTTGTCAAGTAGGTGTCAATTTATACTAAACTCTAACTAAAACAATCACAGGTGCTGATAGGCTATTTGACAGATTTTTTAAATTTACATTATATTCTTTGGTAGATGTTAAGGAATCCAAAAAAGTCGTGTTTTTGAATTCTGATACAATTTGCTCAAATGTATCAAAATTAAACATTTGAATTTCGCTAATTTTGCGAAATAACTCTACAATACCGCTTGTTACCATTAATTGGCCATTGGTGTATGTCGTTCATATGATCTACATTTTAACAGTGATGGAAGTAATAAAATTAGTTTCAAATTCATTTATTTATTAATACAGAGAATAGAAAAGTTTTAAAACTAGGAATCACGACGGTTTACGTTTAGCACTGTCTATAAGCCAGTGAAGTCATCATAAACCTGACCAATCCGAAACGTTTTGTATCACGTGACAAATGTTTAAAAAAAGTTTTTCTAAAACATTTGTTTCACCATTTCTAAACATAAGTTTATTCATATAGCATAGTCAAATAGCAAATAACAAGTGCTAATTTAATTAAAACACTAAAGTGTTTTATTTAACCGTTAAAACGGTTTAAAACGCGATATATTAGTTAAACTTATTTGAAAATTATTTTTAACTTCGGCCCGACGTTTCGGATGCTTTGCAGCAGCCGTGGTCACGGGGAGACTGTGCTAATTACCAATACTTTGTATTTCCTAGACTGGGCACACCTGGCAACTGGGACCACATAGTGAAACAAATTGGTCTGTTCTCCTACACTGGTCTGACGAGCAAACAGTGCGAGTACCTCATACAAGAGCATCACATTTACCTGCTCAAGTCTGGCCGCATCAACATCTGCGGGTTGAACCCATCCAACGTGCAGTACGTCGCGAGGGCCATGCACGACGCCATCACCAAATTCCCTGCGCAAGAGTAATTAACGTTTCTCTATATAACGGTACCGTTTTTGGAAAACAAAACTTAGGCATATTTCAATTGTTAACATTTTTGTTATTGTTTTGTTTTTACTTAAATCTATATCAGTTCTTCCAAAAGTGGTATCCTTGTGACGTATTACATCGAAATTAAAATGAATACGCCTTTTATATCGATTGGTTTGCTGCCAAAAATATGCTGCTATTAATGAAATTATATAATTGTTTATTGAAATTATGTTGTATGAAAACAGTAGCGTTGGAATCGAATATAAAGTTTAGATATTAGCATTTATTTACACTCGAATACAGTTGAGGCAAGTAAAAATGGCAGCTCCCTTCGTTAAGTTCGCTCCCTTAGTTCTGAGATTATTAATTACTGATTAGTTTTTAGTAAGAAGCAAAAAGGCTATTTGAAATAAAACAATTTTTATATTTATACTCTGATGCAATTGTCTGTATACATTTATCTTATATTTAATGTAGAAAATAGTGGAACGTGACTAACCTTCTTGCCGTAGAGTTCTATGGAATAGGCAACTAGCATTTAAGGAACATAGCGGTCTCTTCACGTTTGAGATCTTGACACTGCCATAAGGGATGCAAACGTGTTCGATTTAAATTGAGACCATTTTTATATTATACACATATGTAGCACCCAGTATTATGTGCTTTTAGTTAAAGTTATCTTTCTTGATTTACACCAAGCTTATGAAGCTGTTTTTATTAAAATAATTATGTAAATTTATGTAACATTATTATCAAAAGTTATTTTATTTTCATAGAAAAAATAATAACGCACTCATACTTATATTATTTAGTTCCTTGTATTTAAATGTTTAAATATAATTTCAAGTTACTACATTTGTTTTATTTCCCAATATTTTCAAAGATATACAGATATTTAGACATCCAAATCTAAGGCTTTGCATAATCCAAGGATCGGATTCTAGGTAGGTCATTGTTGTATACATAGTTAATATATATGTTTTATGATGAAAATTACTTTTATAATAATCATGGTATTTCCATTTCAGGGACCAACCATCGAAGTTGTAAAAAAGCCATATCATATGAAAGGAACGTCAAGATTCAAGTGCGTGTTACAATTCAACGAAGAAGACATACATATTAACGACATGTTAAAATTAAACAGTATTTTAAATTTTAACACAAATATATATTTATAATATAAAATAACTCCTATGATTCCATAGCTTCTTCTGATGGGATTGGTATTCGAGGGCGTGATCCAAAGCGGTTCATAACTGAAACAGATGAAAATTCTGTCTACAACCTGGTATTATTTTTATGGAAAGAAGATAGACAGAGCAGGAGGTTCACCTCAGCCATATAACAATTAAACAAGATGTGTTGTCGATCTATTTTGGCTTTGATATTCAGAATTTCATTCAACTGAATCCGAAACGCTATTAAACTTGACAGCTTTACTATCTGTGGACGCCGGTTCGTGACTCGGACGAAATTTCGATATTCTTACCCATTTCCAGGTTTTCAATAGTATATTGTTTATTCTCGCTAAGATATGTTGAAGTCTTACCTTGTTCGCTGACTGTGAGATCGAGCATCTCGATGCAACATTCCTTATTGTCTCCTCCAACCGCAAGAGAAAATGGCTCATCTGGGCAGACGGCTGCACATAGGGCCTGTCCGACGCGGCAAGTGCGCTCACTTACTTGGATAGCCTCGGAGCTAATAAGAAACAATATAGGATTAGTATCTGAAAAATCGTACTGTTGTGGAAAGTCCTACATTTGAATATTGGAAATAAAACAAAGAATTATTAAGGCACATATGTTATGCCTGTCGCCACATAGATTGCTGCGAGATATAAGATCATAAATACATATTTCTCCTTTACCTGGATATATCCCATGTTTTCAGTTTAGAATCGGTTCCGAGAGTCATCATCAGTCCAGCAATGTTGTCACTCAGAACGAGTCCTGTCGAAGTGTAAGCATATAATGTTTTAAGTACAATTTGTTTTTTTTTTAATACATTAGATGAGGACAGACAAGAGAGGGGTTTACTCGAGGGAAGGTTATTTACCCCAATCATATAACGTCACGATGCCTTGTTGACCTATTTAGGCTTTGCAAATATAGAAATACGCAGAATGAATTCGATAAGTGATTAAACCTCTCGCCCTGAAATATCAAAATTCCATAAAAGGAATTTTGGAAATAAAACAAACTGAAATATGAAATAAACACTGAAATATCAAAATTCCATAAAAGGAATTTTGATATATCTATCCGGAGTCCCAACGCGTTTCAGAAGAATTATAAAATTGGGCTTGGCGGGGATCGAAACCATGACCCGTTGATTATTAGCCTCACAATGCACCAACGACCTGTCAAAATTTGAAACGGAAATATATACATAAGGGGGGCAGGGAAGGGAATTTTTCGAGATAAATTGCTGATAGCCTAAAACCCTACTTATGTTAATTTTGATGTCGATATATTTAATAGGGAATGCATTTCAACTACACTAAAGAAGAATTTAAGTAAAGAAACAATTGCCAACCTGTGACTTCCTTTTCGTGTGCATCTATGGTCCACAGAGGCTCATCCTGTCTGCAGTCCACATACGCCACTTTACCAGTGTTATTGCTCATCTATAGATCATACTTAATTTTAATCGAGGGTTTCTTTTATGGCAGAGACACAAACAACCCGAGGTTCACTTAGGGTGAAATGCCCCGTTTTAAATCAATGAAAGTGGTTTCTTTAAAAAAATATTGTTATTGAGGTAAACATAGAAGCGTATTTTGGGTATCATCATAATTTATGTACTTTAAAATTAAAGTGTATACTTCTACTAAAATATAATACTAACTGCAAAGCAGAACGGGTTGTGCCTGTCCCAGACCACGCGCTCTATCTCGGGCGCGAGGTGCCAGGCGCGGTGGGCAGTTGGCGTTCTGCAGTCTGTTACTCGCGCTTGACCGTCGCATGCGCCGCTTAACAGTGTCTGTGCTTCTAGCGGGTGGAAACAGATGGATTGTACCTGTAAGGAATTTTTCATGTTGACAGTACTTCAAAAATAAGAAAAAAATATACATATTATCAAACTTTCCAATAAAATAATTATACCTTATCTTGAAAATAGTCGAGTTTGGTGTGCGGTTCGCCCTGGTCTAAGTCCCATAATAGAACCGTATTGTCTGCTGAACCACTGGCGAGTACATGTCTGAAAATTAGAGTAATATTTAATCTTTTAGGAGCACTTTAAGGTTTACTAATTTAATACATTATTAAAAGAACATAATTTTTGCCATCAAAATACAGTTTAGTAGTTAGGTTGAATTCAATTAAAACACTTTAACGGTTTAAAACGCGATATATTAGTTAAACTTATTTGAAAATGATTTTTAACTTCGGCCCGACGTTTCGGATGCTTTGCAGTAGCCGTGGTCACGGGGAACCCCGTTTTCGATTTTCAAAGAAGTTTAACTAATATATCGCGTTTTAAACCGTTAAAGTGTTTTATTTAAATGTGTACTACTCGCGTAAACTATAGACAGTATTTAGTTAGGTTGAATTTCCAAATTGTCCACTGATAGCATTTATTTACCGCGTTATTTATTCAAAAATTACTCACTCAAAATTCCTATTCCAAGATAGATCCAAGACGGCATCTTTATGGCCAACACGATTTGTCTTCTTCCTTTTATTGGGTTTCTTACCAAGTTTGAAGGCCGGTTCGAGGCAGTTCTCGATGTCTAAATCCCAAACTTGTATGACTGGATCCATGCCGCCCAAAGCACAAAGATTACCTAAAAGCAACATCAACCCCATACTGATAAATAGGAATGAAATAATTATTTTTATGTAATATTTCTTTTCTTTTGTGTTAAATCTTTCAATGTGCAATTATGCTGGTGTCTTATGCCATCCATTTTTTTCTCAAATTCTTAAAATATTTTTCAATTGAACTTTAACATTTTTTTAAACAAAACAAATAACGTTTTGAAATGAGAAATATATAAGTATTTTCTTTATCAACTATCACTTATAAGTGTTTTATTTAAATGTGTACTACTCGCATTAGCATTAGCGAGGAACAAATATCATCAATCAATGCCCTCTGTGTAGTTGATCCTACTTTGGCTTTTGTATAATTCGCACGAACACTATTTAGTATATTTAAATTGTCAAGAACTCACCTGCTTGCGGATCCGACGGATCGTGGCTCAACCACTCTATGCATAGCGGGAACCAAGGTAGAATTATATCATGATGGACGTAAAAAGAGCCTTCGGTTTTGTTGAACACTAAAGAATGGGTGGAAAATAAATTGTATTTAGAATTTGAACATTCTTTTGGTTTATTTAAAAACAGGATATTTTATAATTACCATAGACTTCTAGGATACTGGCGTCACTTTCTACATGGCCGACTAATAGGAGGTTATCATCAGGCTTAATGATATCATCTTCCTCGTCACTATCGGGTCCTTCGGTCTGCAATTCGGTTGTGTTTAGGTTTTACAAAAACAATAGGTTATTCTCTTGTTTAATAGGTTTATAAGCCAGTAAGCAGGAGCAAATTTAAATCCCTTAAGTTAGTTAGTTGTAGGCCCCCAAGTTACATAGGCAATTTTAGAGCTACTTTTAAATAAATAAAAACATGTTCTTTGCATATATCGACGTAGGAAAACGTATTTCCTGTAAGCCCTAAAAAATCGAAATAACGTTCTTTACATCATTTTTATTAGAAATAAATACTGTGCGCGATTAGGCTGGTTCTCATATTTCTACGACGAAAAAAAAATCACTTACGCCGTCAGGTTTTTTTTTTAAATTAGTGTTTTTTAGTCGATGTCTACCAAAAACTAGTATTTTTTATGCATTTATAGCTTACGCCAGTTTAGCGGGATGATATTTTTCATTGCCTACTCTTACTTTTATTTATATCTGATTTTATTTACTTGATTTATTTTGTATTCGATTTTGTTGACTATGTTATTAGTCATTATAATACTAAGTTTTAATAGAAGCAATGTTTAAGTTTTCGAAGTCGTAATTCGTAAAGCATATATTCACAGTTTCCTACTCTATTACTCTATTATAAAAGACATAACTAAACAGGTATGTCTTTTACAACATTTTTTAGATGTCAAAGTAATATAAATATTGAGTTGCCATAGAAAATTCCCTAAGGTTACAGCGTTATGTAGATCAGTAAAAAAAATAAGTTTGTTGTAAGCCACAATAACATGGACAACAGTTGAGTGAGTAGGATATCTTTATAGCCAACATATAAAACGAGAAATAATAAAAATACCTTTTTTAAAATCTTGTTCCTATGATGTGTAGTTTTTGAGTTACGATTTTGTTTTCTAATTAGAAAAAGGTTTTTTCGCTTTGGTGAATATTTCTTATTTTGCGGCTTACAGCAAATACATTTTCCTACATCGATATACAAAATTGCTAAGAAATAATATGTGTACTTACCCTAATCTGCACATTTTCACTTAGATCCCCGAGATTAGGTAATGTTGCAATTGTTCCCAGACCAATTGGATTGCCTGTGGTGCAACGGTGAGACAACATTAAATCAGGCTCCATAATGTACAATTCTTAAATTAATGCAGAGGTTAGTAAGTTTCAATAAATATTTTTTATTTGCTTTTATATTTAAAATTTACATAGTCACTCTCAAATGACAAAGAGTATCATTGTTATCCCCACAGCTTCTAGAAGAATAATTATGGATAAGGTGAGAATAAGTAAAAATTTACATAATTGTAAATTTTCCCAAGCCAGTGATTGAACTGAATAAATTATAGAAAAGATGAAATAAGAAATTATGATTGATGATGATGATTATTAAATGCAAAGTTGTTATAAAATACTACTAACTACTATTATCTTCTTCATCATATTTTTCAAAGTTGAATTCATCATTCGGGTCTGCAGGCTCTGGTGCAACATTATCTTCATTTGTCTCAGACTCACTATCATCTTCGCCTAGTTCTGCTTTTTCTGTCAATCTATGAAAGACAATAATTTAGTATTTTCAATTTTTGATAAGAAATTACATACATTAACATATTCTTATATAGTAACAGCTGTACCTTAAATCATCAGCAGTCTGTTTAATAATCTTTTCAAGTTCTTTTTCAGTTAATTCAATCTGAAATGAAATAAACGCTAACATTGTTTACTAAGTTCAAATAATCATAATTTTGTAGTGTCTTTGATGTATTTAATTTTATTACATTATTATATTGGAACAACTTTATATAAGGTAATATAGATTCAAATTTCTTTACCTTTTCCGGCACAGGTTTAGCTACACCACGACGTACAAAATGCATACATGATATAAGGCTAACTGAAGGGGTGTTTTCTTCCATTTTGTGGCTATAAATAAAAATATGTTTATATTATATGTACAAAAGGTAAAACAATACCAAAATTAACATCATCATGTAACTACCTCAATACCTAAAATATAATCAACTTTAAGGAAACGTGAGATACAAATATGTAATTGGTATTGTTGTTCACTTTAGACTTATTAATTGGAACAAATTACATTACAATTATAGAGAATTATTATTAAAATAATAAATTAAGAGCACAGTGCACACCGTACAAAACAGGACCCACGTTTTATTGACACATGACAAATGTGACCACAGGTTAGATACCTAATAGATTGTGGCAGTTTCTTGTAAAACGCATTACTTTATTCTAATCTGTGTGACTTAAATAAGCAATATCTGTGGGGAAAACAACAGATCGGGTTGTCACAGAGTCATGAGAAACGTTTGAATTGTGGTTCGACCACTGAGATTTTGAGATTGGCAATTGTTCAACATCTGTAATTTTTAATCATATAAAAAAGTTCTAACGTATGTTTATGGTTGTCTTGCAAGTTATTATTTTAGTGAATATTCCCACGCTGTCGATATAAAATAAAAATATCCTTGGTACATCATTATTGAACCTTTTCGTAAGTCTAAGCTCATTATTTTTTTATAGACATGACCACATCATAATTTCATACCTCTTTCATACTAAGTCGGGAATATGAGTACTAATATAAATTCATTAATAACTTTGCAATCCGAACTTTAACTACTGATAGGGTAAACTTTATCTAAGCTATTGTTTTGTATGTTTGTAAAATAATTTACATTATTTCTTTTTATCTATACATTTCATTGAAGTTAAGACATACAGAATAGTCACTAGTCAGTTGTCACAAGCTTTAAAGCGTTTTTTGATAATAAGTCCTATTGTGTTGTCATTGTAATACTATATCTTTGTGAATTGTTCTTAATACCGCATCTAATAATTAGGTAACTATTATATTATTATTCTCGTTCTGATTTCACTTTTGTGGACGATCTTTCCAAAATTAAGTATAAGACTAGGTAAAAATCATAAAGTTATCTGTTTTCGAGCCACAGCTTATACAACTGAAATTTAAATAATCTTTTGAGACCTTATTCTATAGTCAAAACAAGTATTAACACAGATTATAAGGACTACATTGAAAAATATGCCGCTACCATGGTTAGATGGTGTTTATAATTTATATCGTACGGCATAACATTAAACATTAGATCTTTACAGTAACAAACAATGATTATTTTTTAATAGGTTCGACAACTTTTGATTTCACACGAAATCGTATGATGGTATTTGCTTGAGGAACTTTATTGAAAAATGTTAAAAAATGGTGTCGAACGGGGCGAAACGCTGGGGGAGTGCCGCGCGTGCTTGCAACCATGCACCAGGGGTGAAACACACGAATTGTTTAAATGCTGGGATCAGCCGTGGTTTGGCATGGAAGAAACAATAGCAGAGGATTTAATTAAACTTACCAGTATACAGGTAATAATCAACTTAAACATGCATTGGTCTCACTCTTGTTACCAGTTTTAATGTTGACTGCAATAACTTTAGCTACAACTTTTTTTCAGATATTAGATACAGATGTTCACTCAAAAGTAATCTGTCATCCGTGTTATGTTATTTTGCAAAAAGCAAACGAATTTATACAGACAGTAAGAAAAAGTGACCTGCTATTGAGTTCAAGATGTTCTAACAATGAGAGCAGAGTGTGTGATACAAATTGGCCAAAACCTATACAAGTAGACAAGAATTTACATTTATATGACAATGTGGAAATCAAGGAGGAATTGTTATCAGACGAGGAGTACATCCCTGGGGGTGGAAGCAATGAGTGTGAGTTTTCAAATGTAGAAGTTAAAATTGAAGAGGACTGGCAAGAACAATCCCCACATATAAATGGTAATATTTTTTAGGTCAATGATTACAATTATTATATTAAGAACATCAGTATTGAGTAACTATTTATTTGTTATTAATCACACAGTAAATCTGTTTTATCTGTGTTAGGGCATGTTAGTTTGTGTCATACTGTTAATTAATTTTGTAGGAGTCTTGTCACTGAGCCATCTAAATGAAGAAATGGCAAAGATAAATGGTTGTGTATCTGAATCTGAGGTTAATAGTGAATGGAATAATGTAGCTACTCAGCAAACAATGAGAAATGGGCTTGGAAGATGTAAGGATTTAGATGATATAAATGAAAATGTGAGTAAAACAAAGATGTTGATAAAAGTTCATAAGAGAAATCAGAAATTGCAAAGGTGTATTTTTACACAAAAAATTAATAATAAGAGAAAAATGTTACTATTTAATTTTTACTTATAACGTCACTACCAAGCTGCAGTTATTATTTTTTTACCTATATAATATAATACCGGTATAAGTAATTTACTTACAGACACTTGAAATGAGGATAAAGGATGAGCCTAACAGTGATCCAGAAATGGAGAGCACAGCCTCTGATATATCTCTGGAGTGTTTTCTGTGTTCCAAATCATTTTTATGTATAAGTGGGCTTAAGGTATGAAATAATTATTTTCTAGAAGACCAGCTTCCTCTGTGACTCATACTCGTACATAGACTTGTGGAGCCTTTTTTGCTTTTGATTCAAAGCTTATTAATAAATATACACACTTACATTACTAATAAACTTACAGGCCCACGTGATAGCCCAACATTCCTACAAAACAGTTAAGAGAAAAAGTAGCGACACAGATGAAAATCAATTAAAATATACTTGTAAAACTTGTCAGAGAAGTAAGTGCTTAATTTGAATTATTAGATTATAGGCAAAGATAACAACAAAGATAAGCTACTTAATGTTTATCCTACATACAGACTACTGGAACGATTTTTAAAATGTAAGCATTAAGTTTAACATAATGTAATAATAAATATAGTACCATAAAGTACAAGTAACTTAGGTATTTACTTATCATAACGTTTTCCAGGGTTCATGACATCCACAGACTTGATGGTCCATGAGACGTGTCACAGTAAATGTATATGTTATGAATGCAATTCCAATTTTGAAACCTTTAACCAATTGACGAAACATAAATGTAAGACTGTAAATGTGAAGGAGGTTGGTAAAGTGCTTAAGCTTGAGGATGTGCAGCGGTAAGCATTTATTTTGCCACTGTTATTATTCTCGTCTTATCCTCTTTTTGTACATTGTTTTACTCAAATATAGTTGCCCTTTGCTAAAGCACATATGCCAAGTGTTTTATGAAAATGTTTAATATTAATAAAAGCATTGATTTCTGAGCAGATATAAATTATATCACTAACATTTTACCATTAATCAATGAAGTGAAAGTTATAAAACTTACCCTAGGTAAAATAATTTGCTGTTTAAATAGCAAAAGGATAAATATAAATGCTGTTGGCTGTTAAAAATGTTGTTGTTGACCCAGAAACTTGCTTTCTGATAGTGTTTTTGGATTAAAAGTTCAAGTGGAGAGAGAAGGTTCTGCTTAGAAAAATTTCGTTAATTCTAAATGTGGAGGCAAATGCCTAGAAAATAGAGGATATCTGTATGCCATTTTTCATATTTCTATGCACAAGTTTTGCATAAAAGATTCTTGTTCCAGAATGGCTAACGTAGCACACAGAATCTTGGAAGTTATGACTAAGTACACAATATTTTGTCAAGACTCAGAATCGGGAAATATTGATGAGTGCTATCAAGCTCTTTTGGCACTCATCACACAAAAAGAGGAATCAACATATGATGTACTGTCAGATGATGATGACATTTCTTGGAATGCATCTGACATAGAGCCATGTGATGATGTGTTAAATGAATATGATAAAAACTTTTTTTCCAATATCAATTATTTAGGTTCAAAATCCTTTATAGATGTTGAAACCACAAATTCCAATGATTGTGCTAAAGATATCAATTCAGACATGGCTTTAAAGATATTGAGCAATATATCTCCTGTTGTTAGATTAACTCGCCTAAGGATTCCAGGATTATGTGATTGTTCTTCGGCTGATTCTATCGATTCCTATGAGAATGTAAAATATTTAGATAGTATGAATATGAAACATGGTGATGATACACATATACCGGCAGCTGTGGACGAAGTTGAAAAACAAAATGATATTAAACAAAGAAGTTTATCTGATAGTGTGTATTCAATATCCAGCAATGATAGCACCTCTGGAGATAATGTTGCGAATTGTGTAATAGACAATGATAACAACATTGATGGCTCTGTATTTCACACTAGAAATAGAGTATATAATGAAATAGCTAGAAAAATCTTGGTGAATGTAAGAAGTTTGGATTCCACACAAAAAGATAAAGTGACAAGTAATTATGACACTACTCTTCTTACGCCTCCTATTAACCAGTTGGATACAGTATCTTTACAAACAGGCTATGATCAAATTGGAACTAAATCTTTGAGTAAATGCATGGTCAATTCCAACATTGGTGAATTAAACAATGAAGAATTTTGTATATATGTATCTGACCATGAGCTGCATTTGGAAGATAATGAGTTAACAAAAAACACGGAAGTCGATTATATTTATGATTCTGATGATGAGCTTCATTTAGAAGAATATGAGTCGGATATGGACACATTCTCAAAATATGTGCACAGAGAAATACTTCCAAGAAGTATTAAAGTTGTAGAAGAAAAATCTGACTTATTTAATCTGCATTCACTTGGTTCTATTTGCACATTGCAAAAGACAGATAATTCGAAAAATGTGCCTTGTCCATCTATTCAAATAAACAAGAATATTAATTCTCCATCTAATTTGAATCTTAACAACTTTTCTTTTAAAAAATCTGCAAACTTAGCAGTAAAAGACAAAGATATTTCTCAAATATCTGTTGAAAATAACATAGTTGAAAAGGAAAGCGAAAATTGCTGTATTTTACTAATTGATAACGACGACTACGTTAATAAAGAAAAGACAATCACGCCGTCTAATTTTAATAAATCAGAAATCTCCACAAATTTGTCCAGTGTCAATGTTTCTTCCGATGGCACTAAATGCAATTCGAGTAATGTAACTAATTCAAAAACGGCTAGAGAAGGACTTGTTTCAAATATTATGAAAACTATTAAAGAAGATGTTTATTTAGACAATAAATATGATGAAACTAAAGATGTAGATTTTGTGACTTTCAGTAGAAACGAAGATGACGGATTACCACATCATATGACTCTGAAAATACATAATAAAGATAATACATGGGAATTACCAAGAATAAAAGGTAAAGATGGTACATTTACATTCAGACATAAATTAAGAAGAGAATTATTGCTGGGGTGTTCCAATCTCTGTTTGTATAAATGTGGACAAAATTTCACTTACAAACAGCGGCTTCGAATATTTAGTAATTTTTGGAGAAGGGACACAGAAGCGCAGGAGACATTTCTTAATCGATACGTGCATCTTACACTACGAAAATATGTTCCTACGAGTCAGGGAAATAGAAACATTTATAGACATAAGTTTATGTTCCCAAAATTAAATAAAATTATTCGTGTTTGCAAAAAATTTTTCGAATGTACACTTGCACTAACAATGTTAAACAGAAAGAAGGACCAGTTGAGCAGTAAAAAGAAGAGAAATAAATCTGACCCTGAAGATTGTAGTGAACAAAAAATCAATGTAACAAGCAGTTCAAATGTAAAAACTTATTATAACCCGCGCAAAAAACTTCTTAACAATGAAAATAGCGAAATGTGCAGAGCCTTCTCTCGTGACTGCGAAACGGAAACTAATCGAACAAGCCAAATAATAGATACAAAGAATGAATCCCGAATTGATACACGGCAAAAAGAAAATGAACATACAAAAAGCAACAATGAACAACAGGACGTTTCCAGTATTCCTGATACGAATAACGTACGAATACGTGCATCAATGAACATATCTCATTCTTTAGTCATTGGAAATAACACTGATTTCGATCACCAATCAATTACTGATAAAACGCATCACAATACTTGTGTATCAAGCGTAGATTTTACGCCACTTGATTTGTCTACTAGCGAGGTAATTATAAATAACACGGATAGCAGTTGTCAAATAATTGATGAAGATCACAAAAGTAAGAATAGTGTTGAAATTCATATGAATGAAGGTGTCGATGACAACGTAATAGGAACTAAAGCAAACTTTGTGGATAGTGCCTTAAACACTCTTAACCTCGACAAAGATAAGACCAAAGATCACGTATGTAACCAACCTGACAATCATCATAATGAGTTTGACACTAATGTTTACATGAATACCAATACAAAGGATTTTGATGAAATGAAATTAATTATTTTAGATACAAAAGCTTCTGAATCACGTACCGATTTTCACGATACGGGTTATGGAAGTGATATTTCCACAGCCTGTATCATGAAAATCCACCCCACGACGGAAGCCGATTATGATACATCAAATACTGTAAAAAATGGTTCAGATGTATCCGAATCTGAAAAAGCTAAGTCTGGCAATTCTTTTATTTCTGAAACGTTAAGTACAGGAAATATCATTATCTCCAATTACAATGCCGACGATAAAACTGAGAAAGGTCATCAGACCGAGATCTGTCATAGGTCTGCTACCGAAATTCTAGCGTCCACTCGTATAAACAAAAAAGATATTTGTAATTATTCAAATCTAGCAATTTATCCCCGAGGAATTGTTGGTAAAGGTTATAAATTTATTTTTAAATATAAAATTTCCAATACTTTAATGCCGGGATGTACATATTGCAGATATAAGTGTATTAAACGAATATCCCAACAGCAACGTCGAATACTTTTTGATAAATTTTGGACAATGACTAAAGACGCTCAAAGAAATTTTCTTAATAATCATGTCTACTTAATAAATCCTCTTAAACATTTCAAAAAAGGCACACGACGAAAACTAAATCATTCTTTCTATTTGCCTGTCCTCGACCAAAGAATACAAGTATGTAAAAAATTCTTCATAAACACGCTATCTATTCTCATGGTTGATATCGATAAATATTTTAATAACGTCAAGGTGCTGGAGAATCGTATGAACCCGTACGTCAAGCTTACAGACATCAAATTGGATAAAAACTTGCTTCAAGTGGATAAAAATAATCATGTTTTACACCCAGGCTTTTCAAATACACTACATCAAAACAATACTGCAAGTAATTCAAGTGATCTTAACAATGATTCGAAGTTATGCGTTCAAGACGAGTCTTACGGTTTGAAAGAAACAAATTCATTACAACCTACTGTGAAACCGCCTAATAAATGTTTGCCCGAAGCTGCTTTTCAACAAATCAGTCTTGACATCGATAATTGCTCATCTAATTCTGAAATACACTCTCCAAAATTTGCACAAATGTCAATAGTTGATTCGCAACTTACTAGTTTAAGTGATGTTAACGTTTGCAATGAGTTGGATGTTGTGAGTAACACACAGATGCAGAAAGCAGACGATGCAGGATGGACGCCATGGTTAATTCAAGGCGAGTGTCAAGATTCTGGCCCTCACAAAGAAGAAATGCAATCCTTTAAAGACATTTTGGAAGATTGGGCACAAATAAATTGTAAAGACAAAATGAGTATTAAAACTAAATTTGATGTTTTTAAATCAAATCGAGATAGTAAAAAATTGTCCGTTGAATTTTATTCCAATGACACCCAATTGAGCGACATCCCGGTTTTAAGTGTTTTCTGTGAAAATATCGAAAATTTGATAAAAACAGATGACTCTCACCCAAAGATAACTGAAGAAGAAGTAATCACATGTCCAGTCACGATTACAAAAGCAAATTCCAGCCTCTCCACGGATACTGAAGATATCGTACCAATTTCTGACACGGAATCTTGCAGCCTTAAAGATGACATGTCAATTAATAGCCAGAACCCTGTTGAGCTATGTACAAAATTCGTCAGGGCAATTTTAGCTCATACGGATGAAAAGACCCAAGAAGATCTACTGGATTCCGATAGCCTTGTTAATAAGTGCCAACTGGATCATGAAAATGATCAGGCAAACATCAGGGATATCTTTGTCGATAATCGGTTGCAACTAAATATTCAGACCGCATCGGATTCAGACAAAAACTTCAATGAGGTGAAAACAAACACATCGCCGGCTTGCGACGAGTTTCCATCTGCGCTCGACACTAATCATGCATGTGATGTAGATATGCCCGATTTAGTAACGCCACCAAAGCAGGATTCTTCAGAGTCAGATAACAATTGTGAAGCCAACGCAAGAACGTCCACTGCCACAGATATGAATACACTTAGTTTAGAGACGGAAATAAGCAAGAATCGTGTCCTAAACCAGGAGACAAAAAATAAAAGAAATCACGTAAGAAATGATAGAATAGATTGTAAGAAACGGATATTGAGTCAAGACAATAGCGATTCAATAAATACAGAGCGTGATGTTGCGTCAGTGATAAATCCAAAACATCTTAAGATTAATAGGGAAATTATTAAAGAGGACTCAGATCACTCATCTTTACTGACCGAAAGCTACGACGAGCTTAATACTAGCCACCGTGGTAGTCCTTCATCTTTTAAAGGAGGATCTGGTGAAGATACGTCGATGGCTGCATCTAAACCGCACCAGGTATTGGGTCGTTCTCAAATAAATGACATCCGTTTAAATCAGGATGACGTGCAGCCAAATATTTTTTATGTTAATTTAAGTTTGAGTAATCCTCAAGCAGTTAATGTTCCTACGGAGGCAATTGTATCAGACTGTGATAGAGATACTTCACAACTCGATATGGACACGAACGATTGTGCAAGTAAGGAATTTACAGATTTGACTGAAGCGAGTGTATACAGAAGAGAAAAGGCCCTTCACTCATCTCGCGTCGGTGTCGAATTTAAGCAGCTGTCCAATATACATTTTGAACCGATGTCCTTACAGACAAGTGTGGATACGAGCCAGTTTCACTATGTAGAAAATATGCAGTATACGCCGAGGAATGACCTAGTCCTATCCAGCTATGACACGTTTAATTACCCCAGTTGGAACGACAGTGAGAATCTACAGGTCGTCGCCAACACTGAGCCTGACGAAGGCTTCCAATCGTTTAAATCGATTCTTAGTGATTGGGCATCGTAGTAACTGACATCTTGTATTTAAAAGTCTAGATGCAAACTTCTCAAATAGGCGACATCAATATTTGTGTATTAAAAGGCGTTTGAAATTTCAGGCCTATCGTCGCCAAACCGGAAATTAAACTGAACTGTCCACATTGCCCCGACATGTTCACGGATGCGTATTACCTAGATATACATATAGATATTTGTCACCCTCCTAGCGAAGGTGGCCGCTCCAACTCATCTGACGCGGAGATGGAAACCGAAGCTCTTGAAAGTATATTAGGCGGTTAGTGAGGACTTGTACGCTTCATTTAATGTCATAAACTACAATCTAGCTGTACAATTTTTATCACTTCATCGAAACTATATATATGGCATGTCTTAGTTATTTTATGGTCATTATTATTTTACTCAGTCAGCAAATCAATTAAGCTTTTCGACAAATGCCTGTTAGGTTGACGAAACGTACTGAATTACATTTTTGTGAAAGTTGTAAATTTGGTGAAAAACAGAATGGTTGTAAATATAAGCAGTATGTTAAATGTGTAATTGATATCTTATGTACAATATAAAATACAATTTTTAAAATTGCTTTTATTTGAACCTAATTAGAAAATAACGTGCATAGTATAAGCAATTATTTTCAACAATACTAGGTTGGTTTCTTTTTACCGGAAATAAAGCCAGTCATAAGAAAAGTAAACATTTCAAAACAATATATTTGTAATTTTAAAATAAAATCATTTATAGATACGAAACAGGTTGTGCTTCTACGATAGACAGGTAATAAAGTTTTAGATCGAACGACCACTGCTACAGCAACAGTGGTCGGCATTTGCAATACATACTTTTAAACACTCACAGCCATTTCACTAAAGTCATCCTAAATATTGATAATAGATACTACCAGTCAACCACACCGAACTAACTATATCACAAAATAGTAAAATCGAAGAATATTTATATATAGAGACAAACTTTTACTTGAAAACTTTCCAAATCGTTATACTTATAATTTCCAGTAAACAATAGATAATACCTTATATAATACCAAGATGTTTTATGAACAAATCATATTTATTAATTACGATTAAGCTCATTTAGAATGCGCAAAATGTATAAGAATAAGTTAAGTATGTCCATATATAAATTGATAGTCGCAAGAATATATTCTTCGGGCGAGAGCGTGGTCATGAGCTGTTGTGTATCAAATATTAGGAAAAGGCCGAAGAAAACGGCTCCAGTGAAAGAAAGCGCGATCTCGAACGCGGAGCTCTGAATAAATAATTGTATAAATCCACCGATTATTAGCACGCTGAGGCCAGCGATGAGGCTGAAACCAAACAAAATGTTATTGAAAAATTTTTCATACCAGTAAATGATGCTCCACATTTAAAGTCCTTAGTGCAAGTAGCCTTAACGGGTAAATAATGCAGACAGAGAGACTTTGAAAGTCTTCTTCTTTCATTAGATAGATTCTTAATTTCATGTTTTTAGTAAACTTACCCATAGCCCACAAATGAGAAATCTCTCTTAGTGTTGAAAGTGAAGAGAGTGAGAGAGAGAACCACGGCAAAGGTAAGTCCTAAAGCTTGCAGCACTATGAATGTATCAAAGTAGGACACAACTACGCCGATTGTATATGCTTGCACCACAGTCTGTAATTCAAAACAATTTATTGGAATTATCCCCATATGTGCATGCATAATTCAAAATAATTAAATATGTATTCACATAGTATTTAATGTGTGTCTACATAACAGCAGGGCAGAAAAATCTTATAATGAAAACAATGAGCTAAGAGAAACTATTAATAATTCTTATTTCATTTTCACATTTAAATAAGGAGACTCGGTTATCAACTCTTACTGTTTCCCTGTGACCGTAGTTACCTTATAAAATATTTTGGTGACAAAACAATCTCCTAAAAGCGTGAATATTTAATAGTAATTTGACCCATTTTCATCCTTTTATACGCTTTGCCAAGGAAAAATAAAAATGTTTGATAGCTAGACTTACAAATCCAGCCAGCAAGTAAAGGTTAGTGGGGTAGTCACGACGTTTCGCAATAAGAGCAAGTAAAGTTCCAAAACTTAGAACAAATGCTACTAGCACCATCCATTCACTGAAACATTTTTAAAAAATAGTAGAAATCTTATAAAAAGCAAATATACCTTTCATATTTTTATCTATCTGTTAGTAATGCAATAAAAGTTATTATACTTAATAATATTACAGCTAGAAGTATATGCTCATTGTATTGATTGCATAACCTTCATACATTATCATAATACTAACAACTACTAACATAAAAATAATCTAATCTATGTGACAAAAGCAAAAAAAATCTTTACTTGGAATGTATGAATCCCTGAACTGGCTTGACAAGTAAAAAAACCGCGGCAATGGCCACAGTAACCAATAACTGAACTGTAAGCAGGCTGTATACTTTGCGAATAAAACCAAGACGAATCTCCTTGTCCGCATTCATCACATTATTGCGGTATGCAAAGTCATCCTAGAAATATAAACTTGGTGATTAGTTGAATAGTAATTTAAGTTTAATGAGTATTAGACAGATAACAAATTAGTGCTGAATGCCAATTTTTAAATAAGTGAAACTTTGAGATGTCGTTATGTTGTAAATAAAAAACTAAGTATGACTTCTATAATTGTTTTTATAAATTTTTGTAGCTGTTCATTTATAAAAATAAATGATATGAGATAAGAAATATATTAGATTTTTTATTTGAATTCAGATACTGTCAGTTTACTTTGGTTCTTAGAAGCGTAATCTGTTGTATCTTATCAGTGTGAGTTGTAAGGAATAATTACGAACATGTATTTTGTATTGTCATATTTACTATAAATACAAATTTAGGACATAATTATGAATATATTATTCAATGTTATAAACGAACGAAGAATTTATTACAGAATACCAATAATATATGAACAACATCTAAAATCGAAGGCCACATCTGTTGGTAAAAGGAAAACCCACTAGCGTAATAAACGAGATTAAAACTTACTTCTATAGTACCCTTTTCTCCTAATTCGCAATCTTCTTGAGCATACATTAACGGTATACTAGCCATTTTAATGTTATTTAACTTAATAAACAACTATTTATTTACGTCTACGTTTCCTGACGTTTACAAATTATAATTTTCGTCACTATTTTTTCATTATCCACAGTCCACAGAGTATAAAGTATGCAAGAAATGTCAATTGTCTGTTAACGTTGTGAACCATACTACAGATATTTTATCTTATGATGATGTAGTATTTTTTGCGACTGGCCAGAAAGCCAAACGTACAATGATAGATACAATTTCGTCACGTGACATCCTTAAGTGTATAAATTATAAAAAATAAACCACTTATTCAACACTACCATGAATGTCTTTCAGAATTACCGTTGAACTAAATTTAAAGTAGTTTTTATGTGACAGAAGATTAGACAAGTATGGGGTTTCTTTTTACACAGAGTGAAATGGCCCCGCCATACAATATCTAATGCAACTGCGCTTTCTTCCTATTTTGGCTAGATATTCACAGACATCCACTGACTGATCAAAACACTAATTTACACTTTACGTTTGCATCTGTTGCTTTAACTTGGACGGAATTAAAAAATTCCGACCATCCAATTTAATGGCCAGATTTTACAGACAGAACCCGTCTGTAAAACCATTAAAAAAAATAATTTCGAAGGTTGTCCTGTAGGAATCGAACCCACGATTGGACTACATAATGTTGGACGAAAACTTCGCTGTATAGGGACGTTTAATATTTTAACTATTATAATTATTTAGGCTTTCAGTTTCGACGATTGAAACCATTGCAGAAATATGTCATCTCTCTTCATCAAAAGTTCAACACGCTTTTCTCAAAAAGATTAACTTTTTATTTCAATACTGTACGAGTGCTTTATTAAATCAAACTGAACTAAATCTTAAAAAATTGTCGAATTGAGCAAAACCAAAATCTATATTCCAACTCCACTACGAGAGGCAGTAGTGCGGTAGTAGCGAATAAAGATATACTGTAGCGATATAATTTTCATATTTACGACGTTCTATTGACCTAGAAATACAATTTTATTGCAGCAGTTGAGATACGAGGCCGAACAACAATGTGGAATTATATTATTGTTTCATACAAAAACAATAGAGAAAATACTGTACTTTTGCCTGCTTAAGTTTTCTTTAGATTAAAAAGTTTGAAGAATTAAATCTATTTTTAGCGTTCTAGGCGTTTTAATATCAGTTTTCACTCGATTGGAGTAGTTTCTATGTTACAAATAATAATAATATATATGTCGCTCTACTACAATTGAGAGAGGAAAGATTCAGTAGTACAGTGGAACAATATTCGCATTATAAACCAACTACACATCGGCGCATTATTTTGCATGAATGCACGTATCGACAATTAGCATATTTTTTTTCAATTTTTAGGTCTTTGACAGGCAGATTCGCGTCAGGTTTCCAAACTGTAGGCGTCGCTTGCTGATACTGCATTGTGCTATGTTATTCCGCATTGCGACCCTTGTGCATCCGATATGTAATTAATACCTCTATACCTTTAACATCCATCTAGCAAGTTAGCGCGGTACACATCGATCGAATTCACTTCGACAAGAAATATATCCTAAGATTGAATCGATTCATCCGCTATATGTCTGTGCAAAATAAAATTTCTTATTGTACGTGGACTTTACCACAAATTAACAAAGTAATATTATGTGTCGTTACTTCCTGAGTATTTTGATGAAACGCAAAACGATTTCATGAATCTGAACAGAACGTGGAAAATAATAAAAACGAAACGTGTTTAATCGCCCGAATTGAACGAGACCAAAGCGCTGCATAATTGTCCAGATAACTTTGACCCACCCCAATGAAACTCCTAAAGCAATGCGAAAGTCAAACGGTAGAGCGTAATTAAATACCTCAGCTCTTTGTTAAATGGTGGTGTCTCTTTGCGAAAGCCCGCGATTTCATATTTGAGATCATAATGTATTGTTTCCAGTGGTACTAAGCTGTATTGTTGAATTTTACAAATGAAATGCGTTTACAGTATGTAGAACATAGATGCAAACCTTTCACAGATATTACAATTTGAGACTATAATTATGTACATATTTATAAATGCTATGTTGAGGTACGAGATGTATATGATGTTACTGGAGATGAAGAAACGTTTGATAATACGAATAAGGAAATGGTGAGCTAAACCTCGTTTAAAAGAATTAATATTCTCGATTTCTATGCTGAGGTGAACTTACTAAGACTTGAATGCAGATAAAAGCGTATAATCGTGTGAACAATGTTCTATCGTCCGCGATACCTGCAGTGATCGCTTTTGGGTTGAATCCAACTCACCTGTGTAGCTTCATTTGAATACGCATTGGAGCGTTTTATGCGAAATACGAAACATATCGTTCTGGTTTTTATACGAATTTGAAAGTCTATATATAGGTCAGTTCAAAAGTCAGGATATTAGGTAACTGTTTTTATTAATTCTGTTGGTAACTGTAATTTATATGATATCTATAGTAATATATAAAGCTGAAGAATTTGTTTGTTTGAACGCGCTAATCTCAGTAACTACCGGAGGAAATTCGAAAATTCTTGTGTTGGTTAGAGCATTTATGAAGGAAAGCTATACCTATATAACATCACGCTGCGACCAATAGAAGCGAAGAAACAGCGGAATGTGCAAAAGGACAGGGAAAATATTCATCCTTGTGGGATGCCGTTGCGTACGCTACGAAAGCGGTTCAAGTACATAAAAAATATATATGAAGAAATGATTCCTCTTTAAATAATCTTAAAAAATATCCTGCACTTTGTGTATCTTTTGATTTTAATTTGCAGGAATGACGGGACGCCACCGACGTCATGGGCGACTGCTTTTTATAGATTGAACAGGACGTTTGCAAAAACACATTTGATTTCCAAAATAACTATCCTACGCGGACGAAGTCGCTGACATAGCTAGTTTATAATACTGTAACAATGTCGCATATTAAACGTAAATTACACATTCATTGTAACATAATGTTTAAACTCCATTACATTAAACCGGCCCAATTAGTCCATTTCGCCCCGTGCTCCACAAATGCAGACTGGCGACTGGAAAATGTTCATGTTATTCACGAAAAGTACATTTCACAACGTAATATACCGTATAATGTATGGACATCACTAGCGAAGCTTTTACAAGTCACTTTCTGTCGCGACCTCTCGACGACAAAACATCAGTCGAGTGTGTACACAAGTGTCTTAACGGTATGCTCAGTGCGGGTATTAAATTAATCTATCGCTGATACCAAATAGCCCAAAGGGGCCCCGTTTTCCTTGAGAATTGTTATAACTTATTGGTAAAATTAATACAATTCCGAGTAATCCATATTTATTCCTCGCTTCAAGTATGGAGGCGGGAATTTCCTAGATCTTGCTTCTTGATGACCTATAAAAGCAGAGGGGAAATTTTATATAGCCTATCCATACAGATCAGTTATTTTATCGTCGTAGTCGTTATATATTATTAAGGGGATGCCCACAAAACAAATGTCATTGACCATGGCTGCCGCAAAGCATCCGAAACGTCGGTTGTAGTTAAAATAAATTGTAAATACGTTTAACTAATATATTCCGCATTTGAAACTATTTAAGTGTTATAAATAATACATATATCTCAACACGCATATAAGAGTAAAGTTTACATATTGTCCGTAGTTCACGCGAAAAACAGATGGCGCTAGCGTAGCAGTTTTCATTTTAACATTAGGAAAGATGGAGGGGCCGCAGTTCAAATGAGTTATATCGCAAATAAGTTAACGAATAGACTTCGCTTTTAAATTGTAAAAAGTATTTAATTTAAACCTTTTATACAATTTGGGACTCGTCATTTCTATCCCACGGGCCTCTAAAATTCAGCATAATTCGTTCCCGTCACCAAGTAATGATTACATGAATAACAGCTAAGCTTAAGCCGGATGCAATATTTGCATTGGCTGCTTTCTGTAAGCTATGACGTCAGCGTTCTATTAAAATAATAGCTTTCATGCTTACGAGTGATGTAGAATCTGTTAGTGGAAATATTTTTAGTATATTGCGATGAATAAAAATAGCGTAGAAAATTAACTAATTATTTTTACTAATGGGAAAATATTTGTTAATATTCTTATGTTAAATAAGTATGCTTTTAAATGGTAAACCAGTCTTGCTCTTGTGTGAATGTAAAATTTAATTTAATAAAATTGAACTTTATAAAATTTAGTAAAACTTAATATTAAAAGATAGCTCCTATTCTTTTTCATAACTTGTGTCGAGCGTTGAAGGTCCGTATAAAATGAAAGCTACCTTTATTTAGTAGCATTTTTTATAAAGTACCACATTAATTGTAGATGAAATACGCGCAGTAAATTGAGCATAAATTCTGTCGGAAAAATGATCGCGCAATAATGTCGCATTCTGCATCGCAATGCAGCGAGATGAAAAATGTATGCTCCACTGCCGCCATTAAATAGATTATTTTTTAGCTATTTTGTGCAGCTGGCTGCTGCTGCTGTTGTGAGGAATTTTTAATAACTGTACACTACTCTGTTAATTGTTGTAATGTGTAATTATTTCCTTATATCTAAAATAGGTCTTTCGAAACGTCGGGCTATAGTTACAATTATTTTCAAATAAGTTTAAGTAAGTATCGCGTTTTAAACCGTTAAAGTGTTTTATTTAAATGTGTACTACTCGGGTAAACTACAGACAGTATTTAATAATTTTAGCGTTCTAAACCGTTTATATAATTCTTAGATTCAATACTATTCCATCTAGTACATGATTTTTATTGTTTTGGCTTAATTATATGACATATGTTGTGATGTTTTATCCAATATTTATCATATTTTCCCGCTACTTCATCAAAATATTTATACTTTTAAACATGACGCAACCAATAAACGACGAAACGACTCTCTTTCAATATTTCTAAGAAACAGTTGCTATAGTAGTTCGTTCGAGTTTGCACAATGAAATATGCACGGTATAAGCGGCGCTTCGATAAGTCCACTTTGTCCCAAATTTGAGCAGTTTCGAGAATTACGGCCGCCCGGGAATTTTAAGTGACTTGTGTTCGACTAAAGTAACTTGATTAGTTGTGGCAATTACCACGTTGGCTTCGTTATTCTTTAAGAGGCTAATATTATGTCGGACTTCAACTTTACACTGTAAACTGTAACTTTAAGCTCTAAAAGGCCCTTCTTTTGTGCCGAGTCCGACCGAAATAAGTTATTGTTTTCCCATAAACCAAGATCCGTTTTACAAAAAATATCAAAGTACGGCTTGAAAATTATGTAGTACACTTAACATCGCAATAAACTGTAAATTTTCCATTTTAAACCTATCGCTGTAAATATTATACGATGATTATGGACGAGTGTTTTTAAATGTGTCACGTACAAAGTGAGGTCGTACAAGAGATAGTTTTATAGAGTAATATTTATCGGTTTCTTTTCTATCAGAAATTACGTAAAACGGACGTTCCATTAGGATTTGTGATAGAGGAAGTCAAACAAAAATGAGGCAGCTTGATGGAAGGTGAACTACTACCCATTTTAGATTTGTATTTTCTGAAATCCACTCCATCCATTCATTTCACGTGTACATGGTTTGTAACCCCGACGACATTTTGAATTTGTTGGACCCGGTGGGAATTGAACTCACGATTCGTTGATTATTAGCCATTACTACTACTGGACCGGCTACTAGCTACTAGCCAGTCGAATTATTTAAAACATTTTTCTTAAATTTTCGCTGCACTTTACAAATCTGTAAGGATATTTTTCATCTCATGGTGATGTATTGTACACACGTTTCTCCTTTTTATTTTTCTGGTAAAACGGTTTTTGCAGCAGGACTAGAGATCGCCTCCAGTGCACGTTGTTTATCCGCTAGGGTGCTACCGGCGGCGCGGGGCGAGAGGGGAGTGGCTCCTGGCCGGGCCCAGAGTGCTTTCGCCAACTCAGCGGATATGGCTTGATCCAGCGCTTTTATTTGACGGAAAAGCTCTCCTAGTTTCCCTTTTAAAAATTCTGACGTAGTTATACAAATTGGTTTATTGAGTGTTAGTTGGTTTGCTGTGATACAAATAAAAATATGTAATCACATTGCTTTATATACTAGTGCTTTGTTCAAACTTACTTTGTAGTTTGTACAGGTTCAAAATTATGAATCTCCCCATCATTGCTATAATTGTTTTACTTAATACACTTATTATGTATTTCCTCTATTATATTATTTCCTCGTTAACTCTAGAAATGCCAAAAGTTTTATACTTTTTATGCGATATTTTATTAGAAGTTTTGTTAAAGTATTGAAAAAGTCTCAATTAGAACCCCTAATAAATGCATTAAATATTATTTAGCTTGAAAAAGTCGCGTTAAAGCTTCAAGCGCTTCTCATCTCGCAGCGCGTTTTCCTCTCAAAGCGTCGGCAGCTACCCAGAGTCAGTCTGAAGCCGCCCTCAGTGGTGTTTGCACGACACCGCGAGTGCTCAAGTGCCCACAAACGACCCGACCTTCAACCGAGAGAACTATCCCATCCGTACGACCGGTGAGTAGAAAAGTTTATGGCTCCGAATTGTTAGTCAAAATTATCTCGTAGCACCCAGCTACGAGGCTACGCCGCTACGAAAGCCGTATTAACGGCAGTCGTTTCTAACGATTCCTGGGGGTCACAGCAAGGTCTCTCGCGCCATTAAACGTTGACCATTCGTGGGGGCAACCGGAGTGGCCGGTACGCGGGTGTCTCACGTCGCTGTCGACCGTCGGTAATTGTACTAAAGGCTCGACCTTGTCTACTACGCCGTCCATGACTTCTTTGTTTCATGGGACACTGCGTAATAAGAGGGAGAAAATGATTTCAACGTATCGTATTGAGGTAAATATTTAAAACTCATATTGGGAAACTGTATTTATTATATTGGTATACTCTTAGTGATAAATCTTGACGGTCATAACAAAATTAAATACTGTCTATAGTTTACGCGAGTAGTACACATTTGAAACGCGATATATTAGTTACTAATATATCGCGTTTTAAACCGTTAAAGTGCTTTATTTACATAACAAAATTAATTATTTAAATGTGTTATTAAGGCTACCACAAAACTCTTATTATTTCAGATTTCTTATTAAAAACGTTAAACGTAATTGTAAAATTTAATAAAGTTCACCACTAAATAAACTTGTCGCGTGAACGCAAATTATTATCAAACCATGCTTGTGCATCGGATCGTTTTACTTTAATGGAAAGATGATTTATTTTATATAAATATCTATTCAATATAATATGTAAGAACCTCGACATGATTTAGGAGTTTATGAGAAAATATAATTTCTTTGAACTTTAAGTCTACCTTTTGTTTTATCAAATACCAATCTAACTGATTTTAAACTTTTAACAAGATATTGATAATTGAGTTAGACATTTCTGTGCTTATTTAGTGTGAAAATAAGAAATAAGAAGTGACTAATAAGGGTAAATGCATAATTATAGTCACAACAAAATCCTTTAGACCGCAAAGGTTATGGGCTTAGATATCGTGTATAAGCGGGTAGCACGTGGGAATCAGCTGGCGAGGCGCGTGGGCTGAACCCAAACAGTTGGTGCGTGGGCGTGCAGACGGCGACTCGACGCGGAATTAGACTGCACAACGGGATCAAGTACCCCAAATAATTGAAAAGTCATTTTTATTTTACTGTGATTGGAAGAAAATACAATTTAGATCTTTGAATATTTCTCTAGTTATTGGGTCTTGAAACAACCAACATAGGAATTGAACTATGTAACAGTTTAGTTGTAAAATCATTAGGCCAGACAATAGTCAAATATTCTTGTATTCAATTAGAGAGACGCAGAGATCTTTTCAAAGCTATAAAGAACCATGTACACGTACTTGTAACTAATAATAAACCAAGTTACTTAAATCGTCATAATTTAAAATTTTCAGTTTAACTCTTGTGGAGCAATCTCCACGGTTGCCAGATCTTTTTTATTTATAGAAAACTATTTAAACCTTGAAATACATAAGTTAAATTATTTTCATTTAACTACGACCCGACGTATCCAATGCTTCGCAGCAGCCATGGCCATTATTAATTTTCTTTCGAATCGCAAACGTGCGAGGCTCTCGGCTTGTACCGCTCGATTGATTCGTATTTAATACAATATACCGTACTTTACATACAACTGTTGTTTATTCTTCCTCCCATCCTCCCATCCTTTAAGATGTATTATGACAGGGTATTTCATCTTCATACAACATGTTTGATCTACTGTCTCAAAAAAAAAACGATGAATGCTTTCGGAAAATATAATATGTTGTCTACTATTTACCGGGTTTAAAGATCAATTGCTTCGAGTGGATTTATATACGTTTAATATTGTAAAGATGGATAGCTCCACGTTGGCAATTTTGTAACGCGATCTGCAATTGGTCGGACAAAGCGTCAAATCGTGATTGAGCAAATTGGATCTGCCGTATCCGCTGAGAGCGACATTTGCCGCTGAATTTGATTAGCTCTGCATCATATTGTCACTGTTTATTGTCAGCGGTCTTCCGCTCCATCGTCGGTATTCAAACGTAGGAGAGTTTTGTCTGTTCGTTGTTGCTTTATTTGGGTATTCGGTCGTCTCAACGATCCGAAGAATGTTGGGGCTTCGTGCTTAACTTGTAAGCTTAAAAGTTGAGTAGTGGTAAACATTTAATTACAAAAGTATTAATTTGATCCCACTTGATTGTTAATATGTAAATAACGACACAACACACAATTAGGTTTCCTTTATAAATATTCGCATTGATGAATTAGTTAATTTCATCCTAAAACAAACAAAAGGTAGAAATATACAGAATAGGTCATTGAAAAAAAAGAATGTCTGAAAATATAATAAAAAAAGTATTGTCTGTAATTTACGTTAGTTGTACATTTCGGTAACTTATTTTTCTGTTACCATCTTACGTTTGTGGTTATCAACAACTCTATGATAATAGATGATGTAAAACCAGAGTGACGATTATTTTAAACCGTTATAAGTGCTTACATACGAATTTAAAAAGCAAATTATACAAGACGTCCTTGCTAACTCCAATAAAACCTTATCTGCAATAGTTGTAAATCAAAGTCGCATTCGAATCCATTATTAAAGGCCTCACAAACGAAGTTACGGCGAAAGCTATACTATTCAAGTGATAGTCGTAAAGAACCTGACCTTTGGCTTTCGTGAGCGAAGGCAATGTATCAAAGAGGATCGCGGCGAATTCTAAGGACGAAGGAGTTTCCGGGGAAAATTAAAGGCTTCGAGGGCCGGGCGGAATTGATTATATTGCTGAATTTGAACTATATTTTATATTGAAACGTATTAGACCACGTGTGGCATACGTAGTGGAACAGCAGAACGCTTTGTAGTGCTTTTTTGGTTCGAGACCCTTCAGAATTGTTGAATTTCTTCAGTTTGGAATATTTATTTTATGAAAAGCTCTCATGTAAATCTGTAATGCCATATGAATATTATTTACTGTGTACAATATGTTTAAGAAATCGTGGCTCATATTCTACCGATTTTTTAAAGATCTATCACGCTTATCTCTCCTGACACATTCACTCGATAAAAGGTGAAACACTCCAGCCATGTAACATCTCATAAGATGTGCTGTCGACAGCCTGAAAACGAAACGCTTTTTTCATATATGAATCGTGATTCGTTAGTCGGAAGGAATTCTGCTATTTCTACCACTCATTTAATACCCAGATTCGGAGGGGATCCAACACGTGACCCATTATTAGCCACACATAGCTATCGTTGCACTAACGAGGCCGTCAATAAGTTAGTAATTTTTGCAAGTCATATTTTCCTACATATTCTTTTTCAACGTCCAAAGACAAATGCGGTCTGAATAAGGTCGATAATTTAAATAAAACACTTCAACGGTTTAACGGTCACAAGCCCGTGACCACGGCTGCTGCAAAGCATCCGAAACGTCGGGCCGAAGTTGAAACTATTTTCAAATAAGTTTAACTAATATATCGCGTTTTTAAACCGTTAAAGTGTTTTATTTGTGGAAACTATAGACAGTATTTAAGGTCGATAATACAAATACAGAGCTCCTGCGAGTTTCCGCATCAATTGGAACGGTTCTATATTCTATTATTTACAAAGCGCCGCACTCGAGTTTAATTATTGACGTTAGATCCAGAATAATTGCTCTTTTCCGAGTAGCTTTTATCTAAGAGCGCCGTTCATCGGCCGTTAAAGTTGATTGGTAGGCCCCGGACAAACGACGGGATTTTAGTAGAATAACTTGAATATTAAAAGTAGTGAAATTGCTCAAACAAGATCAGATGAATTATTTGTGTTGACGTGAAACAAATACAAGTTTTTGTCAATATAAATAAATATATATATTATATATGTGCACCTTAAATGCTTAATGCGAATGTAAAAAGGGAGGCGGCAAGTTTGTTAACACTCCTTATAATTCTTTCCTAAGCGTTATTTAGAGTTTATTTGTTGAATTTACGTTCATATGAGTACTCATGACAGTAATTTTGGTAGAGCAATTAGAATTTAAATAAAAAACTTGTAACCGTTTAAAAATACGAACTATATTTGCTAACTTATTTTTGTGTTTAAAACCGTTTTAAACTTATTTTGACAGTGTACTGCTCGCGTAAACTACAGAGAATACTTAGTATATAGTAAAATGGCGTACATATAAAAAAAATTGACACCATACACCTATCAGCGCTGAAGGTAGATGTGGTATCTTTCCTCAATCTTGTATTTCCTATTTAATTTATTTATTGATTGCATGTGTTAAACATGGTGTTAATTAATTCATTCATAGTGTGTACTCTTTCGGAGTCAATAAAAACATGAGTGTGTACTCAAATGTTTTATCGGTTCGGAGGGAATGTCGTTCGGTGTGTAAGGGGCCTAACCGCACCGCACCGGCGCATGACGCAGGCAGCCGCACTGCGGTACATGCGAGTGGAATACGACACCACGGCTCTCACTAATCGGGACCTTGGATAGACACTTTTCCACGGAACGATACTTTTAGTGACAACCGTTCGTCGTAATGGCCCATTCGTTTTTTCTTGATTTTCAAAGGTACATACATTGAAGCTTCAAAACAAAATGTTGAAATAAAACTAGTTACTGAACCTTTATAGTTTATGCGAGTAGTACACATTTAAAAAATATATACTTTAACGGTTATATTAGTTAAACTTACGGGTCTCCCCGTGGCCACGACTACTGCAAAGTATCCGAAACGCCGGGCCGTAATTAAATAAAATTGCAAATAAGTTTAACTAATATATACCGCGTTCAAAATCGTTAAAGTGTTTTATTTAAATATGCACTACTCCCGTAAATACACGAAACACACTTCTATATTCAATAAATGGTATAATATCTTCCTGATGGAAATGAACAGGCAAAATCATACGAAGTCGGTGTTGCCGTCACCTTTTCTATTTTTGGGCGTTCGCGAGCCCTTTGTGGGAACTTTTAATATTATTTTTAAATGAAAATAATTATTCGCTGCAAGTCGGTACTCAAAGCGTTTTATTTTAAAAGCCAAAGGCAAAATTTGAAATAAATACTTACTAGTTTAAACACTTAATATTTTTCACATGTTATTGCACATGTTGGCATTATATAAATAAAAAAAAAGTGCACGTGTGGGACTTGAAGCGGCGTTCTTAGCATCCCGTTGCTCTAACCGGCTCTAAGCTCTAATAAGCTCAATTGGTTAGAGCAGCACGGCAGAAAGCTTTTTTTAATCTTAATGGATTTTAAATTTATT